TTCACCAAAAGAAAGGAAAACCTACTGCCATATAAACTCATGGTCCGGAATGGCTGAGCTTCTCAACATAACAGGTGAGGGAACTAAAGGCAAATCTCTCATGACAGGCTTTACGGAGGGAAAATTGACTTCAGGTTCCAGAGATCGTGGAGGTAGAGTATCAGCACCAGAGAATACAAGCTGCTTCTCATTTGTTACAATTGTCTGCTTGTATGGATCAGAAGCAGGCCATAAAGTCGGATGCCCTCCTTGCAATCCTTCGTGTGACACATAATTCTTATGCACCTTTGAAGGCAATTGATTTCGTAAAGTCTTATCAGAACTAGAATCCACATTAGCTACCAAAGACGCATCAGATTGCTCCAATACTCTGTTCTTGCCAAAGTTGGGCTTTTTACGCAGAGCAGCATCTACTGCTGCTCGTAACCTATTACCCTTATTTAAATCCTCCTTGACGTTTTTTGTGGTAGAGAGATCACTATCAGACACGCCTGAGGTGTCGCTGGATTCTGCAGTCTGACCTCCCTTTTGAGATAATGGTAAGCCTTTTGCACCAGACAACAGGCTAGACCTTTGGCTTTTGTTGAACGCTCCTTTGCTTTTCTTCCCTACCTCTCTAGATTCCCTGGACCGCGACAATCCATCCTGTAAAGCTACAGTACCGTGGTTTGGCATGCCTTCACCTGTCAAAGAAGTGGATGGCAGTTCGTCCTTACAGTCAGCTTGACTTGAACTTTGCTCGCTGGCACTGCACTTTTCATTTGTGGAAATATCTCCTCCTGCATAAGGAAGATATATATAATAATGGAGCTCAATCATGATATCTTTAAATAGGGGGGGATCACATATTAAGACGATGAAAAACATATCCAACCAAAGTACTATCAAAGATAAAAGTACCAGAAGTACAATTTATTGACAAAAATGATAAGTATCATACCCGAAACAACTGAATTTTCTAGACGGTTTCGGTGTAGATTGCTGACTTGTTTCGTCAAGTTACCTCGTTTACCATCAGACTGCAAACCCTTTAAATCACGATTATTGTTTGCATGTGAAACAGACGTATTGCCGCGTGACTTCAACTTCTGGTCCATGGAGGATGCTGATGCATTAGCTTCTCTATTACGATCTTTCACTTGCTTTAAGCTTTTGCCTTCTTGCGCATGATACACTTTTGATCCAAGCATTTTTGTTTGTGAGTCGTTACCACTAGAATTCCCTGCATCTGTAGTTCTACTTGGCATTGACTTGCCTACATTTCTAAAGCCCCCCTCCTTTAAATCAAGTGCAGTATATTCTTTGCCAGTCTTCTGTCTTGGGTGAATAGCATCATCCCTAAGTTGCACTTTCGGTTTCGAGCTCGAACAATTGAAGGAACTCGATTTCAAAAATGCACCTGAAGAAACAATAAACTAGTTATGCTACACAACCTGCAAAATCGCTAGAAATACAGCAACAAAGATAAGGCAGAGTTGCGTTTAGGAAGAACAATCCCATCATGCAGCCTACCTTTGGAAGGTTGGAGCAGTGAACCAGTAGATCGTGCACTTTCTGTGTCATCACTGAATGATGTTTGATGATTTAGCTTTCCCCTTAACCTGTCTAAGCCCTTGAATGATGTTTCCCGAGATAACGAACCTATTCTGGGGAGAATGGATTTCTTGGGTGACCCAGTTGAAGCCGCAACTGCCTGTCTTTTAGCATCTGGAGCTGCCTCAATTTTCTCTGCGTGCCTTTTGCCAGAGCTATGTGTATTGAGAGTTACCTCAGTTTCTCTTTTTCTCTTAGCATCTGCATGTTTCAACTTCAACTTCGTTAGACAAAATCAGCAAACTTGGATCAAATTTATGCTAATTTATTACGCTAATTCTTTTTTCACATATAGCATGTCCGGTTAAATATTCAGCTTTACCTTGCTTCTGCTTTTCAGCTTCCTCAGCACATTCTTCACATAGCCAATCACCCCCAGGAACTTCATTGAGCCTTTCCCGCATGCAATAGCTAAGTAAAAGAAATACAACTGTATTACTACTATCACAGAAAATGGCGCTACCTTATGAGTTATGATTGATAGAAGACATGACAGTCAAAATTAATGATTAATATCTATCCAAAATAAAATATACTACTAACATGCGGACAAATGCCAAATGGAAATTGGCCAATAGTATGCTTTCTTTCCAATGAAAAGAAGAGCAGGCTTACGTGTGTTCTGCCCCATCACTGCATCCGCTACAGATAGCGAGTAAATCTTCACGACCCGCATCTCCACAGATATCACAAACCTTTACCTATTCAGCAAAAAAAGAAGAAAACACTTTCGCATGAGATTTATTCCAGTGAACAAATATTGCAACAAAAGGCAAAGTAGACATGTTCGCTAATTTCTTCTAATATGAGACGAAACAGTATACTTACATCATGTTCCACCATTTCAGAATCATCACTCTCGCTCTCAGACACAGCTGGTGAGTTGGACGAAGAGCTTTTACTTGACTTGCCATCTTTCCTGTTCTCGCCTGAACGCGTAGATCCTTCAACTGAAGGTTCCTGTCTCTCTTTGTCACCCCCTGGTCCTGATTTTTCCTTGAAATTTCCCCTCTCAGAACTAACTCTGTCATCATGGTTGGATGATGGATTATGCAAAGATTGTAATTTCACTTCGTCTTTCCAAGATCCACCCAGCATAGGATCAGAATTGAGAGCTGAACCACCAGCTGAATCCTTATTGGCCATCTTGTTATTAGAATAGCCTGGATTCAACTTTTTGGCTCGATCATCAGACAATATCCCATCTTCCTGGCCCTCAATACAGTTAGAGCTCTGATCTAAAACATTAGCTGATGCAGAAACTTTATGTTTCATCCTGCTCCCAGAAAGAGATGTCTTAGAAGTCATTGCAACAGCTCCGGAATCATCTGATATCCCAGAAAATCTTATAGTTTCCTTACTCTCAGCATTCTCAGAGAGAGCATCAAGACTGGAATTGACAAGATTGCTTGCTTCACTAGCAGTGTTATTTAAACTGTTGTGAGCATTAACCATGGAAGAAGGCAAAAGATCGTCCTCGTTTACAGAACACTGGCTGCCTACTACTCCATGGCAGTTTTCATCTGATGCCTCGTCCAACTTTGATCCTGTGAAACCTACATTACGGTGCATGCATGATGAACAAGGAGCAGAACAAACATTACAAGTTCCAGACTCCACTTTTGAAAAACCTCTCTGACCCATTTGGCGCTTACCAACTCTTCTATCAGCCTGCAGGTGATATAACAAAACAGAAGCTATTAAAGTGATTGACAAAAACAATTAAGATAAAGAAAACAATCATCAAAGGAGTACATTCGAGATTTAAATGGTCCATATACTACAAAAGTCTAGTTATGGGAATAGCAATATATAAAGCTGTTAGCTTCCAATTGTAAAATTACTTAGAATCACCAAACCCCAACAGCTTCATCAAAAGCTATGGTGATCAAATCAATCAAAAGTTGAAACGATCAAGCGTTCATGATCTAATGCTAAATATACAACTTCATCACTTAATCTCATCCAGGAAACGGACAAGGATAATACAGCAACAGGAAAAAGAGAGGTTTAGCAAATCTCACCATCTTCAACTAAATTAATTAGCCTGACTCGCAAACCGATTTCTATCCAGCTCTTGCAACTGATACAAAGCGACAAAGAACATATCAAAAACTGCACAACATTTTACAAACAAAAACGAGATCATCAAGCAAGCTAAACAACAAACTTCCAATTTTAAACCAAACCCAGAAAAAAAAAACACACACACACACAAATTACCAATATAAATCATCAATCAATCACCAATAAAATTCATAGAGAATCGTAACCAATATCTTAATATGAGAACGAACCCATAAAACACGGAATCTTAAAGATAATTTTTTTTATAAAAAATCCTAAAATTGGGAGATAAACATTACATGATTCAGGTCTCAAAATCATCTCCCCCATGAATTCGCTTCCCAGACCATCTATTGAGAAAAAGGAAACCCTAATTTCCCTCTCCAACTCCTACAAACCCTAACTTATCTCTATATATCCAGATTCGATTTGACAAAAATCTCTCTATCTCTCTATCTCCTTCACTTAGATTGAGTGATAGGCTCCCAAGTTTTCTTCTCGATTTTTGCTTTCCTCGTGATATACACAAACAACACAAGCCAGAGATGAAAACTGTAGATATATACCTCTCAGGATCTATACACCCGCATATACATATATATATATACTCAGTCAGTCGTATAAAATTTCTACAATATATTATTTGTTTTGACGAATATTTGTTGGATTAGTCACACAAGATTTAGAGCTTTTAAACATGGTTACTTACTGGTTAATTAATTTTATTACTACAGTAACTAAGTAATTACCTTTTTATCTTGTCTTTCTTGTGTCTGATTCCTCTTGAAGCCTTTTCTAAACGCAGAGAGAAGAATCTGACTCTCTCCTTATCCCTTTTTCTCTCTTTATAAGTTTTTTTTTTGTTATGCTAATTTCTCTGAAAATTCTGAGATATTTTTGTGTGCATTTAATATGTAAATAATCACTAATATATAAAGTATTTATTATATGTATATCTTAAGAAATTTAGGAACATTATTAAATTGCTATTTAATATTTATTTAGGAAGACTTTAAGATTACATTTTCGTTGTAAGCTTTTTCTCTAGTTAAAAACATGTGTGTGGTCTTTATTTGGTCAAAACTTGATTTGAGTCTTCTTTTTATTAAAATGGCCAACTAATTACACCCTATTAAAACGAGGACACCAATTCACATAGAAAGAACCCCTAAATTAAAAAAAAAAATGCATGTTTTTTAAAAATAAATAAATAAAGTATTCAATTCAACCGGTCCGATTCCGGTCTAATCTGGTTTAATTTTGAGCTTCTTCATCTGTGGTCGGCTCACGCATTTTCCCGCCAAAAAGAGCGGCACGAGAAGCAGGCGCGTTAAAACCCTAAAAGAATCATCGTTTTCGATTGTTCCACCAACGATAATTCTCCAATGGCGCCCTCCGGCACCGTCGCCGATCCTCCGCCATCGTCAACCACCAATTCATTCAATTCCGGCGACACAGGAGAGAATGATATTCGGGTCCCTTCTCTCTCTATATCTCCGTCAAATTTTGTTTGATTACTCTTCACTTAAGCGAGAAAGAAATCAAAGTTTGAATTTTTGGTTCTGAGCTAGTTATGATAGTTTTCCCGTTTTGATGGCAGCCATTTTTTGTACTCCACAAGGCTTCTTCGTCTGGGAGTAATCTCAATGGGAAATTAACTGGGATTGTGAAAAGCAAGCGGAGGATCGAATCACCTTCACCTAAAATTGCTAAGAGATCTGAAGTCGAAAGTGTGGAAGAAGAAGATGGCCAGTTTTTCTCAACTCTTCGCTTTAAAGTTTTCGAGACTGTCTGGTCGAAAATCGAGAAGACAATTGAAGTCAGTCTCAATCTTTTCTCTTTAAATTTCTTCCATTGTGTTTGAATCTTCAAAGTTAGGATCTTTTTACACCTTGATTTCTCCCGGGATAAAGTGGCATTGTGTAACTTTTTCAATTGCAGGACGTTCTGCGGAATTCGAACTCCAAAGTATTTAGTGGGATTCATGATTGGATACGGGAATCATTTGAGTCGATCATATCATCTGGAGCACTTAAGTTATCGGAAGCAGTTCGATCTTATCCTGTTTTAACTCAGGCTTCTTCTAAGCAATTGCCTACTGCTATGGTTCTTACAAGTAAGTCCTTTAAGGACTAGTGTCTTGACTTATGACTACACTCGATATTGGACTTAAGAGAGCATGTAACATTTGGATGATGTTTTGATGGGTTGCTAAACTTTCATAAACTTTATAAGCAATCAGTTACAACTACTTCGCTTCTTCTTATAAGGTAAACTTATATTGTTGTCAGGGAACCTGGAAATGGTTGATGATTTATTGACATTTGAAGAACTGGAGTTGCACTTGAAGTCTCAAGGATGCCATGTGGCTAAGCTTTCATCTATGGACTTCTCAGCCAAGAGTGGCGTAGGAGGTTGCCTTAGAGGTTTGTTACGCCAGTTTGTGATGCCAACCGTAGATGTTAGTAAATCTGCATAGCCTTTAGTTTTGTAGCCTACTTGCACCATTAGTGTATTGACTGATTCATTTTCTTCATAATGCGAATTTTGAACAGGTGGCTGATGTGACCATTCTCGCATCATGGTACCGAGAAAACAAAAACCATGAGAATCCCGTGGTTATAATTGTGGATGATACAGAGAGATGCTGTGGGCCTGTACTGTCGGATTTAATTCTTATATTAAGGTATTAGTTCATCTTTATGCTTGCTACGTTTGCACCGTATCATTTTCAGGTTTCTCTGGTCACTGGACTGAAAAGTTTTTGTTTTACAGAAACTTTGAACTTTATCTACTTTCAGTTTAGTCATTACTCTAGCAAATTGTGGTGACCTGCTCTTTCATTTTCTCTTTTCAGCGAATGGGCAGTCAAAGTTCCAATTTTTTTGATAATGGGTGTGTCCACAGCACATGATGCGCCTAGAAAGATATTATCAGTGAACGCGCTGCAAAGACTTTGTGCTACTAGGTTCACTCTGAGTTCTCCGGCCGAAAGGATGGATGCAGTTCTCAAGGCTGTTTTTTTGAAGCCGTGTTCTGGGTTCACTGTTAGCCATAAGGTGGCACTTTTTATGAGAAGCTACTTTTTGTGTCAAGATGGAACACTGACATCTTTTGTTAGAACTCTCAAGGTTTCAAGCTCTATCCTTTATGCTGTATTAGGTTTCAACTTGTTTCGGACTGCTAACTCTTTGCTGTTCATTTGGCTATATATTCTTTTCTCAGATAGCCTGTCTACAGCATTTCTCATTAGAGCCTTTAAGCATCATGCTTGAGCACTTTTGTCATGATGGTGTTAATCAGGTATGCTTGATGCACCTGTCTAAAACTAACATTTTTTTTAACAGAACCTTCAGCTTTTCCAGATATCATATTTGACTTTGGTTAAGTTGGCACTGCCATTTCTATATTAGCGTAATTGATAACTAAGAACTTTAGTTCATGCTTCGCATATTGAGAATCGATGTACAAAGAGTACATATGTATTTATGTAAAGAAATGATTGAGGATCTTTGGTGGTACATCTTGCATCCCTCGATTGGTCATCTAGAACCGTAGACCTTTTTGCCGTAAATATTTTCCAAAATTATCCGTATAATAAAGCGCAATTCGCTTTGTTCTAAGGAAATTTTACCTGTAAAGCTATCAGGTGAAGGTACTGGACTATTGACAGAAGCAACAATGAAACATGCCTTTGACTTGCCATCTGTGACGAGGTACACCAGAGAATATCACCACTTTTATTATGTTTTATTTCCACTATTTGTATGGTTGAAGAACTGATGGGGAGGTTAGTGGTGTTGGACTTCTATGACAAGGTTTATTCCTTGTTGGAGCCCGTGATTTTAGGAAATTAGATACACTAATTTCTGCTCATAAACGTTTTACTAGGAATAAAATTACTCGGAGTACTTTTGAAATGCTACCTCATTTTTTGATGGACTTGCAAAGGATGCCAAACCCCTGGAGCATAGTAGTTTTGGTAAGTTCTTTCTTTAACGGTTCATCATCATAGTAAGAGCCACTTCATTGTCGTACATGACTCAGGGATGCCATTGTCTGTGAAAAATAATTTCTCATATTATCAACAACTTAGATAGGAAATGTCGTGGAAAGCCTGTTTTAATGATTAAAAATATCCCAGTATTTTGGAACTTTCACTTTCTGTTCTCCGCTTGGATGAAGTTTGAGTTTTATAGATAAACTGTTTCTTTTTCATCACTAGATTGAAGGCAGATTTTTTGTTGTTTCTCTTGACTTAGCTTTTCTGCCGGTTTAGTTGGACTCCTCAGTGTTGATGCATATTATGCTTCTTCTGTTATATACATCACTCGAGGAAATATGAGGCAGTTCGGTTTTTCATCTGATTAGAGTGATTTCTGCTTCCTGGATAAATTAATGAGCAGATTTTTTGCTGCTGTTTTGCAGTGCATATATGAAGCTGGAAAGTTTGATAAACTTCGATTGCTAGACATATTCTGTGAGATACTTGACCCAGAAGCACGTTACTTGAAATACTTTTCACCTTCGGAAATCGTTAGCTCTCAGAGTCACAATTCAGGAAGTAACAATGTTATCAGACGGGTTTTGTGCAAGCTCAGGTTAGTTGTGTTGCAAGGAAGAAACATGAAATTTTCCGCTCACACAATAGCAGCGAAGGATTGTCTTAAATTTATGGACCGTACATAATTTGGCTGATGGATCTGTTCATGTGGCTTAGTGTACTTATGCTAGGTTGCCAAATTTATGGAACAAGATTTTGAGGATTAATAAATTCATCTGTTCTCGAGTTAGTAGGCCTAAAAATCTTAGGTCATTGAGAGCTTGTGTTAATATCTCTGCAAGGAGCCTAGCTCAAAAGTTCTGAAACTCTTGCATTCAAATTTTCTCAGGGATCTTTCACCTTCACAGCTGTCTAGCATGTTGAAAAGTTGGGAAAATCTCACTACGGAGTTCAGTGAGGTAATATCTAACTAAAATCTATCAAGTTTTTACCGTTTCTCTTGACTTGCATATTTTTTATGTGATTTTTAATTTCATTTGTCCTGAAATTTTTTTCTTTTGTTTTCCGGTTAGTTCTTTCATTTCCTTTAATCTAGAGCATCTTCAACTGTCTCCATGTTCCTAACATCCCTTGTGCGGAGGAATTATGTTTTGTAATCTGTTGATCTGAAAATATTTCTTGAGTTAGAGATATCACGTATGTGATATATGTTAGTCCATCCTCAGTTCTAAATACATGGTGGTTCAAGATGAGCTATAAACTTGTTTGTTTGTTCTCTGCTGTTAGATCAATGACAAAGTAATGGAACTGCATCCGTTCATGAGATCCGTGGAAGCAGCTGGTCAGAGACAAGGACTTCCTAACAGCCCAAAGTAAATCTCTAGATATTGTTTTCTTTTCAAACCGAACACCATGTATGAATTCATATAATTTCTCGTTTTCTTTTTAATCTCTGGCTTACCTCCAGCAGATCTTCTTGGCAAATTAGTCTCTTGAAATATATTTTCCTGTCCCCATCGTTCTTGTGCATGGGAAAAGATTGATGAGGAAACCTAGTGTCTTAGTCAGCTATATGTAATCATTACTATATACATAAGTTCATCTACTCGTTAGTTTCTGTTGCTCATCTTAGTAACTATGAATACTGAATAAAAAGTGGTACTTTGATGTGACAGAAAGCATGCATCTCGAAGCCATTCAAAGCTTGAAAAGGAGCTTAAAGCCATGACTGATAAGGTTGCCACAGTGATAGAATTCATGCTAAGGTGAACTCTACTTTGTCACAGAGTCTCTTTACCTTAAGGAAACAATTTGTTTTTGAACTCTACATTGCTTGTATATGGCTTTTGATTTGACTGCCGTCATTTAAAACGTTGTCATGTCAGATTTTGTACGCGTCTTTAGAATTAATCACAGCCTTTTTTTTATGGAACAGGGAATATATGAAGCCAGTTGAGAGTGTTCCTTTCCACGAAATTTTGTGTTTCAAGAATGTCGATAAACTTCAATCTGTAAGTCTTCAGCATCCTTATTCCTCTCGGATTTACTTATATTTCCATTACTTGGAAGTTTTATAATAGATGATTAATTGTTATATGCTGCTCGCGTGGTATCATTCTTATCAACTTAAAGCAAACCGGTTACAAGATCAGTTCTGAGAGAGTCTGAGAATAATTTTTTGTAAATGATTCATAGAACGATTAATGTTGTGCTGGTGCTTAAGACTTTAGATATGGCCTTCTCTCTCTTTTTCTCTTTAATTTGATGTTTATATCTGTTTTAGGCTTTACTTGGAGACCCGAGAGGTAGGATCCAATTAGATCTACTAGAATCCCACAATATCCTCCACTGTGTGTGCTGCAGCCAGAGAGGCACAACTCTGCTGCCTTCCATGCATGATACATCGATTTTGTGAGTATTCACTTACTTTTATACACTTGCATTGTCTCGTTGTCTTTGTTGAAACAATTCTTGTGGGATTACTTTTTCTTGTCGCGTATATGATTTGAGAGATTACCGGCGTCACAAACTATCTTCAAACACACATATAGACATGAACACAAACCGGCTTCTTTCTCCATTCTTTGTTTCAATATGTGTTACAATGAAAAGGTTTGTGATAACTGATTATATAGGTACACGCTGGCGCAAGAGCACGCTGATGTCATTAACCTCCATGACTGGTATCAATCTTTCAAGACGATACTTATTCCCAGGAGTAGCAAGGCTAAACAAAAATCTAAGTCATCTTCAAAATCGAAGAAAAGGAAGGATATATGCGAAGAACCAGAAGCACCCGCTGAAGCTTTAATTCAGTATCCTTTTTTGGTTAAGATTAGTAATTGTTGATTCACCAATGTTCATCCTTTTGTATGTGTTCATTTTTCAGGACATGTACGTAAATGCAGATGACCATCATAATTTATAATAATACTTTTTAATCCTTAACATTTGATTCCAACAGAGCTCGATTCTGCAGAGCTGTAATGGAGCTTCAGATTGCAGGACTTATCCGCATGCCTTCAAAAAGACGTCCAGATTTTGTGCAAAGAGTGGCTTGCGGTTCGTAAGAATAGTTTCAATACTTCCTTTCATTGTAAGTGTACTTTAATCTATATGTGTTCATAACCTGTTTCCATGACTCTGTTCAGAGACAGAATTGTCAAACTCAAAAGACGAAAATTAATATAAACAGAATTGTCACACTCATTTTTAATGAATATAACTATCTAAATCTAAGACGTAACTGAGACTCGTCAACACACGTTAGCTCTTACATCTTTTTCCATAGTTGAATATTCAAAACCATGGGAAAGTCTTTCTGTGTAAACATTCTCAAGTCTCCTCCCTAAACGACCTGTGGACTTGGTAAGTCTTTATAACTCTCCATCATCGAGTTTTGGCTACCCGTCTGCTCTTATTTTCTATTGAACACCCCAAAATCACAAAATGTCTATAGTAATCCTGGTCACGACTTGTCTCTGGTTCTTGCTGGAGTCTAGCTTCTCAGGCGCAAACGAGGCCAACGTAAATTGCCTGAAGACAATAAAATCCCAAGTTGAAGATCCCAATAATTACTTGTCCAGTTGGGACTTTGGCGACGAAACTACTAAAGGGTTTATCTGCAAATTCAGTGGTGTCACTTGCTGGCATGATGATGAGAATAGGGTTTTGAGCATTAAACTTCCTGGTTATGGTCTCAAAGGAGAGTTTCCTCTTGGAATTAAGGAATGTTCTGATCTGATAGGTCTGGATCTTTCTAGAAACAACTTCTCTGGTCCTTTACCATCCAACCTTGCGTCTTTGATTCCACTTGTTACAAGTCTCAACCTCTCTTACAATAGCTTTTCCAGTAAAATCCCTGCCAGTTTATCAAACATTACCTTTCTGAACACTCTTATGCTTCAGCATAATCAGTTCACTGGTCAGCTTCCTCCCGGGCTAGCGTCACTTCAACGGCTCAAAACGTTCTCAGTGGCGGACAACCTTCTTACCGGTCCTGTCCCAAATTTCACGGAATCCGTGAACATTGGACTGGATAGTTTCGCTAATAACATGGATTTGTGTGGTCCGCCTTTGGATGCTTGCGTTGATCTGGAAGAAGAAAAGATCCGGTCAGGGAAGATGGGCGCAGCAATTGGTGCGGCTTTATTTGGACCAGTAGGTGCATTCTTAGGCTTGTTCTTCTCCAATGGTAGGAAGGAAAAACAAGGAGAGATATAAACACATGTTATCATCGATGTCTTATTCACATTGGGGATTGAAACACATGTTATCATCGATGTCTTAATTAGCTTTATCTCTGCACACTTTACAACGTGTAATTGAAAAGAGTATATGCATGATTTATATATCTATGCCTAAAGATATTTGAGTTTAATTTAAAGCTGTTGAAAAAGAAAAAATTATAAGATTGGAAGATAAAATATAAAGTATTTGTTTTCTTGTTATATAATTAGCTTTGAAACAGATTCTTACTGTTACAATAATGTAACAGCTTCTGTAATATATTATTTTTGACTTTGATAAAAGTATTTTGAACATTCTCGGGAGATATACACCTTAGATTGATAACTAACTACATTATCTATCGATTATTGTTTTCTTTTCCTTTTCTCACAGTTAATTCTATTAGTTTTTCGTCAATTATTTTCTTTTGTTGGAAAAAACCTCTAACCATATTAAACACGTATAATCTGCTAAAAACCAGAAACTAAACCAACTTCTTTGCAATATAAATTACGAATCAAATTCAAATTCAAAGTAATCGAAAAAAAAAAAAAAAACAAGAACACACACAATAATGGCGAGATCCTTCGATTTTTGTTTATTCTTCATATTCATTTATTCAACATCAAAGCTAACCACAAGCTATCCTCTCTCCACAAAGTCTAGATGGATCGTGGACGAGAAAGGCCAAAGAGTGAAGCTAGCATGCGTGAACTGGCCGGCTCATCTCCAGCCCACGGTGGCCGAAGGGCTAAGCAAACAACCATTAGACTCCATCTCCAAGAAGATTGTCTCAATGGGATTTAACTGTGTTAGGCTTACTTGGCCTCTTGATTTGATGACTAATGACACATTGGCTCTTAATGTTACGGTTAAACAGTCTTTCGAAAGCTTGAAGTTGTTTGAAGATGTTCTTGGGATTCAAACTCACAATCCCAAATTACTTCATCTTCCCCTTTTCAATGCATTCCAGGTAACTTTAATGTTAGATCATTGGTTTGTTCTATCTGAAATATGCCAAACCGGGCTATGTTCATTATATGGACTATCTAAACGTGATCTAATTCGAAACAATAACAAATTAACCAAAATTGATCGCACGAAAGAAAAAGAAATCATTCTTAAGGATAATTTAAACCAATTCCAATCGCTAGGATGGAAGGGAATATCTAAATATATTATATTAAAAAAAAAAGGTGATGAGAAATGTAAGAACTTTATGCAAAACAAAAAACTTTTACTCTCTCTCCTTTAAGTTTTTTTCCCTGTCAATTCTTCATTTGTTTTGATATTTTAAATAAATTAAATAAAAAGTATTATTATTAAATTCTAGAGAGATTCTATTAGGTTGTTAACTGATAAAGATGCTCTAACAAATAAATAAATATCTATCATTGTCATTTGTCAATTGGTTTTGATGTTGAATTGATATTTGATGTGAAATTTTGTCACAATTCCTTTTGTTTTATGTAAAACTTAACAGTATCAATCAAACCCAATGTGTAGTAACTTCGTTATGATTTTAGAAACAACAAAGAAATCGAACTTTCCATCTCAAAAAAGCGTTCACTCTTTACATATCTTGGAGTTGGGACCAAAAGTGATCAAAGTGTTTTGTGACTCATAGATACACATACAAAATTATGTTTATTGTTATTATATGTTGTCAGGAAGTGGTGTCGAACCTAGGACAAAACGGTGTAATGGTGATACTAGACAACCATTTGACAACGCCAGGCTGGTGCTGCGGCGACAATGACCTCGACGCCTTCTTTGGCTACCCTAAGTTTGATCACAAATTTCACACAAAAAAATAGTCCATCAAGTAGAGAGGTTAAATGAGTTAAGTTTCCACCATTTTCAATAAAAATATAGAACCAAAATTAATTAGTATTGTTTTTAATGTTCACGTGTTCGTGCATGCATGCGTGTTAATGGTAACGTGAAGGCATATGCCACAAGGAGCAGAAGCAGTGCACGCCGCAAACCCTAAATTACTAGTCATCCTCTCCGGCATCGACTTCGACACAAACCTCTCTTTCCTCCGTGACCGTTCCGTCAACGTCAGCTTCACCAACAAACTCGTCTTCGAGCTCCATTGGTACAGTTTCTCCGACGGCAGAGATTCGTGGAGAAAACACAACTCTAACGATTTCTGCGTCAAAATCATCGAAAAGGTTACACACAACGGAGGATTCTTGATTGGGAGAGGCTTTCCTTTGATCTTGACTGAGTTTGGGACTGACCAGAGAGGCGGTGACATCAGCGGAAACCGGTATATGAATTGTTTGGTGGCTTGGGCGGCCGAGAATGATTTGGATTGGGCGGTTTGGGCGTTAACCGGAGATTATTATTTGAGAACCGGTAAAACGGATTTAGATGAGTCTTATGGCCTTTTGCAGGCCAATTGGAAAGATATCAGAAACTCTACTTACTTGCAAAAACTCTCCGGAATCCAACATGCCTTTAAAGGTCAGATCAGTTTTTTTTTTTTTTTTTTTTTCAATCACTTAAAAGATATAAAAACTCAAAACGCTAAATTTATTATTTGCTAAATGCAGTATCTTGAACTTTCTTATTTTTCATAATTTGTTTATTTTCTAGATTTCTCGGGACACATCAAATAATTACACTATTGATGCTAAATTATATATGTAGGACCGGGATTGCGACCCAACAACAACCTTCTCTTTCATCCATCAACAGGACTCTGCGTCACCAATAATGCCTCAGACAATTTACTCACACTTCGATTGGGACCATGCCCTAAATCCGACCCATGGACCTTTAATCCCCAAGAAGGCATTCTTTGGGTCAATAAAATGTGCGTGGAAGCTCCAAACGTTGCTGGACAAAAGGTGAAGCTTGGAGTTGGCACAAAGTGTTCTAAGTTGGGACAAATCTCAGCTACTAAGATGCATTTGTCGTTCAAGACAAGTAATGGTTTGTTGCTATGTCTTGACGTGGACGAACGTGACAACAGCGTCGTCGCTAACCCTTGCAAATGTTTGACCATGGATGCTTCATGTGATCCAGCGAGCCAATGGTTCAAAGTTCTTTGAATTCTATTTTCCATGTTTTATTATTGAGAAAATGTAGTTGTAATCAAGACTACCATTTGAGCATATTCAATTATTCATTATTAAAAAAAAAAGCTAAAAAACTTTAACAGTAGTGGGCTTCTGCGATTAAAATAATAATGGGCTGAGAATAGAAGAAATTAAGGCCCATTTCACTTGATATCTAATATTGCCACGTGTCAGTCAACTTAGCCACTGAGAATTTTCCAGATTATCTGAGTCATGAGCCATCTGACTACAGTAGTTGGAAAATTAACCACTGACGAAAAATATGATAAGCCTTAGGTTTCAACCAAGCACCACCGCCGGTGTTTTATCGGCGTCGGTGAGCCGTGCCGGTTTTATCAAGCGGTGCGGTTCGACTAAACCGGGAAAGGTTTGCCGGTTTGTAATAATGGCGACGGCGGCGACTCCTCTCGAAATCTGCGTCAAAGCTTCTATCACCACACCCAACAAGCTCGGAGACTGTGAGCTCTCTCTCTCCGTAAACTTTGAAATGTTGATGATTAGCTGCAATTTGATCCCTCTTTCACTCAATTTCGAATTGCAGATAGATAATTCGTGTTAGCTCCATTGGTGCTTAGACTGTTTCTTTGGTTAAAAAATTGATAATTTCGAAATGTGAATGATAATTGATCTCTGTTTTGATCAATTTTCGCTTGCAGATAGATACTTAGACTTAAGAATTTGATGATTTCGTTTGTTAAACTTAATTGGTGCGTAGATTGTTTCTTAATTTTGAAAACTGAAACTATTCAAAACATATTTTAAGGTATAATATGCAAACACGATTGCTTTTATGTTGTGGCCACTGGTTTCGAGGGTTTTTAAGTGAGTTGGTTATATGCATAATTTTGTTGATAGGCCCTTTTTGCCAAAGGGTGTTGCTGACATTGGAGGAGAAGCATGTTCCTTATGACATGAAAATGGTGGATTTGAGTAACAAGCCAGAATGGTGAATTCTTGGATTCCTTCCCTAATGTGTTTGAAGTAGACATGATTCGTAATTAATGGCAGTGATTTCCTTTAGTTTTTTCAATGTTTTGTGTTCTTTTTTTTTAATGTTTCTAGGTTCTTGGAAATTAGTCCAGAAGGTAAAGTCCCAGTCGTGAAGTTTGATGAGAAATGGGTTCCGGATTCAGATGTTATAACACAGGCTTTAGAAGAAAAGTATCCTGAGCCTCCTCTTGCTACCCCACCTGAAAAGGCTTCAGTGTAAGCATTCCTTTTTTTTTTTTCCTCGGTCTATGATGATGCTGTGCACTTGGTTTAGTGCAATTGATCTATTACTGTTCTTGGTTGAAAACGGGCATCTGACAATTTGCATACTTCCAGTTAAGAATTTATGTCTGGACGTTTAATATATGTCTATGTATGCAGTGGGTCGAAGATCTTTTCCACATTTATCGGTTTTCTCAAGAGCAAAGATCCAGGAGATGGAACTGAGCAAGTTTTGTTGGATGAGCTTAGTACATTCAACGATTATATCAAGGAAAATGTAAGCTCTTTTGGTCCCTTCTAGATCCTTGAGTAATAGTTGAGATGATCTTATAGTAGATTGTTCTGACTGTTGAGCGAAACATATATTTACCGCTCTGTCTTCCTTACTTACTGTGAAGGGCCCATTCATAAATGGAGAGAAGATTTCAGCAGCAGATTTGTCCTTGGCACCAAAGTTATACCACATGAAGATTGCATTGGGACATTACAAGAACTGGTCTGTTCCAGATTCGCTTCCGTTCGTCAAATCCTACATGGAGGTAAATGTCCGGAAAAACCGAGCTAGTCCTAAGATGTTTGTTCTCTGCAACCTCATTCTCGTTCGATCATTTATTTTATTTTCATTTGGTTTACAGAATGTTTTTTCGAGGGAATCATTCACGAACACACGGGCGGAAACAGAGGATGTAATTGCCGGTTGGAGACCAAAGGTGATGGGTTAAGAGATTTAGATGTTTGACCTCAAGGGATCATCTTCTAGTTGTCTTCTACTAAATGTAAAAAACATAATAACCAAAAATCTTATTCAAAGTCACCTATAAAATATACATTTCTTATATAGTGAAAACTAGCACAAATTATTACCGTAAGCAAAATATTTACTCTGCGACCAACTTGACCATTAAAACAGCAACAATTACAGAATTGCCCTTCCGTCATCCATTCCTTCCCTCTTCCCCTTAAACCCCATTTTGTCACCAGCAGCTTATCTCTTTTTTTCTGGGAATTTCAAATTCCTTTCTCGCCCCAGATTTTCTCGGGAATCTGTCGGGCGTTTCTTCAGAATCTGCCATGATTCTCCAAACGGCTTTCTCTCTACCCACACCTACTGCTACTACTACTCTTTTATCTCGCAGCTGTCCTCACCAGCTCAACACTCTGTTCTTCACTCACCGACGCCGTCGATTAATTTCCCCATCCCGCTTTAATTCAAGTTTTGCGCAACGTAGATTCTCTTCCTCTGGTACCTTCGTCGCTATTCTATCTCCAGTTCGTTGTCTTGAAACTTGAAGTCTGTTTCCTATGGCTCTTTTGTTGCTTATGTTTGTTTCAAATGAATCCATAACTGCGATATTATCGGAATTCTTATGTATTCATTTCATAAACGGGTTTGATGATAAGCAATTGTATATTCGTATTTACATTTGAATTCCTCTTTTGTATTTCAGTTGCTGCGTCAGGAAATAATGTCTTTACTTCTCCTGAGACATCCAAGACCTTTGATTTTTCCTCTGAGGAGAAAATATACAAATGGTAATTTATTCTGCTGATATATTGGAATTATGGGTTTGGATATCGCAATGTACTATGGGAACTTGGATTTTGTGATAATTCTGATGATTTTTGGGATTTGGGCATTTTATTTTAGGTGGGAGTCGCAAGGCTACTTCAAACCAAATTTTGACCAAGGAGGCAGTCCTTTTGTGATACCAATGCCACCTCCTAATGTTACTGGTTCTCTTCACATGGGCCATGCAATGTTTGTCACTCTTGAGGTTGTGGAATCCATATTCAGAATAATTCACAGTCATTTGGGTATTCCATTTTATGTTCCTATTTTCATTTGACCTTTTTAGTTTTTTAGGCGCTTCCACACTTCTTAAGTTGTCTTGAATTATTGTTTAGTAATGCCATGTTTCTTTGTGCATTAACTGTGTTATACTATGGTTCTGCTATTCTCATCGCTTTTTTATTTTGTTACAGGATATTATGGTTCGGTACAATAGGATGAAAGGGAGACCAACACTTTGGCTTCCCGGGACTGATCATGCTGGTATTGCCACTCAGGTTCATTTCCTCGTTCAAAGTTCTTGTTTTGCATGGTATTTCTACTAGTGTTTGCCTGTTTGTTTTGTGCTCACTATGATTTTTACATCTTGCTTCTTCACACTCCATTGCTCTTGTTCATAAACCAATCTACCACATTTACTTTATTAAAAAGTCCTTTTCTTGTAGAGTATAATTTGTATAGATAATATTTGCATTGTTTGGGGAATGTTTCTGAAATATTTGACTGAAGCTACTATATTTCTTTCAGTTGGTCGTGGAAAAGATGCTAGCGTCAGAAGGCATTAAGAGAGTGGATTTAGGTAGAGATGAGTTTACCAAAAGAGTCTGGGAATGGAAGGAGAAGTAAGCTATCTAATCACTGCAATAGATTAATTCAAAATATCTATTTCAAAAGTATCTGTATTATACTCTGGCTGTGTTTCCATTCTTCGAACAAGTCATAAGTTATCGATCTTCTGGAAAAATATGCAGTATACATTTCTTTTAATTGAGTAAATTGGTGTTCCTGTACCATTCCGAAGGCCAATGCTTTCATTAAAAGATAAAATCGACTATATTTCTATCTGATATATAAAGGGTAAGGCTGGAATTATAGTTTGTGTGTTTTTTCTCAGGTATGGCGGAACCATCACAAATCAGATTAAAAGACTGGGTGCTTCTTGTGATTGGAGTCGAGAGCGCTTTACTCTTGATGAGCAATTGAGTCGTAAGGCATCTCTCTATAGTTTCCAAATCTTCTAGATGGTGATTCTTATAGCAGACTATAGGTGGTGCTCAAAGTTGACGTTATATGATTTTGAGTGGTATTTTAGAATTCAAAAACTTTGGCAAGTAAAATATTATGCAGTTTTTAGGTGGTTCAAAAAGTTTCTCGTTGCTCTTATTTTCAAATTGTATGTACTTACACCTTGAATTTATTCTGTATATTCCTTGATTCTCTTTTACCCCGAATTTGTAGGAGCTGTGGTCGAGGCTTTTGTAAAACTTCATGACAAGGGGTTGATATATCAAGGTAAGCTATTATGTATTTTGGTTTCTGTTGTCGTAGCTTTAAGTAGTGATGTGCTGTACTGTACTCATACGACGTTTGGTGATTTTGGCATAACGTTTTCCAGGATCTTACATGGTCAACTGGTCCCCTAATTTACAGACTGCTGTTTCAGACTTGGTGTGTAATATATATTATCTAACACTCTATAGTTTGAATACCTTTTTTCTTTCTATAAGTGACTGTCTTGTTTTTACCAGGAAGTAGAATATTCAGAGGAACCTGGGTTTCTATACCATATTAAATACCGTGTAGCTGGAAGGTACTGTCCAGTTACCAGTACACCTTTACTCTTCCTTCTACTCTGTATTAGTGTATATTATGGACCCTTATATATAGCAAAATTATGTGAAAAGATAATTTCTTCTCACATCAATTTGATTATTCTCTGCTATTCAAAGAGTTCACAGAAGCATGATAGGGTTTGAAAAGCGTATCTTACGAGGCTTTAGATTATGTGATATGATCATTAAAACTTGTGGGACACAACGTTGGGTCTGTAAGAGTTGATTCGGCTGTAGTTGACCTTAAATTGTGAATTATTCTTGGAATCAGTGACTACCTTTGTTCTGTTTATGGAAATGGCTTAGCTGATCTTTCCTCGTGCAGTCCTGATTTTCTTACTATAGCAACGACTCGTCCAGAGACATTGTTTGGTGACGTGGCCCTTGCCGTGCATCCTGAGGTAGGTGGTGATATTTTTTTGTTTCCGTTGATAATAGGATATCGGCAATGACAGATGGTCTATCAGAGTCTGTTTGACGTGTTTTCAGTAAACAAACTTAGAAGCAAGTTTTATATTAGGGAGGGGAAGTATATAATGTGTAACACATTTTCTTTTGTATATTTCTTTACGTAAAATTTAAAATTTGAAAATGTAGTCCAGGTAGTTTGTCAGGTTGCTGGTCCAATTCAATGTAAGCAGATGTAATCTACAAACTTGATGATAATTTTTTTGGATCTCATGTGAATGTAGATCGTCTTCTAATCGTTTCCGTGAATAGGTGCTATTTTTTGGGTATCGTTTGAGGATTAATGTTGTGAAATGTATTTGGCATCTGGCAGGATGATCGTTATTCAAAATATGTTGGTCAGACAGCAATTGTACCTATGACATATGGTCGTCATGTCCCAATTATTGCTGATAAGGTGAACTCAGATCTACTGCGTATGCACTCTTTATGATGTCTTTTAAGATGAAATATCTGTTTCTAAGTTCAACAAGAAAAACGCTGCAGTTGTTTTTCTTTGCTATTCTTCATGCTTTAGTCATCAGTTTTTTTCCTGGGAAACTTCTAAGTTCTAGCTACTGAGAAGCAAGAAACTGAAGTTACCTCCATAGTATTTCCTATGCTGCTCTTCACATTTCTCACCAGTATTTCTGTGTACGGTGGCAGTATGTTGATAAGGATTTTGGGACTGGTGTTCTGAAGATAAGTCCTGGGCATGATCACAACGATTACCTTCTTGCAAGAAAGCTAGGTCTCCCCATATTGAATGTGATGAACAAGGATGCAACACTAAATGACGTTGCTGGCTTGTTTTGGTAACATTTTGTTTTATACTTATATGTTAGCTGCAGTAGTTTTAACATTATGAAATGGAATACCCTTAGGTTACATCTTAACGTCCATGGCGCCTTAACATACATCGTACTTTCAGTGGCCTTGACCGGTTTGAGGTGAGGGAGAGACTATGGGCAGATCTCGAGGAGACGGGTTTAGCTGTTAAGAAGGAGCCTCATACTTTACGAGTTCCAAGATCTCAGCGTGGTGGAGAAGTATTTTTCTACTGACCAGTATCACTTTTCAGTTCGTTAGAAGTTCATATATTTTCTCATGCATGGGTTAACTGGTTTTAGGTTATTGAGCCACTTGTAAGCAAACAATGGTTTGTCCACATGGATCCTTTAGCTGAGAAGGCTCTTCTTGCTGTTGAAAACAAAAAACTTACCATCATACCTGAAAGATTTGAGAAGGTATGCAAGCGACTGGTTGGTGTTATTAGTTACTGAGCTGGTATCTGTCTTTTTCTCCTCAGTTTGGCGAATTCTCTGCAAGGTTTTGATTTTTGATTGTTTACACTGCATACTTCTGCTTTTGCTTATATTTCCTGTCGCCACTTACAGATATACAATCACTGGCTGACAAATATTAAGGATTGGTGCATAAGCCGGCAGCTGTGGTGGGGGCATCGCATACCAGTTTGGTATGTGGTTGGAAAGGATTGCGAGGAGGATTACATAGTTGCTAAAAATGCGGAAGAAGCCCTTGAGAAAGCCCATGAGAAGTACGGAAAAGACGTTGAAATATATCAGGATCCAGATGTTCTTGACACCTGGTTTTCCAGGTTAGTTTCTCAGTTAGATTTTTTGGAGATTACTTTTCTCCTGCGTGTCTTTGTTTTAGAAATAGTCACTAGTTTAATCATTGGAAAGTTTCAGTTTCCTCAGAATAGTTACAATGAATTAGTGCTTTTTCTCTGAAGAATATATACAGGCGCTGAACATGTTTTTCCTGATTTTGCAAGAACTTCCTATATCATTTACCTAAGATGTTTTTTCTGCAGCTCGCTGTGGCCATTCAGCACTCTTGGCTGGCCTGATGTATCAGCGAAGGATTTCAATAACTTCTACCCTACAAATATGTTAGAAACAGGGTATAATCCTTTCTTTCTTGTCGATCAGGAAAACAGTGGCTGCTACCATCAGGGCTAATGTTAATGTTAGACCCTTAACTAGTAAGGAAAAAATTTAGGACCAACAACAATTTTTCTGTTACCAAGAACTAATGTCTAAATTAAGTAAAACCTGGAAAGCAAATGCGCTTTAGTTGCAGTTTGCGTTTTTGAAATTCCCATTACTTCCTTTATATAACTATTGTCCTTTTATTTGGACAGGCATGACATATTATTTTTCTGGGTAGCAAGAATGGTTATGATGGGAATAGAATTTACAGGGACCGTTCCATTTTCTCATGTCTACCTTCACGGACTTATAAGGGACTCTCAAGTAAGTGTTAGGCTTTTTGCTTGTTCTAGTAAATGTGTTTTTTCTTTTTTTTTTCTTTTCAGACGAGGTAACTACGCAAACCTTGATCATTGAGGCTTTTCATATCATTATCTCTCACGTCTCCCTATATGCTATTAAATGTTAAGTAACTTCTAGGATTCCTATTTAAGGGGGAACTAGTATTTTAGTTAACCAGATTATTTGTAATTTTCAGGGGAGAAAAATGTCAAAATCTCTTGGGAATGTGATTGATCCGCTTGACACAATCAAAGATTTTGGCACTGATGCTCTGAGATTTACGATTGCACTAGGAACTGCTGGTCAGGTTTGATCTCTACTGTGTTGAGGCAGCTAAACCATGATTTTTGGGAGGTTTACATTAAAATGTCATATTTATTCCTTTCATGTTTTCCCCATTACCTTTTTGTTAGGATCTGAACTTATCTACTGAGAGGTTAACTGCAAATAAAGCATTCACCAACAAACTATGGAATGCTGGAAAGTTTGTGTTGCATAGTCTGCCTAGTCTAAGTGATACATCTGCTTGGGAGAATTTGCTGGCCCTCAAGGTTTGCTTGCTTTTCCATCTCTACTAGAAAGTATAAGGGAACTGTGGTACATTTGTCCTTTTAGTGACAGACTAAGTATGATATAAAGTCGAAGTCATTTAAAATATGTTTAAGACTATGTTGGTGTTAAGATGGGTTCATGGACCATAAAAGTCTCACAAAAAACGAGGTAGATTTAGATAAAAGAGATTGGTCAGACCTCTTTCCAGGAGTATCTCCATCTGCATACCTTTTGCCATTACTTAAAACAGTTGCAGAATCGCATCACAAGTGATAAGCTACCTTAGGCTGCTCTCTTACTATCGATTTGTTGTGACATTTTACGATGTTTGTCTAACATTTTGTTTCTCTTTTTTTTTGACAGTTGGAAAAAGAGGAAACCCTGCTTAGTTTACCCTTGCCTGAGTGTTGGGTGGTATAATATTTTTACCCTGAAGTTATCAAATAGTTCAATTTGCCTACCACCTTATATTCCTTTTGTATTACTTTCAGGTGTCAAAACTCCATATTCTCATTGATTCCGTCACAGCAAGCTATGAGAAGTTGTTCTTTGGTGATGTAGGAAGAGAAACATATGATTTCTTTTGGAGTGACTTTGCTGATTGGTATCATCACGTCAACTCTTAACAACCAATACATGTTTCTTATACTTAATTGACTGACTAGTCTACTCTACAGGTATATTGAAGCCAGCAAATCTCGACTGTATGGATCTGGAGGCAATTCAGTTTCTCTAGCTTCTCAGGCAGTTTTGTTATATGTCTTTGAGAATATACTAAAGCTGTTGCATCCATTTATGCCGTTTGTAACTGAGGATCTATGGCAGGTAACATACTCTCAGTTTTGCTATCTGGGTATTTATTTTTTACTTTTATTGGCCCTGGACTATTTATTTAGGCCAACTGCACTGGGCATGATTTTCCTTATGAAGTAAAGTAAAAGGACCGAAAACTCAGGCATATGTGGTTGATATTTTGGTACTGCTACCAAAAAATGATTTCAGCTTCACAAAACTAAAATTATGGATGCATTTGTATTTGCAGGCACTTCCCTACAGGAAGCAAGCGCTTATTGTGTCTCCATGGCCACAAAATTCACTTCCAAGGAATGTTGAATCAATAAAAAGATTTGAGAATTTACAAGCGCTGGTAAGTATGAATTTTTACCTTTTATATATTCTGTAAACCTCCAACGGAACCATGCTCAAAGGATTTAATATTTATAAGCTCAGAACATGTTGACACCTTGCCTGTTAAATCACAGACTAGAGCAATTCGAAATGCACGAGCAGAGTATTCAGTGGAGCCGGTAAAGCGTATATCTGCCTCAGTTGTTGGAAGTGCAGAGGTCATTGAATATATTTCGGTCAGTAACTGGTTGCTTATCTTACGAATAAGGTTTATTAATTTGCCTTGTGTTTCCTTAATAAAAACTGTGTTTGTGTCGGTGCAGAAAGAGAAGGAGGTATTAGCTCTTCTATCCAGGCTTGACTTAAACAACGTCCATTTTACCAATGCCCCTCCTGGTATAATTATCTTTAATTTCTCTTTTCTTTTCTCTATTTGCGTCTTATCTCAATATTTACATTTTCGCGGATTCCCTTAAACTCATCATGGTCACAATAAAACTCCACATGGTTGGTCCTTTAGGTGATGCAAATCTCTCAGTCCATATTGTTGCCAGTGAAGGACTAGAGGCATATCTACCTCTTGCAGCTATGGTTGATATATCTTCTGAAGTCCAACGCATTTCCAAACGTCTCTCCAAGATGCAAACTGAATATGATGCCCTCGTAACTCGTCTCAGTTCACCAAAGGTATACCAAAACCATCAAAAGAATCTCTTAAATACACTTGTTAGAAATTGTTTTCGATAAGCGTATTAAACATGGTGCATTGGTTTTAGACTCTGCTTGTCTTACAACATTTTAACGCTGAGATATGTAGTTTGTGGAGAAAGCTCCAGAAGAAGTGGTGAGAGGTGTAAAGGAGCAAGTAGAAGAATTAGAAGAGAAGATAAAGCTGACCAAAGCTAGGCTTGGTTTTCTCAAGTCTACTACTTCTTTAGTGTCTCAGTAAATTCAGGTAAATTATTATGCTCTCAAGTTGGGGCCCGACCAATACCGGCCCATGGACCATCAGATATCGGTTGATTTGTGACCATTTGAGGCTTAGGCTATTGTCGATGACACTACCTGTATTAATTTCTCTTTTTTTTGGGACCCCAAAATTTAGTTTGAAAATACACCCTCCCCAAAAAAAAAAAGATCAAATGTCAACTTCTTTTTACCGGTCCTATTGTCGGGGTCCATAATGCCTTTTTAAGCAGAAAGTGGATATTTTTATATTTGTTGGTTATGCTACAATTGTATTTACTATTATTTAATAGCCTCACCAACTAGACAAAATGTGTACTAGTATTAATCAGTACTACTAGTGTAATGCAGTTTCATAGAGTATTAGAAAAAGATGACAGAAAAAGGAAAAAAAATAGTAGTAACCCACACCTAAAGCAAAAGAAGCAATAAGAACTGCCCCAACTTTAAAGATTTTTTTCCTTTTTTTTTTTAATGTTTCTTTTGACAACCAAATATTCATCATCACGCTCTCTTTTTGCCTGTCGACAATTTCTCTATCCAATTTGCTAATTTAATTTTCTGGATCGTTAATCACAACATGATAACAAACCGTGAACAAGTCACTAACATAATGACTAATGAAGTTTTTTATTATACAAACACACAACATTACTCTTTGGAAAATTACTCCACTTTCTCATTAACATCTGAATTCTCAAAGATTACATACTATTTTAAGCTAACCAAAAATCGAAGTTTAGGTTAGAAAACTTATTACCGGTTTAGTTCATAATTTCGGTTCAGATCTAAACCAACTTAAAACTAGAGACAAAGACAGCGTCGTTAGCGCATGATACCCGACAACATCATTCTCTCTCTCTCTCTCCTCTTCTCTCTCTCTTCTCTCAGTTTCAGCGAAGGAAGCAGAGGAGCCAAATCAATGGCGGCCAACAATTTCGCGACGAAGCTAAGCAGAAACACCAATAGAATTACAGTAATCTTGGTCTACGCATTTCTTGAATGGCTTCTCATGTTCTTTATCTTCCTCAATTCCTTTTTCACTTACTTTATCGTCAAATTCGCCTCTTTCTTCGGTCTTAAGCAAGTATGTCTTCTCTGTCCGAAGCTAGATCGAATCTTCGAGCGAAACCCAGAAACTAGATTCACTTACAGAGAGCTTTTATGTCAAAATCACATCGCGGAGCTCGCAAGTCTGAGTTTTTGCACAACTCATGGGAAATTATCCGAATCGGCGAACTTGTGCTCTGATTGCTCTAACCGCGAAGAAGAACAGAGCAACATTGGTTTAGGGTTTTGCACATGTTGTCAAAAGAGCTTAGCGGATAAACCCTACCCTAATTACTTGCTTATCAAGTCATCAATTTGGGGGAAAACTTTGGGTGATAAAGAAAATGGAGGATTGATCTTAGAGATGATCGATGATGATAAATTTGGAGATGGGTTTGAGATAGAGAGAGAATCTTATCCCTTAGGATTCTTCAGAGGTAAAGCAGAAGAAGGAAAGAGACAAGAGCAGCAGCAAAATGGTGAAGTGATTTCAGATGTTGAGAGCTATGGTTTAAGCTTGAGAGAAGTGTCTGAGGAGGATGGGTTAAGATCTATCATCAGCAATAATTCTCCTGGGAACGAAGAAGGAACCCCAGAAGCTAAATCAAGAGTATCAGAGGATGAACAAAGGGATGATGATACTAGCAATGTTGCCACATATGGGGAAGATCAAATTTCAGGTAGAGTGAGAACATAAATTCAAAGTCTGAATTTTTATTTTTGTTTGTTTCTAGGGTTTATAGATTCTTCATTGTGATTAAACAACAGTGCATGTGGAAGAAAAAGGAGAAGGAACAGGAGGAGAAGATTTGTTGGATGACCAGTTTGAGAGCAAGAATTTCATTTGTAAGCAAAAAGAATGAATCTTTCATTTATCGAAAATCTCTTGTGCACATATGTATTCATCTTTAATTTGGTTTGTATATCAATGTGAAGAACTTTAAGGCTGAATAGAGTTTCTTCTTTCATAGGTAGCCAAAATGAAGAAGAAGAAGACGATATAGAAGAAAAGACCAAGGAGCTTGATCCAGAAACTCCAACTTCAGTCAGTACTTTATTTAACAAGAAACTTCATTTTCTTGCTAGAAATGAGTATGCAGCTTCTGAAGATGCAGGAGATGGGAGTGTATTAGTGAGTGAGATGGACGGTGGAGATCCTTTAAGGACTATTGAAAGGCTGAGAGAGACTGTGAGAGCAGAACAAGAAGCTTTGAGAGATTTATATGCAGAGCTGGAAGAAGAAAGAAGTGCGTCTGCAATATCTGCTAACCAGACAATGGCGATGATCACGAGGCTACAAGAAGAGAAAGCGAAAGTACAGATGGAAGCGTTGCAGTATCAGAGAATGATGGAGGAACAAGCCGAGTATGATCAAGAAGCCTTGCAGCTGTTGAATCATTTGATGGTGAAACGAGAGAAAGAGAAGGAACAACTCCAGAGAGAACTTGAGGTTTATCGGGCCAAGGTTTTAGAGTATGAATCGAAAGCTAAGAACAAAATCACAATTGCAGAAAGCAATGGTGAGGCTGCTGATGATAATAATGATACTGATGATGATGATACTAAAGAGGAGGAGAATAGAGAAGATGATAATTCTTCTGAGATGGATGTGGATTTGGAGAAGATAACATTGGATTGCGTACAACATATGAGCATGCTTGGTGAATCTTTATCAGAGTTTGAGGAAGAGAGGTTAGTGATTTTGGATCAGCTTAAGGTGTTAGAGGATAGGCTAGTAACAATGCAGGACAATGAATCTGCTGAGGACCCTGGAGAATTCAGCAATAGTTATGAAGAAGAGAGTAATGGACATGAAGGGCTAACAATGGCATCAATGGCAAAGAGTCTGCTACCTCTTCTAGACGCAGCAGAGAACGAATCAGAAGACGGGTCTCAAGAACCACCGGAATCCGATGAAAAGAACTTTGGTTCAGACAGTGAGAAACTGGAGATCATCAGACAAGTTGATAGTGTATATGAGAGGTTACAGGTGCTGGAAACAGATGGAGAGTTTCTGAAAAACTGTATGAGTTCAGCGAAGAAAGGTGACAAAGGAACAGATATTCTTAAAGATATACTGCAACATCTCCGCGATCTCAGAACAATTGAACTCACTGACACAATCGAAAACCAGACGACACAGGAAGAGTGATGTTTATTCACAAGAATTATATATGACCTCTCTCTCACCGTTGTTCAGACAGATTTCAACAACCGGAATCAATGTCTTTGCCCTGCTTCATGGAGGATCTGAGAATTACAGAAATTCTTAGATGTCTCTTGTTTGTGTTTTCTGTTTTTGTTTGGTGTAACAAAAGGTTTCACACACACAAGTCATTGGAGACTTGAGCCTGTCATGTAAATTATCTGTGTTTTTTGTAGTTCATGAAAATTTTCAGTTGGAAAATAATTATATTTTTAAAAGTAAATGAAATGTTCATAATAGTAACAATGGCACATAAAAATGGTTCATTATATAAATTATGACATTCTGAACATTTTGTAGAGATTACAGAAAATAAATTTTCTAGATAACAGATTGTATACAACATATGAATTTAAGTACCATTTGCCTCATTATACATTTACATTGCATTGATGATAATCGCATAAGAGCATACACAGTGGTGTAACTCTGCATCGGGTGTAAGTAATAAAAAAAAGGAAAATAATGAAAAAGTTGTCTTAGAAACGAAACCCGCGTGTAGAGTTACACTCGGATGTGGGAGGGTTTGGCTTCTCACTTTCTCTCTCTTACATTATTTTATTAATAAAACCCCATTAACACACACCCACCCACTTTTACCACTGCCTATGCTCTAAGCCTATCAAACTGTAAATAGCTGGCCCATTTAGCCCAAACATTGCTAGTACTGGGGCCATTCTTGATGGTTTCTTCAAACTTCTTGATCAAGTGCTTGAGCCTTGAAGCATGCTGTGACTGATTCCCTTGCTTTCGAGTATTTTGCTAACATGATGGATAACAAGTTGCCACCAGGCCCACCACACCTGGAATTCCACTAATGAAACATCCTTGTTAAAAAAAGAAAACTCCCTCCTGAAGCAAAAGACAGACTTTGAAGCAACTGGGCTAAAAATAGATTTGCAGTTCCTTTTGAATGTCATTTGTTTAGTCTAGCTTAGTATTATCAGGCATGTATCTAATACATGTCTACAAGCAAGACTAAACTAAACATATATAACTGGTAAAATTAAGAAAATGTAATTAAATTACAAAGCAATTATAAAACATATTGAAAATGTCGTTTAGTTTATTGATTATTTTTTGTCTCACGGTATGTAACTAAATATGTGCTAAGAAACGATACAAATGAATTTCAATGAATAGAAGAATACATATATTTTAAATGATTGATTCTGGTATAACCTATACTTAGGAGTTTCCGTATAAACAAACACCACATTGCATTAATTTGCATAAACAAAACTCATGATTATACTTAGGCAGATAAAGGCATCATTAGTCTCTCATCTCATCTCATGTGTTCTTTACCAATGGTCACATGCCCAATTTACTTTTGCATTCATCCTAATAATATGTAAATAAAAAACCTAGTATATATCATTAGGAAAACAAAATAAAGATGGTTGCGATAATGATTGATGATAATGAATAATGTATAGTTTTTTACCAACTTCATGTACAAACAAATCATTGAACTATATCAATTTTTTTGCAAAATGATTTAAATATTTATTTCTTATGAACGCATTTATATACAACCGTATAATAATAATAATAAATTGGAAACACGGAACGTTGACAAAAAAGAAAGAAAATGGCGAAGAATAAGAGCCGTTGATCTTTTAGAAGCCGCAATGATATGACAAGAAGAGTGACGGTAGTTTCGCTGTCAGTTTGATTGGACTAAAGAAGAGTTGTGTGGTCATTTTCGTCATTTTACCAACCTTCACGTTCTCTTAATATATTTCTTTCTATTTTACCATTATTTAATGAAGCTAAAATTATTAGTGGTTCTTTGTTTTTTTTTGATACATCGGAATATCGGATCGGTAGGAGAATCCTACTAATTTTTTTAATTTAAAAAAAAAAAACAAAACCTTTTTTACTCGTAGTGAGGCCACTCTGGAGACAACCACACCTGCCATTATCTATCATTCTCCGTTACTTCGATCCCACCGATTCGAATCATATTGTCTCTCTCTTTCTCTCTTTCTTGATCTGATATCCAAAAATTGAGTCCCAATTCCAGCATCATACCGATCGAATTTCTGTAATTCCGGCATTGTTCTTGTAATCGATCACCTGCGCGGCGGCGGTGGCGATCGGCGGCTATGGCTTCGAAGACTAAGTAAGACTCTCACTCTGTTTTTAGTTTTATCCTATTTAATTATCTGGAGATTTTTTTAGTAGATCTGATCGAAATTACTATTTTGAGAAATTGTCAATGATCGAGAGTTTAGAGATCTAAATTTATTTCTAGATTTGTTTTGTCCTAATTTCTTGCGGCAATTAAATTCTCTGTTTTGCTTTCTTGCTGAATTCGACTTCTGTTGTTGTTGTCTTTTGTTGGAAACAGAACTAGTTTGTCCGAAACTACTACTACGGGGAAATCAACTCCCGCAACTCCAAGAATAGCAAAAAGGGTAGTGAATAAATCCGAAACTAATAATAATTCTCCATCAACTACTACTACTCCACATTCACGTCTTTCTCTTGATCGTTCTTCTCCAAATTCCAAGTCTTCTTCTGTTGAGAGACGATCTCCAAAGCTTCCAACTCCTCCTGAGGTAATAAAACTGTTGCCATTTTGTTTTTATGTTGGAGCTGCTTCCACTCGTAATGTTTTCTTTGACATGACACTTTGCTTGCTGATGATTCGCAGAAAACTCAAGCGCGGGTAGCGGTGAAAGGAACAGAATCACCGCAGACCCGGTTGAGTCAAATCAAGGAAGATTTGAAGAAAGCTAATGAGCGGATTACTTCACTGGAGAAGGATAAAGCTAAAGCACTTGATGAACTCAAACAAGCTAAAAAAGAAGCTGAAGAAGCGACTGTGAAGCTGGATGATGCTTTGAAAGCTCAGAAACATGTTGAGGAGAATTCTGAGATTGAGAAGTTTCAGGCTGTTGAGGCGGGGATCGAGGCAGTTCAGAACAATGAAGAAGAATTGAAGAAAGAACTAGAGAATGTTAAGAACCAACATGCTTCAGATTCTGCTGCTCTTGTTTCCGTTAGACAGGAGCTTGAGAAAATCAATGAAGAATTGGCTGCGGCCAATGATGCTAAGACTAAGGCCTTGATCCAAGCAGATGATGCTAGTAAGACTGCTGAGATTCATGCAGAGAAAGTTGACATCTTGTCTTCGGAGTTGGCGCGGTTGAAAGCTTTGCTTGATTCAACCCGAGAAAAGACTGCCATATCGGGCAACGAGATGGTTGCCAAGCTAGAAGACGAGATTGTGGTTTTGAAAAGAGATCTTGAGAAAACGAGAGGTTTCGAGGCAGAGGTTAAAGAAAAAGAGATGATCATCGAGAAGCTTAATGTTGACCTCGAAGCTGCGAAGATGGCAGAATCTTCTGCACATAACTTGTCTGACGAGTGGCAGAGCAAAGCCAAAGAACTGGAGGAACAGCTAGAAGAAGCTAACAAGTTGGAGAGATCTGCTTCTGTATCTTTGGAATCTGTGATGAAACAGCTTGAAGGAAGCAATGATAAATTGCATGATACGGAAACTGAAATCACTGATCTTAAGGAGAAGACTGTGACATTGGAGACGACAATTGTTAAACAGAAGGAGGATCTCGAGGAATCTGAGAAACGGTTGGGCAGTGCAGAAGAAGAATTATCTAAGATTGAAAAAGAAGTAGAGGACTTGAAGAGTGAGCTTGAAACTGTGAAGGAGGAGAAAAATCGGGCTGTAAAGAAGGAGCAAGATGCTACTTCAAGGGTTCAAAGGCTTTCGGAAGAGAAAAGCAAGCTCTTATCAGATCTAGAGAGCTCAAAAGAGGAAGAGGAGAAGAGTAAGAAAGCAATGGAGAGTTTAGCTTCCGCTCTGCACGAAGTGTCGAGTGAAGGAAGGGAGTTGAAAGAGAAGTTGTTGAGTCAAGGCGATCACGAGTATGAATCACAAATAGAAGACTTGAAGTTGGTGATTAAAGCGACGAACGAGAAGTATGAGAATATGCTTGACGAGGCGAGACATGAGATCGATGTTCTTGTTAGCGCGGTCGAACAAACCAAGAAACATTTCGAGAGCTCAAAGACGGATTGGGAGATGAAAGAAGCCAATTTGGTGAATTACGTGAAGAAAATGGAAGAAGATGTTGCTTCGATGGGGAAGGAAATGAATAGGCTGGATAATTTGCTGAAGAGAACCGAGGAAGAAGCCGATGCAGCTTGGAAGAAAGAAGCCCAAACGAAAGACAGTTTAAAAGAAGTGGAAGAAGAGGTCGTTTATCTTCAGGAAACTCTTGGGGAAGCAAAAGCAGAAAGCATGAAGCTAAAGGAGAATCTGTTGGATAAAGAAACTGAGTTTCAAAACGTCATTCACGAAAACGAGGATCTGAGGGCAAAGGAGGATGTTTCTTTGAAGAAGATCGAGGAGTTATCAAAGTTACTCGAGGAAGCAATATTGGCCAAGAAGCAACCTGAAGAAGAGAATGGCGAGCTCAGTGAGAGCGAAAAAGACTACGATTTGCTACCAAAAGTGGTCGAGTTTTCTTCTGAGAACGGTCATAGAAGTGTAGAAGAGAAATCTCCTAAAGTCGAAACCCTTGATCATGAAGCTCCACAAGAGCAGTTCAGCAATGGCAATGGTATGGAGGAGAAAGAAGTGAATGGAAAACCGGAGGTGGAAACTGAGAAGAAGGAGAAGAAAGATGAATCCCCAGATGATGACAAAGATGATTCGGTTGAAGTTATATTCAAAATGTGGGAAAGTTGCCAAATCGAGAAGAAAGAAGCTTTTCCCGACAAGAAATCAGAACTAGAGTCTCAAGAAGAAGAAGAGGATTCAAGCAAAATCGATGAAAGCGACAAAACTTCAACAGAGAACATCGATGAAACAGGAAACGCTTTAACCGCAGAAGACCAGCTTATGATGGAGAAGAAGATCAAGAAGAAGAAGTCTTTACTTGGTAAAGTTGGGAATCTTCTCAAGAAGAAAGCACCCGCACCCATAAACCAGAAATAACAAACTCTTCGAGGTAAGGAAGAAAAGTAAATCTTATGTATCTGTATACCCTTTTGATTTCATCAGTGTTCTTTATATATATATTTGTTGGTTCTTGATTCTTTTCTTCTTTTCGATTTTAACAACAATGTATTCCGATCTTTTGTTTATAAAGGTTTGCGTTTTTCTTTTATTCCGCTTTAATTTATAAGTAACAGCAACAACAAACCGCGGTTTTTAAACCGCTCAACTATGAACGCGAATGAGTTCTTTCACAAGCAACTTTGATGATTCAAACGATCCCAAAACACCAAGAACACACCCGAGAACAACAAACCCGAGATTGGCAACTCTTGTGAACTTCGACATTCCGTCCCAGCAAATCTTCAAGTAGAAAGCAGCCGGTAATGTCACAGCGATCGTGACGCTAACCAACGAGCCCGAGAGGCTCAAGACATAACCGAAGTAAGGGACGGTTAAAGCCAATGCGAGAATGACCAGTAACAGAGATGAGCCCATAAGACCACGAGCCACTAGCTTGGTGCGATCACTCATGGTCGAAGGAAGACTACCTTCGAGCTGGATGGCTAAAGGAGCGAACTCTAAGGCGTATTTGGTCATTGGGGTTAATACAGTGGCCCAAAGAGCGATCTTGGTAACTAGTAAATGTTTTGGAAGACTGAGGGTAACTTGGGAATTTACACTTGGTCCGAACATCTTCGCTCCTGTCATGGCTAGTGCTGCGTATAACGCCGTTACCGTAGCAAAACTTACGATTGATACCTACGTATAAATTTCACATGCAATGCATAAAGTTTAATTATATAAGGCAACGCGTTATCAAATTAAAAAATAATATATATGTAATTACATTGTTACATAATTCAAATTTATATGAAAATAAGCTTTTTATATTATATTAACACTCACGATAATAATTTACAAAAACAGGAGGAGGATATTTCTATAACGAACCTTTGTAAATTTGGAGGGATCTTTCATGGAAGTGTATAGATTAGGAAATACGATGTGTCCACCGAAACTAAAGAGGTAGATTCCCGAAACAGTCGGAATATTCCCTAACCGGAGCACCGGAATCCTTCCATCATCAATAACGCCTCCAAAGACGGCCGTATAAACCACCGACCCAAATATAATGGCCGACATAAGAATCCCACCGGAAGAAAGAAACGAGATCGAAGACAAATCCCTTATCCATAGGCTTGGCAAGGCGATAGCCACCGCCACCGCCGTCAGCTTAGCCGCCGGAAAATGGCCATGGTTGGAAAAAGTGGCGGGAAAAGCGGCGGAGATGTTGTCGTGGAGGGAGATGGTGTAAGAGACTAAGGCCATGAAGATTTCGAGGTAGATGAAGAGGGAGGTGATGAGGCGGCCGTGGCGGCCGAAGGCAGAGTAGCCGATATCGGAGTAGGATTTCGATTTGGGGTTGCGGCGGATACAGTTTCCGAGGATGTGGGAAGTGTAAGTGGTGAGGATTCCGAAGAATATGAGGAGGAAGATTGACATCCAACCGCCGCTTTCGACGGCGTATGGCATAGATAGTTGGCCTAGTCCTGTGTAACCGGAGAAACATGACGTACGTTTGTTAGGGTTTGCTTCTTGATTCATTTATAAATAAGAGAGAAATTTATGTCTTAGTTAAACATGTATTATGACATCTTGAGCATATAAGTAAACGAAATTATGTTAGGATTAGCAATAGCATAGTACAGAATACTAACAAATATATATTTATGAGAAAAAAAAAAAAGAAACTTCCTATAACACTCTTGTGTACAACACACACACACTCAAGTGCAATACTCAATATATGTCTAGTTATTTATTCATGCTTATTCATACTAACGGATGTTTCCACCGCAAAAATAGCTACAGAAATGTATCAATTGACTAATTGGTGCGTCATAATATTAAGTACGTACCAATGAGCATACCAACCATATTGATAACAGAGTGAAGAAATGAACTATTTTCAGACGCCTCCAACACCAACTCTTTGACCGGTTTTTCATGCTCACATTCACACCCTTTATTTTCCTCAACACATGCAACACAAACCATCGTTCCCGACATGATTCTACTACGAAGTCACTAGATAACCGTATAAGTTAATTGAGATATGTATTTGTGATGTGTAAGAGAAAGAGGGAGAGTGTTGCTGTTATATGTAGAAGAGGAGATACACTGTACAATGAAGAGTTTTTAAATAAAATTATATCAAAAAAGAAATTCTGACGTCTCCATACATTGCTTGTATATTCGTTAGCGGTTAGCCTTCCAATGGAATTGGTCAATTGGAAAGTGGGTTCTGTTGGTTATTTATTTCTCGTAGCATATTAGTTAGGAGGAATCATATTACACGTTCGACGGGATTGTCCATACACCATATACGTCATACATTCTTAAGTGAATCATGACATATATAGAAGAAGAAGAAAAAAAGACTCTACATTATACAGTAGACAACTTTATTATACATATATAGAAGTGAATCATACAGTAGACAACTTAATTAGTTTATTTTCTTTCTTCTAGAATTTGAACCAAATAGGTTAATGAGACAACTCCTAATTGACCGGTGCCCGAGTTTAGAATATTGATAGAGAACATGTTGTTAATATATGTATTTATTGGGAATACTAATTATATTAAGTATATGATCATATAAATTAGAAGAATATAAGGGCTATGAATGTAATATTTCTGAATTGCGAATTCTTTTGTTGAAAACTTGTACATGAAAAGCTTTTTTTGGCATAGATTTTCTCATGACGTTAACCATATATATTATTAAAAATAAAAATCCAAAATGATGGTATCAGAAAGAGGTTAAGATTGAATCTGATTGTGCTCCAACTTAATGAATTTGATCCATACCTGTCGAGTGCCGATCCATAAGAGTTATTTTAAAATATTATATAGAGAAGAATCTAATCGATATAAATTTTATTTAGGTGACTAATTAGGCATCTCCTCTCCATGCATAATGTATGATGTAATTTAAAACACATGATTAATGTTAGTTGCAACTATTAGAACCAAATACAGATGTACACAGTACACGCACTGGTGAAAACTAAAAGCTTAATCACATTAAGATAACTTCTAGAACGATTTCATGAGACATAACCCTTGTATATACTCTCTCCACTCTCTACAATCTTCAGTATTTAAAGTACATGGCTAATTTAGAGTAATCAAGCTTTTATAGAGAAAATTCAGATTAATCTTGAAAATTTCATAGCAATCTATGTAAAGTTGCATGTGGGTGTTAAATGAACTGATATCTATGAAACTTACTTATGCTGTAAGTTGCATGTTAAGGAGATGTCAGGTAAAAAAAGATAGTGAAGCTGAAAAAGTGATAAGGGGGAATAATGAGAAGGAAGTGAAGATCCTCGTGAATCATATAACTAAGATATGTTTTATGTGATGCATGACGTGTATTACACAGATTCTAATTCTATGAAGAAATAATTTACTAATTTGGCCGACTTTACTTTACTAATAATGTTTGTTCCCATGACGCGAATATACGCTGACGTAAAACAAAAACAAAAACAAAAAAAAACCCTAGAAAGAACAAAAAGGTGAATAGATGTTTTTCAGCTACGAATTTAGTATCTTTTCATTAGGTTAATAATTTAATAGACGCTAGGTGTTCTGTTTGGGTGAAATTAAAGTATAATCGGTTTGAGAGATAGAGAGACATTCGTGACGGGTTTGCGATCAAAGGTTAATTGAAACTAGAAAGAAAACACTGAGTAAAAGAAGACAAGTAACAGAAGAAACTCAAAAGCAGCTTAATTAGGATACTTTAATGAAATCTGAAAGACAATAAGTAGTAGTTCATGTTGATGCTGGAGCCAGAAGGGACAAGTGAGATTGTTGGGCTAAGCAAGGGATAAGTCTCAATATGATTTTTTTTGAGAAAATCATGAAGTTCTTTTAAATCGGAGGCTTGAATGTTGAGAAACAAAAATTTAAAAACAACAGCACTTACAAAGTTACAATAACCAATTACACAAGAAAACTAGAATAACCAAAAATTGGGATTAAATCCCTCAAAAGTCAAATCTCAATCAAAATATAATTCATGCCACTAATGCATGGGATTGATGTAGCATTTCAAGACTCAAACTGCAATTACGCTTCCCTGTGCTTCGGCGATGAGTCTCTTCTTATTCGATTTATCTTTGGATTTCTGAGACTTTCGTTTCCTCGAAGGAGTCTCCTGGTTTAGCTCTTCCGTGTCTTGTTCCATTGCAGACACAGCAGCGATGACCTCTTTTTCTTTCTTCTTCTTGTCCTTAGGATACTCTGTCTCAGTCTCTGGATCAATCACAGACATCTCACCAAGTGTGTAGTCTAACAAGAAACTGCTTCTTACAAATCTGTCGATTCTATTGAAATGTCTCTGAGAATATGGGATTAACCCTTCCAGGAGTTCCCCAATTCCTTTTACCTGTCGGAAAAAAATGCCGAGATCAAGCCAAGAGAAACCGATAATATTTACTGATACTGATCTTTGACTTTTATGTTAAACCAAACCTGAACAATTTCTGTGGGAGGAAGTATGTTGAAGGTTTGGTAAAGAACAAACTGAGCAATGTGGCATAGCTTTGGTTTTGTGTTCCATTCTCTGACATATTCAAAAAGTAGACGGAACTCTTCCTTTTCAAGTCCTTGAAGAGCTTTCACAATCTGTTCGTCTGATTCTCTTTTCCTGTTACACCAATTGCAGGTAAGAAAAGGAAGAGACTTAATATCGAGAAAAAAGCAATGGCTACATGTTCTTGGATGGCTTTTTTACCTGCAGAGACCAGCAAAGAGTTCAAAAACTTTGTGAGGCCTACGAAGCTCAAATGCTAATCTTATAGCTTTAGTGTATTCAGCATCTAACACTGCGTTTTCCAGCTCTTGACCTCTCAAGATTGCTTCTTCCTGTACAATGGAAGTGGTTCAATATGATGGTCGAACTAAAGATCAAGTACACATGACAGCTCCATGGAAACCAGACTATTAGAACTTAGATAATCAGTGAATTGACAGACCTCTTTTCGGAATTCGTCTTCTTTATCGGAAGCGGTTGAATCATGCCATAAATTAATAACTGCATCGCCTCCACCAGTTGCAATCATTTCCGTCTTCTTTCCGACAGCTAAAGCCCATACCTGTAAAATTTAAAGAGTCATTTGTCTAAACAGAATAGCAAGAGGTCTATGCGACTAATGGCAATGAACATATATCATCAAAACGCTATAAATAAACACTTCCGATACAAATACAGGTAAGGCAGAAGTTCATAAGTTCATAACCCTATCAAAGGCTGACCAAGATACATCACGAAACCAAGTACAGTTTAGGTAGGTCACCTTGTCCTCATGCTGGTCATATGTGGCAATGCATTCGCTAGTGTTCACATTCCAAAGTTTCAACAAACCATCCGCACCTATAAGTGCATGGTTAGAAAGTTAAGACCAAAACGAAGAAGCCAATATGATATCAGTGTAGTTATTGGTGAAACTTACCACATGAGACAAATTGGGTTCCCTCAGTTATGAATGAGGCCCTAAGTACACTTGAGGTATGACCTTCAAATGTTTTGAGGCATGAACCATCGGATATAGCCCATATCTTTACTGTCTTATCGCCTGAAGCTGTCATTACGCACTGATCAACAGTTGAGAACTCAACAGAAAAAATCCGCCTCTTATGTCCTTTAAGTGTAACAACATGCACCAAGTCTGGTAGTCTCCATATGCTAGCTGTACGATCCTGCAAGACAGAAACCAACAGTCAGATAAGAACTTAGAGCATGTCTCCATCAGAGCCCAGTGCATCTTCATTCAATAGGATAGAAAAGAAGACAAATTTCTCGATTCATCTGTATTTGACAAAGGTTCAATAAAATGAGATATCCACAAAATTAAACAAAAAAGGTTTGCTTATCATATTTTATTACCTCAGAACCAGTGCAAACTAAGCTATCGTTACGAGCAACAGCCACAGAATTGATGTCTTTATCATGGGCAGCGACAACACTTCTAGTTTTCAGATTAACGGGCTCCTCTGAGTCCTCTGAAATACCATCAAGGCTCCAGACCTTCAGTGTACGATCACTAATCCAAAGGAACGTAGATAAGAGATTTAAAAAACATATACTAAGAGAAAGATGACAATGAATTTTGGGAGACAAGCTTGAAAGGAGATATAACAATAGTAAATGTCTCTAATGTTAACAATCAACACAGGTTCTACACCGTCTATCATGACATGGACGTGTCTGCATTTACGCACACAAATTGGTTTCAGTCAGAATATTTCACGAAGAAATGAAGGTAACAGCAATCAAACATCCTCGACCACATAGTCTCTATAGTACTATTCTGATAGTGAATTTTCTTTTCCAGCGTAAGGCCTGACAGTAAACACCCAGTATATATTACAACCGAAAATTGATCCTTTCTTATATTTCCCCAGCTGGGTGGCTGGGTAAAGAAAAGAGCAGAGTCCTAATCAGGCTTTCCTCATTGTTAGAAACAACATATGCATAAGCTAGAAGCATCATTTCTGGGAACTGCCTATAGTATTCTCATGCTGGCAGTACCATGCTTCACGTATATATTAAGACAAAAGGTATATGCAATCATATATGTAGCACGTACCCACTTCCACTGACAAAGAAACTGAAGGACTTCTTCGCGAAAGCAACCGCTAAGATATCACCATTATGGCCTGTACCAACTCCGATGCAAGATTTGCTTGTTGCGTTCCATAGCCTTACCTGTAAAGTAATCAAATATAAGTTAAACTAACTCCACAGATCACTCAAACAAAAAAGGTGTTTTTCTAGGTGATGTTGTGGGGAATGATGTGCATGAAAACAGCAATGACATAAGCTACAAACAACCCAGATCTTGAAACAAAAAATTCCATCCCTAGTAATCTAGCTTTTCTCTGTGCTTTGCCAGCTAACTCAATGAAAAAGTCTTGAGAGGAACATGATTTATGAAAAACTACAAGGTGAGTAAATGGACTTACAGTTTTGTCTTTACTTCCAGTTACGATTAGAACATTCCCAGAACTAGATACGCAAGTGTCAAGGGACAGAATAACTTCCTTATGGCCAGCTAACACGTAGGAACATGACATTGTTGCAACATCATAAACACGAACCTGCAAATATATTTGCAAATCTTAGTCCATGAAATAATCGAATCTTAGACTTGATCATACTCACAGGATAATGATCAAGCCTGCATGATACAGGCTGAAAAATGCTCAGTTACCTCCTCGAGATTTGTAGCTACTGCGAGAAACTGTTCTTCATCACCTAGGAACTTCATATCGGCTATTTCTTCATTATATCCAACAAGCCTCTTACTTAGCACTAACTCTGATTCTTCTACATTTTCCACAACGGAGTAGAAAAAGAACTGCTGATCAGCAGTCACACAAAGCAGTCCGCGATCAGAAGGCAGCATAGCAGCTGCAGTGAATCCTCTTTTAGATTCCTCGTCATCTGAGCTGACAGTAATATCCGACGACTTTTGCTCATAGAGGCAAATTGAACTGTCAAAGTAAACAGCCAAAGATTTTGATACATTTTTCTTAAGCCAGGATAGTTTATATGACTTTACACAAAATATTAATCAACGTAACAAAAACTATTAAAGGCTCACCCTTCAGACTTCCAGATGCGCACAACACCACGTTCACCAACAGTAATAAAATATGTTCCTTGAGAATCAGATTCCTTCTTCTTACTCTTCTTCTGATCCAAAGAAGCTACAAATGAAGCGAAAGGCGTCCCAGAAGACACTGCTGTCACAGCTTCTAGTACCTCATACGTTGCAACTGTAGTCTTGCAGCTATAATCATGAAGGTCCCACAAGTTCACAACCTGTGATTTAACCAATAAGTTAGCACCACTGTTCAATTGAACTTGAAAACAAAGGCTGTAATTAAATGCCTCATACCATTTAACAGAACACCAACAGAAAACAATCCTACTTTTGAAGTATGCAACTCAATTATACTAGAGAGAGCTTAGAACTCACTTTATCTCTTCCAGCACTGAATAAATTCCATCCATCCTCTGATAGAGCAATTGAAGTCACAGCTGAAAAGTGCTTCTCCAAAATGGCAAGACATTTCTTCTCAGTATTCTTTGCCATAAGATCCCAGACACGAACGGTTGCATCATCACTTCCCGAGAAAAGCTACACCCCACCATTAAGAACGCAATTCTTGTCATCAATCAGAGATAGAATATAGCTTGACAAGAATAACATATAATCGAGAAACTCTATCCCTTTATAACAGAAATATTACTCCCAGATAATTTGACCCATAGACAGAATTGGTACATACGATATTTTTGTTTGTATCAGGATGGAACAAGACACTTGACACAACTCCTTTATGGCCTTTGAAATAATGAGTGCAGAAACCACCATCAACATCCCAAACAAGAACTTTCCTATCAGCTCCGGCAGTCGCTAGCAATCCTCCAGATGCGTGGCAAGCCATTCCCATCACAGGTCCTTCGTGTCCCTGCTCATCATTAAGCACAAATTATAGAAAAAACAGCACAAGGACAACAATAATCGAATTTTCTAAACTAAAAGCTCTTTTCTACAATTAAAACACCAGAATCCTAATTCAGTATCAGTTTAGTAAAATATTTACCTTCCAAGAGCGAATGCATTTCAAGGTTTCCAAATCCCAAACTCGAATTTGTCTACTATGTCCAGCAGAGAAGAGGAGCTTATCGTCAGGACTAAGAGCCAAAGCAGTGAGCGTATCCGACTCGCCTTCAATCGTGGATTTCACTGATGAATCAGTAGAATCAACGATGTTAATGGCGTCACCACATGCGCAGGCGATGAAAGAACCATCAGATGAAACAATGAAAGGACCACCGCCGTAGAACTGCTTTAGAGATCGTGAGCACCTGTAGTTCTTCTTTAAAGACTGAGGAGCCATCACGACGGCGAACTCTTTTTCCCGTCCGGTGAAGAGAACGTTAAGGACTTTGCGCGAAGAAAAACGGTAGCCGGAGAAAGAATTAGGGTTTAAGCCGCTCGCTTTTATATCTTGTTTTTTCTTTGTTTAATTGGTACCAAATTTTAAGACGTACCAAAATTAAGCGTCTGCGTCTGCGTTTGGGCTTGATCCAAATATCTAAGCCCATTAACAACACAATGGCCCATAATATTTAGGAAGCAATCGTGGCCGTCCATCTAATGAAAAAGACCTACACTAGTCCTCTTTCGCAAGCTTACACGTGTTCAACATTCGCCACTTGCATCTTCACACGTACTAATATTCGATTCCACACGTGTACAACATTCCCTTCTCTCTCTGTTATTTCATAGGCCACAAAAAACCAAACTTTACGATTTTTCCTCTCTGGAATCTCGATTCTGTATGATCTCTTCGATCTAATCGAGTTTTTTAAACGTTCCGTGTAGAATTGCACATCTAGGGTTTGCTAAAGCTTGAACCTTTCTTCTCTTCGAAGAGGTTTTGATTTCCTGGGCATGAATTTTTCCCTAATCTTGTTACCTTTGAAGCAGAAGAGCGAAAGATGTCAGATTCTTCAATCCAGGAAAGATACTTAGTTGGATACGCACTCGCAGCCAAGAAACAGCATAGTTTCATCCAACCTTCTTTGATCGAACACTCAAGGCAACGAGGCATTGATCTGGTCAAGCTTGATCCGACGAAATCGTTGTTGGAGCAAGGGAAGCTTGATTGCATAATCCACAAGCTTTACGATGTGTATTGGAAGGAGAATCTTCATGAGTTTCGTCAGAAATGTCCTGGTGTTCCTGTAATCGATTTGCCTGAGGCTATCGAGCGATTGCACAATAGGGTTTCGATGCTTGAGGTGATAACTCAATTGAGGTTTCCTGTTTCAGATAGCGAAAGGTTTGGTGTTCCGGAGCAAGTTGTTGTTATGGATTCGAGCGTCTTGAGCGGTGGAGGAGCTTTAGGGGAGCTTAAGTTTCCGGTGATTGCTAAACCGTTGGATGCTGATGGGAGTGCCAAATCTCATAAGATGTTTTTGATATATGATCAAGAAGGGATGAAGATTCTGAAAGCTCCGATTGTCTTGCAGGAGTTTGTGAATCATGGTGGTGTGATCTTTAAGGTCTATGTGGTTGGAGATCATGTCAAATGTGTAAAGAGAAGATCTTTACCTGATATCTCTGAAGAGAAGATTGGGACGTCGAAAGGGTCTCTTCCGTTTTCGCAGATATCGAATCTGACTGCTCAAGAGGACAAGAACATAGAGTATGGTGAGGATAGGAGCTTAGAGAAAGTGGAGATGCCTCCATTGAGTTTCTTGACTGATCTAGCAAAGGCCATGAGGGAATCAATGGGACTCAATCTCTTTAACTTCGACGTGATTAGGGATGCGAAAGATGCTAATAGGTACCTAGTAATTGATATTAACTACTTTCCTGGATATGCTAAGATGCCCTCTTACGAGCCTGTATTGACGGAGTTCTTCTGGGACATGGTCACAAAGAAGAATCATGTCTGACAAAGGAACATTGTTGTTGGGGAGGATTTGTACCATTGCAATGTGTTGCAACTGCCATTGCAAGCATCTCAATTGGTTCTGGCCTACGGTGACTAGCTGCTTCGCTAATTTTCATTTGGATTCTTGAACTTGTGCTTTTTTCTATATTTTTTTAGTTGTTTCTCTTTCGTTTACTTCCGAGTTTTGCAAAGCCTTGTTCAAATGCACAACTGTTGCTACTCTTGAAAGCATTGAATCTCTAAATTCTTGGCAATGTGCTCTGTTCTCAACTGTTGGTACTTAGTTTTGTGATTTCTTTTCAAGCTTTTATGGTGCCTGTTTTCCTCAAGTCTGACAAGAGTTAGATAGTTGATTAATGAAATGCCTTGCATTTTTCGCCTATGCAATGTGTAAGTTGATTAGTAACCTTCACTTGACAATGCGTTTCCATTCTTTATATTCTGAATTGTATCGGTTTTCTAAGACATGGAGATGGTTTGCAAGATATCTTCAGTTACTTGTATCTTCGTCCTGTGCTTTCTTGTTTCTGCATGCTTGGTGCATATATGGTCCTTGTTTGAGATCATCTCGATTAAGGTATGTGATAGTCTTAACTTCAAAATGAATCTCTATCAAGTAGTTTTTCCCTGATAGAACAAACTTGATGCAGTTTTCAGTTTCACCTTTGGATATTAAGATCCTGAGAGGATAGATATTTAGATTGTTCGCGTAAATTTCTCTATAGATAAAATGAAGCTATAGAAACATTTCTCACATCTTTGTGGTTCTCATCTTATGTCCTGGTTTCACACAAGTATTAAACCACTGCTTTAGCTTCTCAAGCATCTTATACTCTCTGATTTGATGTGTTGCATAATGCATCATATGCATATTCCTCCTACACTTATATATGGATGTATATATTCTAATTGGGGTTTGGCATTTATGCTTTTAACAACTTGGATGGAACTGATAAGATGATCCTGGACAAATTTGATTGATATTCTTATTAATCTCCATTTTCGAATAAAATAAACGTGATGAATGGAGAGAGATTTAAATGTTTATCTGATTTTTATCTTTATTGGTCGAATAAGCTAGTGAGTGATTGAATTGAATCATTCCGAATTATATTTATCTTTTAGAGACTTTGTTTCTTAACAACAATATTTGAGAACGCAAAAAATAAGTGGATCGATAAATATTATCAAAAGCTCCGATTAATAAATAAATGACTAATCGAGTAGAATCATTACTGTTAAGTGTTAATAATACTACAGTATATATGTTATGGCCGAAATATCTTTATTGTTTTATGTTTTGAATTAAATAACTACGAACAGTTTTGTAGAACTATCAAAGGGAGAGTGAAATGTGACACAAATTACTGTATGTAGTGTATGTATGTAAAAACAAATGATCAGATCTAATTAAATTAATAATCTACGAAACAACAGTATATTATTATAAAACTGATTTGTGTATGCTTATTATATTCTCAGGGAACGAAAACTGAAATTATAATTAATCAGAGAAAATAGTGACGGATGATGATTTGATGTCTTTAATATATTCGGCAAAATGTACCTTTCGAAAAGCCCATGAGCTTTTGGGTTCCTGCTATCACTATGGAAGCCATCAACCCATAAAAAAATATAATCGAACTTCAAGTCCCTCACGGCTCAGTAGGGTTAATCTAGCTTTTTCACTTTCTTATTTTTATACACTTTCTCAAAAAAGTCTGCATATATAGTCCTTCTCATAATATTGACTTATACCGTAGCCGACTTTGAGAAGGTAAATCAAAGACTTATTTACGTTATATTTGACATGGAAGTCTTCGTTTTAACCAACTATATTCATCTTTAGTTTTATCCCCTAACCTAAAAGTACATGCATAAGGTGTTACGACTGTTTAACTAGCCAGTTTTATCCCAAACCACTGCAATATTCATTGTATATACGTAACTTTTTCAAGTAAAATAAAAGTATAGTTAGTTTTCTCTTGAAACCGCAGGGTTTATGTTTATTAATTATGTTCTACAAAGTTGACGCACCATCTTACTAACTAATTGAATTACTAAGCTTTAGGTTTCTAAATATTATTTCTGCGTATATGCATAGCAATGTAACGTGCAAATCGTTGTAGTTAATTTGGTCTTTTTTTCAAGATGTTAGGTTTGACTCATACACAAGAAGATAATATATACTGTCAGGTAATTATCATCAGAACCGGGTCATACTGATATATATCGGAGTTAGATGTATAGAATCAAAGTTACTTGGTCATTCAATATGTGACGTGTATAAGTACTTCCTGGTGTTGGTTTGTGATTTTTGGAGAAATTCAAGTACTTAAGCAAATTTTGTCCTTTAATAAGTTTTAGTGAATCTCAATTTAATTTGAACATTATATGTATAGAATAAAAGTCTTGAATTTGTGTGCTGTTTAAGTTTTTGGTTGCGTAAAAACAATCATCATAATATGAAAACGCAAACATAAACGAACAATCAGATTTTTTTTATTTTTTTTTTGCGAAGAAACAAACAATCAGTACTATTGAATGTCAGTACGTAGTTTAATTGTTATACACTAGGCGAATTTATAAAGTGATAAGTTTCAAAGCTTCTGAAATCGAGATCGGTAAAAATATTAGTAGTATGTTTTTGGTATTTGACTCGAATAAATTATTGACCAAAATTCTTTTAAAAAATTTGGTAATCTAAAACATAGTATGAGTTATGAGAGATAATTTTCGAAGATATTGTTCAAAAAAATAAACAAAGCATAAATGCATTATTCAATCAAAAATTATGTCCTAAAGCCGTAAGGTAGGATGAGCTATAAGCGTTTGGTTAGAGGAAGATCAACTGTAGCATTGTTGTCTTCTTCGGATTAGTTGGAAACTTCTTCCGTACGATTATATTTCATCTCTTTTCTAAAAAGTATTGTTATTATTAGTAAGTATTGTTAGATTACAATTAGATTCTTAAGAAATATTTGATTACGATCAAGCAAGCATATATATATAACTACTGGGTCATGAATCAAATAGTATTAATTAGAAAAGGTGTACAAGGTGAAAACATATACTAATGTCGTCGTTGTGGCAATAAAATTCAAATCCCATAAAACGCATCGTCATTGATAAAAAGAAAAGAGCTTAATTTACAAGTTATTCGATGGTTTTTATGGATCAATTAACGTCAACATCGAAGCAATGAAAATTGATTTTATGGACCAATTAACGTCAACGTAGAAGCATCTAAAAAGCGATTAAATAAATGCTAAATAAGAATTAGTTTAGTCGTTAGAAGAGTTAGGGTTTTCGCGGGTCCCAGGGTTTAGGTTTGCGTGCCTAGATGTGCTTAAAACTAAATTTACACCAATAATCAACCACCATATTGAGACGTTTGATTATTTTCTTAGAAATTACTATATACTTGATGATATAGCAATGTATATACTATTTTAGTGATTAATTTGTAGTACTTTGCAACCTTTTTTCTATCAAAGTAATATCATACCCAACACAATAACTTATAATATTAACCTATGTGCCACATGAGAAAACGGAAAGACACAAAATATCAAATGGAATGTAAAAATACAAAATTATATGAATTCATCTAAAGCACTTTCTCATGATAATTCCTGCAAACAATATTGTAGAATATGAGTGAATGGATCGGAATTGCAGTTCTCTAGCTTTAAAATAAAATTGAGCTGTATTATATCGTTTCCTCTTTAATTGCCAACTGTTTTATTGATCAGAACACGATAACCCTATATTCAATATGATGAGAAAAGCTGACTTCAATAATAGTTTTTTGTTTATACGTATTATAGTTGAGATGTGGCATGGTGTGGATCATTTGTTGACCTATGACCAGTAATGCATACTGTTGTGAACACTGTTTCTTGCAAAATGTTGTAATGTATCAAATACTATATATATATACACAATTATAATATTTAATGTGTGATAAAACGGATTTAATGAACGTCTCCATTCTCCACGTGGAAAACCTAATTCATTCGTTGGTACGAATATAGGTTCCCGTTCCATGTATATATATTTTTTGAAAGGGAGATGACGAACTTATATTATATATAATTGAAAAAATAATTAGTTAAACGGGAGAATCATTGATAATTCAACATATTGTCTCCTAAGTCGTAATCGTATATAAAAAACTTAATGGGAAAAACCTTAATACCACTGTCCATTGTTTACCACGTAAACACTAAAAGAATTGCTACATTAGAACTACTTAAATATTAAATCATAAAACTTTTCATCTTTATATATCTAGCACAAAAAGAAAAATGTGTTTCTCCAATGACTAGATCTAAATCTAAGATCAAAACCACTATAAATTATATCTAGCTAGAGAACTGTACATATATCTCATGATCTATTGAGCGAAATGAAATTAATCCTTGATATCATACGATAAGGAATTTCTTAAGTTATATGATCAAGACAGTAGAAAAATATTGAAAATCTCATAAGTTTTTTTTTTTTTGTGCACCATACGTTTTTTTTTTTGTGAAAATCTCACAAGTCATTTTTCCCAAAAACATGCATATTTTTTTGTTGCTTTGAAAACTAGTTACATATTGATAATACTTAATTAGATTTCTTAAATTTTGTACATTTTTTCAAAAATATAAAGGCTTTACTACAAACTGCCTTTTGTCAACATATGGATTAGTTGCAGCAACTTTTGTGTACCTACATTGCTTCACAAACTCGATCATCTTCTTCTCTTCCTTTCCTTTTCTTCTTCTCACATATATTATGATAAGTTTCCACAAGGACATTTTCGTCATTCTTAGGTCATCAAAGTCAAAAGCTAAACTAAGATCTTCTCCGTCCGACAAGATACAAGACACGAAACACAAAAGCCCTATTTAATGCAAAGATAACACACACACTTAGCTTCATTCACTAAGATCCTTAATCTGATTGCCTTCATCAGAGTCTTTCTCTCTTGAGTTCTAGGAGATCTTCAACAGGTTCGACAATACATTTACATACACGTATGTTTCTGCTCATACACACGTTAACAAGTTCATTTCTAATCATGAATCCAATTATGGATCAAAAGTGTGTTTGCTTTATACTAATTAATCTTTAGATTGATGCAATTATTTTTATGTTTTGGTCAAAGATTGATGCAATTCTATATGCTTAGTTCTCTAGATTATTTAATTTATTCAAGAATACTTTCTAACTACATAACAATATTCGTGTTATAGCTAGTAATAATGGGGCGATCACCATGTTGCGATGAGAATGGTCTAAAGAAAGGGCCATGGACACAAGAGGAGGATGATAAACTGATAGATCACATTCAAAAACATGGCCATGGCAGCTGGAGAGCTCTTCCAAAGCAAGCCGGTTTAAACCGATGCGGAAAGAGTTGTAGATTGAGATGGACTAACTACTTGAGACCTGACATCAAGAGAGGAAATTTCACTGAAGAGGAAGAACAAACAATTATCAACCTCCATTCCCTTCTTGGAAACAAGTAATCAATTACTATTTTCACTTTATAATTCCTTACTTTGTTTTAAAAACCATATGTTAATTCTTCTAGTCAAATCTTTAATTATATCTCATAGGTGTGGTCTAAAAAGTTACTGTGAAACGATCTAGGATAAGTTTATAACTAGAATCGAGAGTAGTGTGAGATATATGAAATATATAATAACATAAACATTAGTATATGGTTTACGGATGAAAGAATATAATTGACATATATACCTACTACACTGGTTTTCTCTAGGTAGTGCATACGTCTGTAGCCGTTTTTCAATCTTGAAAAGTAATTTTTGCTATGACTAATTCAAATCAATATTAGGTATTAGTCTTAGACTAATCCACTGGCATAATATCAATTTGATTAATTTTTAATCATTTCGTATATGTTTTTGAAAGGTGGTCGTCGATAGCCGGTAATCTTCCTGGAAGAACGGACAATGAAATAAAAAACTATTGGAACACACATTTGAGAAAGAAACTTCTCCAAATGGGGATTGATCCGGTGACCCACAGGCCAAGAACCGACCATCTAAACGTTTTAGCTGCTCTCCCGCAGCTTATAGCCGCCGCAAATTTCAACAGCCTCTTGAATCTCAATCAAAATGTGCAACTGGATGCAACAACTCTTGCTAAAGCTCAACTTTTACACACTATGATTCAAGTCCTTAGCACCAATAACAACACCAATCCTTCTTTTTCTTCATCAACTATGCAAAACAGTAGCAATCTCTTTGGCCAATCTTCTTACTTAGAGAACCAAAACCTTTTTGGTCAGTCTCAAAACTTCTCTCACATTCTTGAGAACAATCATGATGAGCATTTGATGGGAAAAAGCCAAATTATTGATCACTCTTTGGAATCTTTTTCTTCCCTGATACAACCCGATTTTCAAGATGACCATAATTCACTCCCTCTATTGGTGCCTGCTTCTCCTGAAGAATCTAAACAAACTCAAACGATGATCAAGAACAAAGACATTGCGGATTACCATCATCATGATACTGCAAACCCTTCATCATCAAATTCGACGTTCACACAGGATCATCATCAGCCATGGTGTGACACTATAGATGATGGAGCAAGTGATTCTTATTGGAAAGATATAATAGAGTAAGTCCCTCAGTACTCTCCCCACATACATCTTGTTTTGTATATATTGAATTTCGTAATTACCACATGAATGCATTCGATGAAAAGGGACGATTCGGCTAGTCTAATGTCTTAATTTTCCGTTTTTTTGCAGGCAAACGTGTTCGGAACCATGGCCATTTCCTGAATAGACAAGATTAAAGAGAGAATACTTTTATAATTATTTGTTGTCGATAGAGTTAAAAGCATATTTATTCTTCACTAATCCTTACAGTTTTTTTTTTAAGACCATGTGTGGTAGACATTGATCTTGTACAAACTTAATTTACCTTACTGTATTAAATACAAATACTGTATTCGTGTTTGTACTTACTTTCATAAATCTAATTTATATGGTTTATAAAAAAATTACAAATGTTGATTTCTTTTTTCAAATATATAAAGTATAAACACAAACGCAAATCTTTTCTTCCATTTGATTTCTTTTTGAATTAAGAAGTAAACATATTATCTACACGTAAACGCATACGCAATGCAAGAAAAACAATGTCTCCTATTAATTACTATATTCTAGTCAACACGTAAAAACAAAACAAATTCTTGACTAATCCTCAAGCCGTATGAACAAATAAATATGATTACTTTTAGATAATATATACTTGTTGTTTGTTTTACCAAATATAATTGAAGATTAAAAGATTTAGTTGGCGATGGGTAAGAAGAAGTGAACTACAAAATATACTCTCGAAAGTGACACATCCTTGTTTTGATTTTGACTTTACTAGGAGACAAAATATAATCGAATAAAAGTTTTTGTTACATAACGTACGCTACATGTCTCGCGTTTTTGTTACATAACGTACGCTACATGTCTCGCGGGACAGAACATCTTGGCACTATTTTTAATCTTGCGGCCAAAAGTAAACGATGACTCATGAACAATTTTGTTTGGTCAAATGACTCAACATTTTATGATCTGAAATTAAGATGGAAAGAGGTAAATTACATTGACATTTTTTTTAATACTAAAAGAAACCCAAGTTAAACACTCGAGCACATTTCAGTTTTGGATTGTGACAGGGAAATAAAAGGAGAAACGTGTGTTAACGACTTAATCAAGATTCTAACAAGAAATGTACTAAAATTAAATTACTCTCCAGAAAATAAAAGCCAACGATTAGATTTTATAATCTAGTTCAATTAGTAGTCTATGTAAACCAAAACTCAGGGATAATTTGCATTATTTCCTACAGAAGAGAAGTTTGATTACAGAACTGAAACCAAACCCATTCCGGTTTTGGCAACTTCATCAAAATATCATCAGTCTCAGCATGAATCTATATATTGAGCGAGCTATGTCTTTTTCTAAAGACTGTAACAAAAGAACAGAGACGTAATCAGAATCCTGAAAAAGAGTTTACCAGAGACCAATCAATGTCAAGCAAAGACGCAAGTAAGAGCTTTTGATTATCCATCGAAAAAGTGTCCTTCAAGGCTTTGGTCTCTTTGGTGGTGTATCCAAGCTTCCAGGCTCCGATTTCCGCTTTATTCCCAAGAAATGCTCCACCTGAAACGTTTCAAGGCAACAGATCAATACTAATCCTGTACTAGACGGCATCTTATTAATATGTTGTTACAGAAAAATGTATATTCTCTTAGATCATGTAACCTTTTTGTCCCCAAGCATTGGTGTTAAGCTTCCAGGAACATCCTTCTCAACAGTCGCAAACCCACTCTGAGGATCACTAGTTTGTCTGAAAAATGTAACAATCAAGTGTTAGTTAAAGAAACTGACCGTCACTTAGATCTCTGTGATGCCTAAAACTAAAACTGAGTAATGAAGCATATTATATACCCTGGTTTGACATGGCCACTGAGGACAAGGTAAGGAGTTTTCAACTGAGCTTGAGCTTCTCTCATTCTTTGAACAGATTGCGATGGTGTGTCTGAGTTTTTCATTTGCTTTAACTTGAGTTCTTCCTGGTACTGTTTCATCCGTTTCTCTTCCTTCATTTTTCCAGGCCCCTTCCCGTGGAATTTGTGAGAGAGTAATCGAAAGGCTTCTTTTGGAGTTAACTGTTAACAACGTGAGAGTTGAAGTTCGATTATTATACATAAGGACGAGATTAATAAGAGTGAGAAGCAAAGCTTAAGAAAACTTACAGTTCTACCAAACTCGTCAGTCCTTTCAATCCGGATGTCCTTGAATCTATCCTTAGATTCTTTATCTCCTTCATCATCCACAATACCCACAAGCTTGCTCTTTTTTTTGTCCATATTTCTACCACCCCATTCGACCTTCTCCTTTAGGGTTCCTCGGTCTTTAAGAAGCTTCAATGCACCAGATAATCCTTTTCCAACTGCAACCTCGTGTATAGTTTCATCAGGAGTTATCTCTTTGGTGTCTGATGAATCCTCTGCTGCATCCATATCAGTGTCTTTTACTTCTGTCCAACCATCGGGGTGCTCTTCTTTTACTTCAACAGGAGCTTTGGGTGCTACATCTTCTTCCATGAAAACATCTTCGCTTTCAGGCTTTTGCACATCTGAAAGACCACACCAATAGATCAACAACTCCATACCACCTCTAACGACAAAGCATATTTTTGTCTAAGAAACAAAAGCAACAAGCAGGTAGTCGAATTGATTAAACTAGCCACAAACTATTTGCAGACAAGTTAACCCCATGCATGTGTGTGAAAGAGAATGTCCATATATGACACCAAATAACTGTTCCAAATAACGTAGGAAGTGCTATAGCAGATCAATATAATAGAGCAAAACATAAATAGCAGTGTAACAGTGTCAGAAGATGATTTAAACTTTACCTTTCTCGCGCTGGAGACCCCAGACAAAGTCTCCCATCTCTGTAAAAACCACTGTATTTTCTTGTGTCTCATCCTCGGTGGTGCTATTATCATCTGTTGTTTGATTGGTGCTGGAAGCCACAAGATGCGCAACTGCCTGTGGACCAGATCCAGCTTCCTCTTTCTTAATGAGAGCTAACCTCCTAGCTTTCTCTAACGATTTGTAAAGATCTTCAGCATCATCGGCCAGCACCATACTCTCATCTTCGTCTGTTTTAATAGGCTGAACTTGTTCCCTTCTGAGTAGTCTGGATGCCTCATCAGCTTTAGCAACGGCTTCCTGATAGGCATTGCTCCGTTTTTCATAATCGTTCCTTTCTTTCTCTTCTTTCATGGCCTGCCTTCTGCCATCTTTACGAGAACCAAGATCTTCGGCTCCAAATCCCGATGCAACAGCTTCTGCTTCCAGCACACTTAAGTCCAATTTATCCTTTTTCCGCAATTGTTTCTTTTTCTTGGGTTTTTTGAACCGTAGCATTTCTTCATGTGAGAAGTAATCTGAAGAGACCTTTGCTGAGGAGTTAAGGTCTTCAAAAGTATTTGTCGTCTGACCCTGAATTCTCTTACGCAGCTGATAGGTAGAACATGAAGGACAATAATTCCGTTAGTGTGTATACTTACTACGATCCATTTAATATGAGAGAATGTTAGGAAGAATAGTACCTCCTCTAGCTTCTTCTCAGCTTCACCGGTGAAACGACCCTTTGCATCCAAAAAGATCCCCTAAAGCAAAAGCAATAACATTAATTCCCTCCAAAGAAGTGCCTATAATTCTGGTATTTGAAAATCCGCTAGACAGAGTAACTTACCTCATCAGTAGCAGCCTCATCGTACTGCGGAAGCATCTTCTTTTCTGCCCCGGGATCATCATTAAACCTACAAAAATCAATATCATGCCATGTTTCAGTCTTAAGCAACACATATATGCTCATCTAAATGCCACTGAAATATAATTAAACTTACTTATCATCGTATATTCCCTTTTTCTTCTTGGCTGCTTCATAAGCTTCATTCCGACGCTTCTGTTCTCCAATTTCCACATTTTCTAGCATGTCAATCTCTGCAAGAATAGTTGCAAATCTCATTTATGACAGAGCCTAACATCAACCATGCTGATAACATAAATAAAAGATAGCACAAAAAGATACTAACCATTGTTAACGTCACCATCGGCAAGGACACTTTGGTCTTTTAGTGTCAAGATAACTGCTCCACCTTCCACCACTTTATCCAAACCATGTAGAACTTTAACACCAGATAGATGCCCTGTCAACCAGAATATGTCAAGATAAATTATCAATCAGAATGCATCACATTTAGAAAGGAAGAAAGGAAAAGGAATGCTATGGTATGACAGAATACGTGAATCATTATACTTATTTATACTAGTTTACATGATTACTTCCTTTGAAGATTTAACGTTAGGTGTGAAAGAACTAGAAAGGAAAACATACCGCCATCCTCGCCATCTTCATTTTCACCTTGATTAAGATTGTCCTGAACAAATATAAGATAAGATATATTATTAAACTTTCAAATAAAAGGAAGTTATGAAGAAATAAAAGGATACAATATGTCCAAGGAATGGAGGTAACACCTGCTCCTCAAAAATTCTCGAGAGCTGCTGTGCTCTTTGCTTCTCAGCATTTCTTTTTTCCTCAATTTTACGGCTCCTTGCAACCCATGATAAAGCATCAGAAGCATCAGAAGCATCTTCAACTTTCTTCTTTCTTTCCTCTCTCATCCTAAGGAAGAAAACACAAATTTTTAATTCCTAGACTGCCTGTAATTTGAGATGTCATATAACATACGAGAATCACTTACTTCAAAATGCGATTCTGAAGTTCCAGCGCAGATGCTTCTTTCCCACTTGATGCAGCATCAACATTATCGCCACCTTCATTCAGACCTCTGTTGTCAAAATGTTCATATCTTTCTGCAGCTTTATGAGTCTCGTCATCATCTTCATGACTTTTCTTACTCGCTCTCTCCTTCACTCTTGACCTATCCTTGTCTTTTTCCTTTTCATTATCCCTCTCATTTTCTCTATCTTTATGTCTATCTCTTTCTTTTTCCTTCTCCTTTTCTTTTACCCGATCTCTGGTCTTATCTTTCTCCCTCTCTTTATCTCTACCTCTAGAGATCTCCTTGTCAGTGTCTCCTTCTCTATCTCTTTTTCGGTCTCTCTCTTTCTCCTTATCCCTGCGGTGGTCCTTATCCCTGTTCTTTTCTTTATCCTTGCTCCTATGATCCTTCTCCTTCCTCCTTCCATCTCTGTGTTCTCTAACAGGCGAACCCTCGTAGTCAGCCCTCTCTTCCCTGCTTTCATGCCTTGATTTAGACTTCTCCACTTCCATTGTCAAGAACTTCAGTCAAAGACCTAATCACAAAAAAGGAACAACTCAGAAACAGCGAGCAAAGATGAATTACTCTGACAAATGGTTGCAGGCTACAACGAGCAAAGATGAATTACTCTGACAAAGTACTTTCACACTTATTGACAACTTTCGGTTTCTATACTGGTGACAAAACACAAGAAACGCGTAGAACCCTAACCTAAGACGGATTTCATTATTATTGGGAAAAGATGGTAAAATCAAATCCTGATTCTAGCACTAGCACAAATTCAGAGTGTGGAGAATAAACGGAAAAGGGAACAAGGTCAAGCGATACGAAATTCATCGGAAACAAAAACGCGAACGTCAGAAAAGAAATCTCAAAGAAAACAGAACTTGATCAAAATCCGATTCGAATTACCTCTAGATCAAGCCTTCAATGGAAAGTACTGCAATATTCGGAACGACGGACAAAGAACCCAGTATTGCAGGAGAAATTTTCCGAGGGTTTAGAGAGAAATTGCGAAAGCACACCGACGAATAGTAAGGTTTAGAAGATGAAACCCTAGCAAATGCGAATAAATTTAGAAAAGAATGCTTCGAGCGAGACAGACGACAACTAACAGCAAACCGCGGACGATCGCAAACTCGCCGTGGAAAGAGACGGAGAGACTCTCTGGTGGCCTAGAGAGGAGAACGATTTTGCAAACTAATGGAAAAAGAGAAGATACACGGTATATATATTACTCCGGTTTAAAAGCAAATTCGTTGGTACGGGAATAAATCTTAGTCGGTTTAATTTCTGAACCGGTTATTCCTAATGAAACCTCCGTGGTTTGGAATCATTACCAAAATTGGTTTAGTGTACATATTGCAGATAAAACACATTATCCTGACCGGTCCGGTTTATGAAAACTTAAAAATGAAACCGAGCTGTTTACATAGTCCTCAAAACCTTGAGAAGATCTGCCATTTTTTTTTTGAATCTGCAAGTTTCATAGCAATTTTGGCTATGAGGTAACCAGAAACTAGAAATTTATGAAACAGATTCTTCTTATCAATGAAAGGTTTCTTTAGCATTCAAGAGAAGACAAAGTAGCTAAGATTAGGAGCTAATCGATAGACATGGCTTCAGCGCCATCAGCAGTAATGTTCCTCTGCATTTCTTCCACCATATTCTTCTGTTCATCCTCCATTGTCTCCTGCAACTCATCCACCTGTACATAATAATTTTCACAAAACCAAAACAAATTAAAGTTAGATTTAGCTGTAAACACAGAAACACGAGAAAGGCAAAATTTTGTTCAGAATCTTAGCTATAAACACACAACGAAACCCGTAAAATCGACATACCACATGCAACAACAATGCAAACTGCTTCTTCCTTAGCTCAAGAAGTCTCCAACTTGCTGTATTCTCGGCCTCGAGTTCTGCAATCTCCTTCTTCAATTCATGTATAACCTTCTGTGTCTCTGACCTTGGTGGCTGCGCAGAGATAAGTTTTCTAATGGCTTCACACTCCTCTTTATGTTGTCTCTCTATCTTACTCTCTTCAAGCTGTTTCTTAAGATCTTCTATATCAGACTGTGCCTGCATTATCTGCCTATTTGTCTCATCTTTAAGCTCGTTAAAGTTCTCTTTCTCCCTAAGATTGGCAGCAACAACTGCTTGGCTCTTAAGAAGCGGAATCTCAAAAGCGGAAAGTTCTTGCAAGAAAGCTTTAGCGAGCCTACCACAGTCACTGTAGTTATCTTCTTCTTTGTCTAGTTCGATAACAAAAGAAGTGAACTTCTTCTGAAGCTTCTTCAATGGAGGTTCACCTCTGGTGGTGGTGGTGCGTGTGAGAAGCCTATTTCTTATAATTTTGTCATCATTTAACGGATCGAATGCATAATTAGCTGCTACAGTATCTGACCTACCACTACCAGAAACAATCCTCCTAGCTCTCACTGACATCTTTAACTACTAGACTCTTTTAGTTAGAATCTGCAGAACAAACACAATTCATAAGCTAGGCAAAATATGATAAATTTTCGCACAGTTCTGACAAAGCATTATCTAAAACCATACAAATAAATCTCTGTAAGCTAAAAACTTGCTGAAAACAATGAGAACAAGGTTCTTTTGAACAAGGATACTCGATTCACCTGGTTATTAAACATAACAAAAACATTCAAACTAGTAATTAAGCAATTAAGACTTGGATTTCTTCTTCTCATTGTCAAACTTGTTCTAGGACAATTTTCCGTTTATCATATTTTCATTGAACCGAAATAGCAGTGAGATTTACCCAATAAATAATCTGCAAAAAAGAGAGGATATTTGACTTACTTGAACCGAACCCAAGATCAATTTACCTCTTCGAAACTGAACCCTAATTCTATGTTTCCGTTCCTTCTTCCCCTTTCCCTCGTTCTTCAGTTTGCTCGTTCCTTTTTTTTTTCCTTTTTCTATTGAATAAATTGTATACAAGCTCCTGCACTTTCATTTATTGTATACTAATCCTTATTCTTTTTTTAATTACAATATAAACCTTCACAGTGGTGAATTGAAGTAGTTTAATTACTACTACAGTACTACTAGTTAGTAATTTACCTTTATAGGAGTCCAGAAAATTTTGGTCTTAACATTCCAAACACTATGAACCTAGGATGTTGAATATTGGTTTGGGTTCTGATCGATTTCGATTTTTCAGATATATAAAAAAGTATTACCGATCTATATATGTATGTATTAATACTCAATTCGATTTTCGAATAAAAAAAATCCCAATTCAATTCAAACTGGTCTGAATAGAACTTTTCTTCATGTGTTTAAACATCTCAAGCTAGTTCAGTGTCATGTAAATTAGCCCCCAATTAGAGCCAAAGCGAAGGTGTTCACGATCAGAATTGAAGAAGAATCCAGTTCCTAACAAAAATTGGGTTTTTTTTTTTTTGTAATTTTGAGTAAATTATGAGCTTATGCTAGTTTTCGCCATAAAGCACAGAGCTAATTCTACGACTTGTCTTCAACTATCACAATATTTACATTTTTATTCTACACAGAACACACAATAGGATCGTAACCAGAGCTTAATGGAAGACATTTTGATTTTACAAAGTCTATGAATCGGAGACGGACACTATACGTAATCATACCCGGATGATAATCTTTCGGATGCAAGGTTTCGTTTGGTCTGAGTGGGCAAGAGACATCGCGTGTTGTCTTTGCTTTTAAGCCATTTCGAGCCTTTCTCTTCGTGGTTCATCGTCAGCTTTGATGCGACTGATTTGATTCCGCTCCTCATATAATTCAGAACCAACACCGCAAGATCTCTGCAATGCAGCCATGATTCAACGATAACCCCATCTATGAAGAAACCGCAAAGAAACATCACAGCAAAAATAATTTAGAATGCAAAAAATACTTGTGTTGTGTACATACAAGGGTGAGCAAGGAGAGCGAGAACCGTTGATAAAGTAGACGAACAAGTAGGAATCGAAATGCTGTCCGTTGATTAAGTAGAATCCGTGTAACCTCCTCACACATCTGAAAGACATTCTTTTGTACAACCGGATTGCGGGATTGTTGTGTGCAATCACATGAAGGTAAACACCACGGCACACAGGGATACCAGAAGCGTATTTAACAACCTCATTAATAAGCGACTTAGCTGCACAAACAAGTTGCAGAACTTAATAATATTAATAAACCAAGCAATGGAAGAAAAGCATCTCAAGCCATCAACAAATTTTCAAATCATCGGTTTACTACATGGGGTCAAATCAATACCTATTCCACGTTTTCTGTATGTTTCTACAACTCCAAGTGTTAGGATGTACACCAATGTCTCCTCTCCCTTCGACGAGTCATATCTTATTAGATCTGATATCTGTACAAGACATAGAAAACTATCAAACATATACCCAAAAAAATAAAAATAAACCTTGACTCTAACATTAAACGAACAAGTACAAAACAAGTTTGGATCATAATCAAGATGTTACACAAGTGGCCCCCTTTGATTTTCTAGAACTTTTGTAAGAAACCCATCTAATGTACATGGCTTTAAAATTCACTCTTAAACCATAGGACATTATGAAATTGATAGACAACATTCAAAATCTACACTTTACAAAACCTTACAGCTTCTTATAAAAAAAAAACCAGAAGGCCGTTCAAAACAAGCTTCAATCATAACTTAAAACATTACAAATTGAAGTTTTTCTGATCAAATTGTAAGAAACCCATTTAGGATATTCAAAATCTACACTTGAACTAAATCATGAACAAGGAAGACACCTGAAACAAAACGAAAGAAACTCACTTCGCTTTCTTTGGCAAGCACGATTTTGGCAGTAACAAATCCAATAAGTTCTTCAGAATGACCATCAGGGCGGCTCCGATCAATAGCAGCCCAAGAGACGATATCACCTCCGTTGACAACATTCTGAAAAAACTCAGACTCATACCTGAACAATGCACATGCTTTGATGAGACCCTTCCTAAAAGGGAAAGTCAAATCCCAAAACCAGATCACACATAAAATCTTCGGATCAAAGGTATTTATTTACCTAATTGGGAATATGTCGCGATGGATTTGCTCCAAACGTTCTAAATCAGAAGGGTTTATTGGCCTGAAGCAAATAGTTGGACGACGACTGATTTTGGGGGCGTCCATTGATGAATTCTCCACGAATCCACGGGGAAAACGCGACATTGATCGAGATGATTAATAAACCTGAAATTGTTGATTTTTATAACAACTTTACATTTGAGAAAGAATCGAGTTCGAGATCAAATCGGTCTCTAACCCGTTTGTCTGAATCGGATCCGGGTGGGTTAGGGTTTCCAGAATCCGAAGATGGGTTTGTTGATCTGCAAAGGTTTCTCGCAGAGTCAAGTGGGAATATCGAAAGAAATGTCAAAAAGAAACGACTTTTGGAGAAAGAAGAGGAATGAAAGGTACTTGCTTGCTTGATTGCTTGATTGCTTTGCCGTCTTCCCCACACATCGTTATGGCTTCAAGCGAAACATCTTTGATTCTTCGGATCATCTCACGTGCCTTGCGACTAACAAGCACGTGCATCTTCATCATTCTCTTCTTTGGACATTCTACTGTTTAGTTTATGGTTTGGTTTGGACAGAATGGTGACAACAAAACAATCTTAGAATAGTTAATGCAGAATGAGTAGATTAAATATCATATTTTGGGGTAATATCATCACTCATTTCGATGAATCACTTAACATTACAAGTAATTTATTTTAGGTAAATCATTTAATTTATCATCTCAAATTTAGACGAATTATGTAAAAACTTACAGAATCTCAAATAAGTTGATAGATAAGACCACCTTAAACCTGTGTCTTGCCAATGCTTAGTTGGTCACATAACCCGGTACTAAGACAGTTACTGATATATGGTGTCATAGCATCAAGGCATCAACTAACTAAAACACAGAATGATATAGAATCCACGAGATATGATTATATATTCAGAACATGGATCAAGGATTGATAGTTGTAGATAATTACGGAATTACATTACTCTTCATCTATTCTCAACTAAACAACGCCGTTCAAAAATCGGTGACTAAGAACACCTTCCGCCATTGGCCGCTTCCTATAGTCAGCGTTCAACATTGCCTACCAATGCAAAGACAATATCGATTAAAGACCAAAACTTTCCAAACATGAAAATTAATATCGGGTTTAACATTTACTAAGGTTTAATCAGTTGACTATATAGGCATTCTCAAAATTTCTCCTCCATGTTTCTCTATATTTTCTTTTCATTACCATTTCTATTTAACTTAGATCAGAGTTCAGTTATTTAACTTTTTTTTTCCTGTGAACAACGATGCAGAGAAAATTGGAGTGACGAAATACCTGGAGTAATTCCCAACCAGCTCTATCACCAAGATCCAGAAACTTTACAGCTTCTTCGAGGCGTTCATCAGCCAAACAGTACCTGTAAGAAAAAACTAGTGAGGTATTTCAAACACGCAGTAACTTGGAGTAATAATCGACTAATTGAATACAACGGCTCTTTGGTGCTGCTAAAGTGAAATGCAATTTATGTAAATTTTAACAAAATCTAGTTATGACTATAGAAAATGTTAGTTAATCTGAAGATAGCAAGAGGCTTACTCTCTTACAGCCTCGATATCCAGCCGGAAAGTGTTTTCCAGTAGCCTCTGCAGTTCATCAGATTAAATTGCGGTTAAACAAAAAACTGTTTTGAAGTAGGTATATTCAGCACAAAAAGAGCTGATACATTTGTTGGATCAAGAGGAGATCTTGTGTTCTTGCCTGAAGAGAAAGAGAATCCATTACGCCGACTTCACAGAATGGAACAAAGGCTAAGTATGCAAAAAGAAGACCGGCTTCATATCTGTAAACCACAAGAAAGTGTTAAACCTTTATCAAATTGCAACTTAACACATGAAAGACTTAGAAAGCAAAAGAATTACATGTCATCTGCAATCCCAAAAGCTCTTTTCTCAAAAACTGTGAAAGCACCAGCAGCAGTTGCCCTTCGCCAAAGTTGCTCTGACAGTGAACCAGAAGTGGCTCCTTCTTCCAAGCATGAAGGCCTGTAAGGTATGCTCAGTCTATTAACAGAGAGTTGATAAAAAGCACAAACATTATCTTAACAATGCTAGTTCCAGTAATAATCAGCAAGACCAAAATGGCGAAATATAAGATAAAACTACAATAGCTGAGAATAAATAATCAATCAGGGAGAGATGAGGAGAGTGAGGGAACCTTATGTCAACAGAAAAGGCTAGATCTCGCAGCCGCGGTATTAAATAGATAGCTTCTCGTTCCGCTGGTGTACTAAAGATAATTTCACCAGAAAGAAAAATCGATTGAATTAGTAGAGTACATGATACACTTATATTGAGAGAGAGGTGTGTATGACTATGCTATCACTTTCACGTGCTCGTAGGGGAACATACTTGAGAACAATTGAGGATGGCCCGAGGCTTTGGTGTAACCTGTCATTATCATGCATAAAGGCTAGGCCCTTCATTGCACCCTGAAGGATCTTAATGACAAAGTTTCTCCTTCGTTTCACCATCTGCTCTTTTTCATAAGGATTCCATACTCCTTGGGAGCGAGCTCTGGATGTTTTTTCACTCGCAATTTGCGCGTAGTCAGCTGCACTATCTTTCCCACCATCACGAAAAGCCAGCCACTGTATGCATGAATCGACTCAACCTATGTTCCATAAGGTATACCAAAATATCCACAAACTAGTGCAGCTTAGACTAAAAAAACTACACTCAAAAGCCTCAAATTGTAAGTCTAACCTGTTCCCCAAGTTGTGTCTCAAAGCCACCAACAAGTATAAGCAGATTAGCAGGCAGGCTTTTGCTCTGTATAGAAAAGGTGATTTAACTATTAGCCACCGATGAGATGTAATTGCTAAGAAGCCATTTAGCATTTTTGCATGGCTATTTATCCAACCTGGAGAAAAGAGTGTGCATTAAGCTCGTTTGCTGCCATCATGTCAGCCTCAACTCCACCAGCACGCTGTCCTGGATAGACCTTTACAGAGACAAGTATGTGAGACAAAGAACGAATGGAAAGCAATTTAAGATCCAAAGTGAAGTTTGATGATTCTCATAATGTAAGGAGGACTCGCACAGCTGAACAAAATATGCCCAGAATGTAGAGAGACTCATGAAAAATGGAAATTGCCTTCTGGAAAACAGATTAACCTTAAAGACAATAGGCGTTCCTCGAAATGGACCCTGAGATATTCTTCCTTCATATAGTCTGCATACAAACTGCTGTGGCTAATACATTTTTAACTTGACCAAATATATTACCGTCTAATACATTGTCAACATAACGCCAAAAGTGCACCTGATCTTAACGCCACCTTCTCCAATATCTTGAGATTTTAATCGCCCAATATCATCAGAAGTATATTCAAAGTCAGATCCTGACTGCAGCCCTGTATAGCTAGGGGTATAAAAGAGGTGAAAGAAAAGGTGAAAGGTTAGAATACAAAGTAGAACAGGAAGCAGAATCTAACAAAATCAAGATGCACAATAATCATATGGTAAGTCAATGTAACCCACTTCACAACAATGAAAGCATATACACATAAATTCGATAAGATCAACGAAAGTGAGATTTTAGACCCTTCGAATATCTTCCACATACACATATTTTAGATTTAAGCTCACGTATACATTTCATAAACCTGCGGTAATTACAGACTTCACATATACATCTTTGAGTATTTTCTCACCTATCATCTTCCACATATAGACTCAATTTCGATATAAATTAGAGATATCTCTAGCTAAAGAGAGAAAACAAAAAATCCAGTGAGAGTACCTAGTTACATTCATGAATCCGTAGCTTCCAATAAGCCGCCCTACCTCGAACGAGTCAGCGCTGGTTATCAAACCCGCCGTCACCGCATGCAACCGCCGAATCGGCCGATTCCGTCCACGCGAATTCACAATCCGACGACCGGAGAACCCCTCGCCTGATTCTCGATGGATCAAAGAGAAACGCGAAACGCATTCTAAGGAAACGCGATGAACAGCGACCAGATTCATCGCTGTTGTTTGTGTTTCGTTTTGCTTCACTTCAAATTCCTTTCAAGTTTTTTTCCAATGATTTAACGAGTGTTATTAAGAGAGAGAGAGATAAGAGCCAGGAAAGTTTTCTATTTGTCCTACGTGGCTTTTATAAGATAGATAATTAACTAACGACCGGATAGATATATATTAATCTTATTATTAGTTTGACGGTGTATAATATGCCACGTACGAAACTCACCGAAAAAATAAGTAAGCGTTACAGAAAAAGCTGCTCTCGATGCTACGTGTACTTTTAAACCGAATTAATCCGAACCAAATACACGAAATGGAATCGGTTTAGTTTAGGTGGCAGTCACTGTGTATACCAAATCGAATCGTAGATAACCAAACTGAATTGAACCGAAGAAACTTAAACCGAAATGGCCATGACTGTTTTCTCGAGAAGTCATTTTTTCTTCGGCTTGGAAGGGAGAAGATCAAAGATTGGGTCTTTAACACTTGAGAGAGAGAGAGTCTTGTAAGGTGTTTGAGCTCGCGAAGAACGGAAGAAATTTTCAGGATCAATCAATCGATCAGTCTTTGGTGAACTAACTCTTGCTTTTTCATTCGTAGTTATGGAACCGGTTCCCGAATCCGTACCGTCGCCGAACTCGAATACGTCGTCTATACCACCGCCGGTGAACTCCGTGCCGCCTTTCTTGAGCAAAACCTACGACATGGTTGATGATCCGTTGACCAATGAGGTTGTGTCTTGGAGCAGCGGGAACAACAGCTTCGTCGTCTGGAGTGTCCCGGAGTTCTCGAAGGTGCTCTTACCCAAGTATTTCAAGCACAACAATTTCTCCAGCTTCGTCAGACAGTTAAATACTTATGTAAGCATCACTTTTTGTGTTCTTTTTAGTTTCTCTTCTCGAAATTGATCGTTTTTTCGTGGTACTATTTGGGGGATTCAGGGGAAATCGTGAAATACTGAAATGTTGAAGTTTGAAGGGTTTTAGTCTTGGTTTAAGTCTCTTCTTACTATATAGCTGAGCATGGTTTTTTAGTGACTAGATCCATGGTTGTGTTGGATTCTTTTTAAAGCCATGTCAATCTTTCTACTCACCAAAAGGTTCCACAGAAGTTTGCAGGCTCACTGTCACATATATCTGAAGATTGGTTTCCTCAATTGCTTTCTGCCTTGTAGCTCTAAATCACAAAACAGAATGTCTATCAGTTGTCTGAACATTAGCTTTGCTTTCGTTTGTATATGTCCGTCCAGGTACATTTTTTTTTATAAACTAAGAACTATTACTTTCCTTAAGTGATTTTGTGTTGCATCCAGGCATAGTGTGGATAATTTGTTTTCTTCTCAAACTTATGCTATAACTAAAACATATAACTAATCTGGACTGTTTTCTAGTCTACCTGTTTTGTACAATAACTCTATGTTGGCTTTTCTACTTCCAGAAAATTCAAGCAACCTCGTTTCAGTTCTTCAATTTGAATTTCGATATTTATAATAGTCTCTCTGTATTCTTATGTTCAGGGTTTCAGAAAAGTTGATCCAGATCGATGGGAATTTGCAAATGAGGGATTTCTTAGAGGCCAAAAACAACTACTGAAGAATATTGTTAGGAGAAAACCTTCACATGTGCAGCAGAATCAGCAACAAACTCAAGTTCAGAGCTCATCTGTTGGTGCTTGTGTCGAGGTGGGGAAGTTTGGAATAGAAGAAGAAGTGGAAAGACTTAAGCGGGATAAGAATGTTCTTATGCAAGAACTCGTCAGGTTAAGGCAGCAACAGCAAGCTACCGAAAACCAACTGCAGAATGTGGGACAGAAAGTTCAGGTGATGGAGCAGAGGCAACAACAAATGATGTCGTTTTTAGCAAAGGCTGTTCAAAGTCCAGGGTTCTTAAACCAGTTAGTACAACAGAATAATGATGGCAACAGACAAATTCCAGGAAGCAACAAAAAGAGGAGACTTCCTGTAGATGAACAGGAGAATTGTGGGGACCATGTGGCTAATGGTCTTAACCGTCAGATTGTTAGATATCAGCCGTCGATAAACGAAGCAGCCCAAACTATGCTTCGACAGTTCTTAAATACTAGTACCTCACCTCGGTATGAATCAGTTTCAAACAATCCTGACAGTTTCCTATTGGGTGATGTTCCCAGTTCTAACTCTGTAGACAATGGGAACCTTTCAAATAGAGTTTCTGGAGTAACATTGGACGAGGTTTCACCCAACGCAGCTCACTCGGCAACGAATCAAGTAAACGAAGCAGGTTTGGCTCAGCATCCTCAAGCTAGTTTGGTTCATCCAAATTTAGGTCCAAGTCCGTCTCAAGGAGTAGCACCTGCAGCCTCTTGGAGCCCTGAATCTGATTTAGTTGGATGTGAGACGAGTAATGGAGAGTGTTTCGATCCAATAATGGCTGTTTTAGATGCAATTTCTCCTGAAGGCGAGGGTGAGATGGATGAGTTACTGGATGGAGTCCCTAAGCTGCCCGGAGTCCAAGATCCATTCTGGGTACAGTTCTTTTCTGATGAAAGCCCAGCGATGGCAGATACAGACGAGATTCTATCAGGATCAGTGGAGAATAATGACATGGTAATGGAACAAGAACCAAACGAGTGGACCCGGAATCAACAACAAATGAATTATCTTACTGAACAAATGGGACTTCTTTCCTCAGAAGCACAGAGGAAATAAAGGTAAGAACACGTTAAGTTCAAAAGATGTTTCTCTGCATTGTTGTATATCTTCAGAGTTATCATTTGTTTCTCACAATATAGATTTTCAGGGGAAGTTGTGAAAGGAGATATGAAGGAAGGAGGAATATATGGTGTTTATACCCTTTACATTTTGACTGGGAGATGCAGAAAACTTAAAAAAAAAAAAAAAGAGAGAGAAGAAACGTAAAAGATTTACTACCATGCTTGTGAATAAAAGTAGAGATCGTTTTTTTGTGTTGTTTGTTTCTGTTTTACTTTTGTGTGAAAACGTTCGTCGTGTTCAACTATAATTATCTCAGTACAGTGATCTGTTGGTCCCTGACCGATTCATGCCCCAAAAGGACTATTTTCGTATGGTTATTAAAAAATACATGTTTAATATCTTTTGATCATAAAGATCCTTACCACACGATGACAAGTTAAGATCAATTCGATTGAATGGGGAAGATGGAGTATAAAGAATCTGTACAATAGATATTTATCTTTATCTTTAACGGCTCTTTGTATAGTTTCATAGATTTGTCCTTCGCTTGCTGCTTGAAGATTAAGCTTGGAGTTTGATGCTTGATGCTTTAGACCAAGACAACGATGATGACAATGAGTAGAACAATCCCAAAAATGAGAATAAGTAGACATGTCTGCAACAAAGTAAAAGATAGCAAACTTAGCTTTAGCTGCTACAAATATGAAATCACAGAACTGAAAATTTGAGAAGCGAGTTTCTTAGTGCGTACCAAAGAGGAGTTTGATCTTTGAGTTTTAGCTGCTTTTCTGAGTTGAGCAGTGGCTTGTGTAGTTGCAGCATGTGAGTTATCAATGTTAGCGCTGATGTCATCTGCCAATGCACAGTATAGGTTTTTTTCTGAGATGTTAAAGAGGGAAAAAGAAAACAAACAAGGAGATTTTACAATTTCAAATTGGTGAGTTACTTACCGACAATAATTCCTTGATGGTTCACTAGACCAGCTAGATCTTTGAACATTTCATTCACCTCACTAATCTGTTCTTGAACTTCTCTAATTCCTTGCTCTCTTTCCTCGATAATTGCTTCATTGAATGTTATCTCGTTATCTAAAAACACCACTTCCTGCCTGGAAATGAGAATATAAAAAGTTAGTAAATAGCATCTTGCTGCCAAAACAGAGAAGATGAATTTAACAGGGTTTCAGGACCAGAACCCACATCAAAAAGTTTCTTAACATTATATTAAAAATTAAGGCTATAGTTAGTAGTGCCAAATGTAAACTACTCCATTGATACTTAGTTAGTTATCTCATTAAGGAACAAAAGATAAGTGAAAGATGGTTTCAATGTGAATTCTGGAGCAAAATGCATGCTTGACTCACATTTAGTTTATGTTTATCATTACAAATGACCAAATGAATTAGTAAAATAACATGATATTATACAATCAAATCACACTCCTCACCTTCTTGATTGTAGAAGAAGAGTTTGCTCCTGGGAGGTTCTTAAAGATTCAGTATCCAGTTCCGGTGCATTATAACTGCATGAGTGGCATAACAATGAAGCATGTGTAAGTGAGACTCATATTCCACAAACCATCAGAAACAATCCTACATTCAAAGCTTTCTGAACATTCGCAAAGTTTATCGTACATTAATCAAGCTATCTTCTTTTATAACATGCAAGTATATAATCCAGCGATTTTTTTTCTTTTCATAGGAAACAACGAGATTCATTTACCATGATCTTCTGTTTCTTAACATAACTGGTCAAAAGAGGTTACCTGGTAGGTATTTCTTTTGTGACCACAGGAGTATATGTTATTTCTCTTTCAGCTGCAAGTCTCTGAGCTTTCTGAAACTCTTTGAGAACTGATTGGAAATCTTTTGCCAGTTTAGCATCCGCAATCTTCTTTATTTGCTGCAATTTAAACATAACATCAGAATTAGAATACACACATCATCAATCAAGTAACCAATTCTCCCACCAAATGAATAAAATGGTAAGATAATGACAATATTAAACCAAAAAAAAAAATTGTTCAATAGAAAATGTTCGCTTAGACATCTAACATTTCATAGCATCGTATGAGAAGGAAACAAAAACTTAAGCATTTTCTTACACTAGCTTCTCCATGAAGATCGGCTTCGCTAGCTTCCTTAAGTTTAGCTGAAGTATTTTTCACCAATTCTGATATCTGTAACCTTGTCTTTTGCCTGCCAACAAAAGAACCTAACACTTTTGAAACAATTCACATAACAAATAGATGAAACCAATCTAGAAAGTGAAGCTCATTATTTGCAAAATTGTCACGCATTAACAAAGCAATTTAAAATTCTCTACCATAGTTATGCAGCAAATAATCTATGAAAAAAAAACCAAAACCCTAATTAACACAGATTTAACAACAGAAGAGTGTGATTAGGAATTGCTACTAACAGCTTGTCTCGCAATTCAAGAGTATCTTTAGGCGTTCCAATCGAATTAACGAGGCGGAAGAAGGAATTGACAGCCGTGCTGATCCTGAAAATCCCGGCGGCGACCTCCTGAGATGGATCTCCACGAGACGACGGTCTCTGTTGTCTCCCGCCGGTAAAACGATTCGGAGCCTGAAATCGAGTACCAGCTTCGAGATCTTGGAAACTCATCGTCTCTTCTCTCGAATCTCTCAAAAATCTTCTGATCTTTCTCTCTCAGGGGAACTAACAAAGACGAAGATGATGGAAATGAGTTAGGTAAATTATAAGTTTTTCCAAATTTTATTGTATAATTTTGAATACATTATTTAATCTCATGTGGTCCGCGTGAATATGGTGGTGGATGGAATTTATTAATACGTCAAAATTAGTATTTGGCGGTGACACGTCATTGCGAGGGAAGTATCCTGCGTTGGCGTTGTTGACCTCTCCTTCCGTTTAATATTGAAACTCGGTTCCATTAAACCGGACCGATTCATGTTTGGTTTTTAGCTGTTTCCTATGAAAAAAAAAACTGTAATCGAACTCTCGAGGCTAATCTGAATTTGAAGTTCTTTAAAAACATTAGAAAATAAATAATATATTGCTCATTTAGGCTTTTAGCAGTGTCCATTGTGAATCGGTTTGACTTTGGGTCAACACTTTCATTGACTTCGAATAATTGGTTAAATGGTTTTGGGCTACATTGGGTGGGTTTGTGCCTTTGTGGAGTTAGAAAAAGGAGAAAAGTCTTGGGCCAAAACAAGAAGAAGTCCATAAAGAATAAAGTTGGAAATAATATTATTTGTTGGAAACAATTAGTAATAAAATAGTAATTTTCAATGAAAATTAATATTTTACTTATTACTAGTTTACTACTAAGTTATCATATTTATTATTGAATTGAGAGAATTAAAACTTTGATATATAAACCATTTTATTTTATAGAAAACAATGATATTTTTTTTTGATAAAGTAATTATATTTATGTAATTGTTTCTAATACAACATAAATTAATAATTGTTTGTTACGTAACTTCTAACTTTTGTTTTGAAATGAACTAGATCAGGAGCTGTACATATGTGCGGGATTTTTGTACCATACGATTTTCTAGTATAAAATTTATGTCATCTAGGTTTCGAATGTGTGTATCAGTTTGAATTTTTTATGAATATTTAAAATAGATTTATGTAACAAATTACAGGATTGAATATATTTGTTTTGAAATGAATTGAAGAGAAAAAATATAGAAATATATAAAAAAGTGAAGATATTATTTGTTGGAAACAATAATAAAATAAAAAAGTACTAAAATAGGATTAAAGGCGTAACGCAAACCCACACGTTGAGTGCGCGGTGTCATATAAAGCAAAACACACTCTTCCCTCTCTCTCTCTATACGCATCATCAATCTCGAAGCAAGTTTCGGTTTTTAGGCCAATCTCTGACTGAATCTGCGTGACAAAAAGCAAGAAATTACATATCTCTCTCTCTCCGACTTCGAATATCAAAATCCATGGCGGTATGCTCTACGTTTTTTTTCTATGTATAATTTTTTTTATTCGGAAGCGGTTTAGGTTTCCTTTGCTGCTAGATTTTGTTGCGATCCATATTGTTTCTCGGGAAAATTTCTCACGATTGAAATTTTTGGTTATTGATTTGATTTCTTCTTCTGGAATTTGGATGATCTGTGGTTAGATTGTTCCACTTGCCGACATATATCTCCGCTGCTATTTGTTCTAATTCGTCGTTATTTTCTGGAATCGAAATTGATTGTGTGATTCTGTATTTGCAACTCTGAATTTTTATTTTATTGTGTGTCTCGTTGTGATCTGTAATCGTGCAACTATCTATGTCTCCGTGATTTCTAGGTTTTTGGTTTTTTGTTTATTGTAGCAAAATCGCGATTGTGTGATTCTCAATTTGGAACCGAATTTTGCATAGGCCATTGTCCATATCACTTTTAAATTCCTCCAGCCATTGTCGATTAGTTTCCTAATTGTTAGCCTCAAACGTACAGATCATGGTTCATTTGAGTGATTCTATCTAGATGATTTGGCTGGATTTTAGAAGCAAATAGTTTTATATAAGAATGTTTATCTACAATTGAGTCATGTGTCATATCTGAATCATTATGAGCAATGTGTTTTACTATAAAAGTATAACCTTGTGAAAATCTAGGCTTCTTTGAGCTGACTTGATTGAAGTAGCGTGCTTTTTTTTTTAATGTTAAATGAGACTTTTGATCGATTAGCTATACTTGGATACAAAAGTAGTTGTACTGTAAACAGTTTCATTACACACCTGTTTTATTGTTTTCGTTAATGAATCTTTCCCTTTTAATTCTTTGCGATGACAGTCACAGGTAAGGTCAGTAAAAGTTGGCAATCTCTCTTCAGGAGCAACTGAGCATGATATAAAAGAGTTTTTCTCTTTCTCTGGTGAAGTTGAAAGCATCGACATCCAAAGGTTAGTGATATTTTTTTTCTTGTTCTTTGATTTCATAATCGTGAAATTTAAAGCTTTTTTATCAATTAACTCCCGAATTTTAAATGATCGAAGCTTCTTCTCAGCAAATTTAGATACAGTTCTCTTAAACTTACTGACTGTGAGCTTTTTGTTTTGTTTTCATTTTCTGACTATCAGTAACGAGCATAGTGCTTATGTCACATTTAAAGAAACTCAAGGAGCAGAGACTGCTGTGCTCTTATCAGTGAGTTCACCCTTATTCCCTAGTCCCTCCTATCTTAATATTATCGTAGTAGCATTCAACTCTTACATAAGACTGTTAATTGAGACCAATCCATGCGTTTCTCGCCAGCATTTAAACCTTCGTTTAATATGGTAAGAAATACTCAGAGGTACTTTCACTTCTCGTCCTCTTGGAACCTGTTCTGTGTCTGGACTAAAGAAGTACAAGTAAAATTAGTTTGCTTATTACTAATATTTAGGACCATTTGTAATTTGCATTACTAACAAGGGGTGTTATTTCAGGGAGCAAGTATTGCCGACCAATCAGTCATCATTGAAATGGCTCCCAACTACAGTCCACCAGCAGCCCCTCATGCTGTAATGTCTTTCTTCATACTTGTTTTTCTTCCATTCAATAGGTTTACTTTAAAAGAATTGATAATTTGTGATAACTTGCAAAAATGTAAACCTGTCAAACCCATGATTGGTAGAAATGTCGAGCGAGGTTTTATTCTTTGTGATTTAGTGAAAAGTATTCATCTCAACACTCTATAGAGCAGCAATATCGTAGGGGTGTTAATTTGTGTTAATTTTCTCAGGAAACACAGAGCAGCGGTGCAGAATCTGTTGTCCAGAAGGCAGAAGATGTTGTGAGCAGCATGTTAGCTAAGGGTTTCATTCTTGGAAAAGATGCGGTTGGCAAAGCAAAAGCTTTTGATGAGAAACATGGTTTCACTTCAACTGCAACCGCTGGAGTTGCTTCACTAGACCAAAAAATCGGTCTTAGCCAGAAACTTACAGCTGGAACAAGCTTGGTCAACGAAAAAATCAAGGCGGTGGACCAAAACTTCCAGGTAACAGAGAGGACCAAGTCTGTGTATGCAGCTGCGGAACAGACTGTGAGCAGTGCAGGAAGCGCTGTGATGAAGAACCGTTACGTGTTAACTGGTGTCAGTTGGGCCGCAGGAGCATTCAACAGAGTGGCTCAAGCAGCTGGAGAGGTTGGACAGAAAACAAAAGAGAAGGTTGAAGCTGAGCAACCGCCACAACCAGCACAGTCACAGCAGCAACTGCCAGAAGGGTATTCTCCGATTCATTCATCTGAATACTCGAAGAACTAAAATCATCAAGTTAGAACGGTTTCGTTTGTTTCTCCTTGTTGGTTTCTTTGACATGGAAGTTGGAAATTTCGTTTGGTCTTTGGGATGTAACATATAAGCTATGCCTGGATTTTCCCTACTACTATTAGACTATAGTTTGGGTTTTTCCAATATATATTTAATAAGTTGACATTGAAATCTTTCTTTAAATGTTACAAATTCAGTTTGATCCTAGGTTACCAAAATGAGATCCTTTTTCCTAATTTCGATAATAAAATCTAGCTAAGATCAGCTTCAATAATTCAACTTCCACAGCGAAGAAGAGTTTGACCGGTCTGTAGCATACTCCAATGCGGGCGATAGATGCCGAGAAAGATACTGTTTAGAAAGTGCAGATTTTAAATAGATCAAGAGGGTTCGATATCGCGAGTTTTTCTTCTTCAGAACTTGAATATAGGCGTGTAAGCCAAGCCATATCGCTTCTTCTTTGCATAGTTTAAGAACTGGTCTGAAACTAGAACCAGTGTTGATTCTGCGCACCCTTCGATTGATGAGTCTGAACATGTACCTATCAGTTGGAAAGAAATGAAGAACACTATTATTTAACAGAACCAAATTAGATGATTCAAAATCAAAAGAAACCAAACCAAAACCAAAACCCGAAATGCTCGAAAACATATGATATAATTTTGATTCCATACCTCATAGATATTGTGATGAATTTGAATAACGTTTGAGGATGAATCTTCCAAAACCGGGACACCTCGTAGACATAACAGTGAAACTTCATTGCAGCTAACAGAAAGATCTGATAGATGTTTAACCTGACAATTTCTCCCGAGTTGATGTTCGAGTCAAATAGAATTGGATGACATTTCGGAACCAAGAAGTAACACAATTTTTGCCGAAGACTTCTAACTGGTTTGTTCTGCCAAGCTACAGAAAAGGTTGAACTTATATGGCCACTCAAGTACCTGTTTTCATGAATTTGAGTAGCAAAATTAGGAATAAAAGCTGAGGAAACAGATCCAAACAAGTATATTTATAAGGGAAAACTACAAGAGATGAGGCAGACCTTGTGTAGTCAACTTGAACTTCAAATGTGCGGGAATTAATAAGCAAACCCGTCCATCTGACAAAAGGAACTCCATTATCACCCACAAACATTCTGTTAGAAGCACACCTAGATTCTTCTTCATCTTCAAAATTTATGCAGAACTTTTTTTCGTTCATGAAGCAGTTGTAATCTTTAAATCCATGCTTCAACCTGTGATAGAAGCTAGTCGCCTGATCTCTCGAGGTAGACACAAACAGGTAGTCATCAATAAATCTCAGTAACTTATAGCTCGTGGGAGCGATAAGCTCTTTCTCTCTATTGCATTCTTTAGCAGACACATCTTTAGAGGCTTCTTCGAGGAACGGGTAGATCAAAGTTCTCTCAAGATGCCCATAGTAAAAACAACATAACAAGGATGATAATCTGTGTCCCTGAGGTATTCCAGCTATTTGTACATAGAAGCTTTTATCCAACTGCAGCATGTTGTTCTTTAGCATATTTCCTATCCAAAGCATGAGATCCTTTTTCCTCACTAGATGGTTTTTTCCCTAGAAGATTGGACCAAAACCATAACACTGTTAAGGATATAAGTAAAGAACTACGGGGACACTACAAGCTCTAAGAAATGAAATCTCTAGAGATCTATCAGCAGTCCAATAGTTTTGTATTTTACCCTCTTGAACCTATTATCCTCTTTTCTGAGGCAAAGATGAACCAATGAAGTAGATATGTTTAGTTGCACAAACAGATTAATCAACAGGTTTAAAAGGCAACACAAACCAAAGCCTTCCTAATGAACAATCCATGAACTGGAAATTTTATTCTAATTGATCATATTTTTAATCCTATGAGCAGAATGTGTTTTTGACATTAGGCTCACACAATTGTTGCAGAGATACTCCACAGATCCAGCAAACATGTTTCTGAAAAGTACCAAAAGATCAAAGAGATTTTAGGTTAAGAAGGAGCATACCTGATCAACCATGATACTTTGCAGTGCATTATATGGAACAGTTGATGTGTATCTTGAAAAGCTAGCATTTTTATCACTCGAGACTAGTATATTGTTTACCCAATTAGATCTCTTCCCACAGCAGACCAACCTACATCTGTTTAAGATGTATTCATCTTTCAGGAAACTTTGAATGACATGAAGCAGCTTACTCTGGTCAATTGAATCAAATGCTTTGAATACATCCGCAACCACAAAGAACAAAGGAGGAAGTTCTCCAGATTGACTTCTTAAATGGATCAGATATGGGCATAGGTTTCTGTAGAAATCATCATGGTCAAAAACAGAAGATCCAAGAACATCTGGTTCTTTGAGCTGGATGTCCTTCAAAACAGCATGTATATCACGAAGAGATTGCGACCTTGACGAAGAACTAAAATCTAACACCAACCTCACTCCATTGGCCTTTGGTAAAATTCTAAACTTCGATAACTTTTTACTTTCAGCTTCAGCATTGTCCACTTGGACATATCCATCAAGGGTTTTGCTAATTTCTTTGCTTACTAACCTTTCCCAGCTGCTTCTCCGGTAATAATAAATATTTAGCCGCCCTCCTTGGCTTTCAGTGGCATAGAAGTTGAAGTGCACCAATTTCTTGACAATCTCTAAGAAAAGCCAAGAAATCCATTTTGTGCACAACATCTGCTGTGTACTTCTGATGGACTCATTTTGGAGTTCATGTCCGTTGGCCATACAGCATAACTGTTTTCTGGCAAAGAATGGGAATCCTGATGGTTTCAATTTATGCAAAAACTGATTCACTGTGCATTTCTCATTTCGTCGCCTTGAAACAAACCAGGCTATGTTTTTCCTAAGCACCCTCATCTGATGAGTGGTCCCAAGCAAACTTTCTGGAACAATGTACCTACAGATGGCCCAAATAAAGGACACTACTTGATCTTTCGTACAATACAGCTTCATTTCTTCAACACTGGGACATTTGAGTATTCCCTTGTGTGAACTTGATCCATGAGGCAGCTTATCTGAACTCTGTAATAGAAGATATGCAAGGTTTGTCACTTCAAGAATCACTTGAAAGTGCCACGGATATGAATTCTCTTATGCAGGTTTACAATATATATCCAAGTCTATCAAGTAGCAACTGTGTTGATTTTCCCTTTCTAGTTTCTTTTTGTTGTTCAGATTCGAATATTCAACATAATTTTTCTGAAATAGAAACACTCAAAAGACATCAAACGCTAGGGAAATTAAATCTGAAAACCATCTCTGAAAGAAAGATATCAACCTGAGAAGTCACATTTCCGGACTTCAACGCATCCTCTTGCAGCAAGAGAACAGGACAGTGTTTGTCTAGTAGCATTTTCAAATGTGAGGACTTTGTTTTTCCTATTAGACTTTTAAGAGACTTGAGCAATGAATGGTATCTGCAAATCAATGTAAAAGAAACCATCCCTGCATCAGTTCCCTCAGCAAAACTTTTATTAAATTTCCTTCTTCAATTCAGTCACAGACTACTTAGATATGTACTCTACATTACATCTGAATATATGCTCCAAGTTTCAGAGTAACTTTAGTTTTTTTTTTTTTTAAACATTAGAACATTTGGGATAATAGATTGATTCCAGTTGAACGAAACCAAAATGAAATAGAACAAGATACCATTTCCTATCTAAACAATTAAAAATCTGATCATGGAATTCCCCTTCTACAAATCGATATATATTAAACTTCTCACCATTACTTAATAGTACTGAGCAACCATGTATATAATCATGGAAAACAGAGCAGTTTCCTGCAAGCTGGTTTTTTTTTTTTTCGTCTTTTCCTGCAAGCTGGTTTTGACACTCAAAATGTACTCTAAGAAAAACAATAACGTGTGTCAAGGACTCAAGGTATGAAAAGCCGAAGAGCTTAGGAGAATAAATTGATGACTTACAAGCAAATAGATCCATCGGGACAGTTGCCTTTGCCATGAGATGGCGTCGTTGACCAAGCATTTACTTCACCAAATATATGGTTCATTAGGAGCTTTGAATCAGAGCAGTTGGACCTCAAGGTTTTTAAAATGTCTGTATATTATAAGGAATCGTATACAATGCAGAAGAACTGTATAGAGAGGAGTAACATTTAAAATTTCCATCAAACTATCGTTGCTACATGTCATTGAACATGTTAAAACCACTGAAGGATACGGTTTGGTGGTATAACTGAATACGTTTCCGAGCTGCCAAACTTGAAATTCTTGTTTCTTTTAACCTGCTCAGCCTACAAAAAATAGTTATCAAATCTTACAAATGCAAGAACAGATTGTCGAATTTGAAGGTAATGAAACCACCTGATAACAACAAGATATATGATACAGTTTTTAAAATACACCCAAGTAAAACTACAAAAATATTCCCCATCAGTTTCTCAAGGCTGAGGATAAATCAAGAGCAATTATACTCGTCTCTTAGTAATTTTAAGCAATAACTTTATGCTTAAACTTGTGCATTTTCAACTTAAACTTGATTGAGTTAATCATTTCTACGAAAATTACCTGCTTTACAAAATCAGTGAGACTTCCAATTATACCAATGTGCAGATTCCTTTCGTCAGCTTCATTACCAGTTGAGGCTTTACCATTTGTACGAGTTATACAAGGGGCATCACAGTCAACCTTTTGGAAATTGACCTTCCTCTGCTTTCGCCGACGTTTAAGATACAATCTTGAACGCTTACTAGGTTTTTTTTCTGTATGCTGGCCTATATCCTCGCCAACTATGGACGTAACAGCTGCAGAGTTGTCCTTACGACAGTCATTAACAGCAGAAGAAAGCCGCTGCCTTTTCTTTGATGGCTGAACGTTGTCATCCCTCTTTCTTTTGTTTTCATGGACTGACAATATCTCTATACCATGGAGAATGAAAACTTTACCAAGTTAATATGAACCAAAAACCAGAAGTTGATAATAGATGGCTAAACAGTCACAAAGGCAAATCACAAAGTATTCAGAGAACCAGCAAGTGGAAGTTTCAAAAGAAAGCCAACACAAGAGATATGATCCGGGTTCTTAGAGCATATATTTTAGGATATAGAATTTTTCTTTCTAGCTAGGATACAAGTATAATTCTGAGACTCACCCTTTTGCTTGATACATAGAGGAGGTCCAGACACTTGCTGGTGTTTTTTTCCTAGTAATGGTAAGAATATTGATGTTTGCTGTAGAAGATAAACCATGACATCATGACCGACCTACAAATATTGGAACTTGAATATTACCAACCGCAAACTCGAAAAATTAAAAGTAAATCATCACAAGAGGTTGACAACAAACCCGGTGGAGAAGAAAATCCCAAGATGAACTTGTCAATAACTCCAAAATAGGGCTCGACTGATCATACTGTCAAAGGATGAACAGGAAGAGGAACAATTAGTTATATTTTTACCAAACATTGAGTTTGAGCAGGAAGAAGAAGATTTCAACCTTATCAAATCTTGCACATATCACATTATGACAATCACATCCAGATTGCATCATCTCAATAATCCTTTCCACAATCTGGAAAACTTAATTGAAGTATTATGTTTAAAAATCGGCAAAATCATAAGATAAAATAGATACGTCTTGAAACCTCTTAAATTAAGAACTTAAAGCAATGCATAATACAGTGCGAAGCAGAATCTTACCTCTCTCTGTGACCACCAAGATGTTGGCGAGAAATCCAGAAGCGGAGGAGTTTGTTCTTGAAGTACAACGAAGCATCGGTGAAGAAGTTTACGGTAGTGAATGGGATCATCGGAACGCAACAGAAACGCCGGTTTATCGCTGCTGCAACCGAGACAACCTTGTCCCCGGCATCGGCATTGCTCCGGCTGGATATTCCGGTTCGGAATCAGATCTACTATTGCGCCCTTTAAATTCCTGGCTCTATCTCCGAATAACCTCCATAGAATCTCCGGCACACTTCGTCTAGGTTTACGCGGCATTTCACCTTCCTCCTCCTTCCTCTCGAATTGAACGAGCTTCGATAATGGAGTCGATGGTGTGAAAGAGGCGGGAGATTAAAGGTCTGCTGGAGTTCTCGAAACTATAAACTGCGATTTTACTGCTATCTCTAGATTTTCAAAATTTTCAAAAAATTTCAAAGCTGAGCTACAAACGCTGGCCAAAGCGTCCACCCAATCACAAACGCAGGTCGCTTAGCACGTAAACCGAACCGAAATTCGCTTTAAATTTTAATCGGTCTATTAATTTGTTCTTCAAATTTATAATACAAAACCAGGATTTTAATGCCAAACCGAAAAGACTTCGGTTCTAAAGTTTAAACCGAATTGATTTGTTTAGTTTAAACGCAGAAATCACCCGCCACTCTAGTAACACTAGTATGATTCGCCGCCTTCTCATCCCCAACGCCGCCGCGAAATCACACCAGTACATTAAAGTCTCTCTCTTCTCCACATTGGCGCCGGAGATAACGCCGCCGTTTATCCACAAATGCAAAACCATTTCTCAGGTCAAGCTTATTCACCAGAAACTCCTCTCTTTCGGAATCCTAACCTTGAATCTCACTTCCCACCTCATCTCCACCTATATCTCCCTCGGTTGCTTATCTCATGCCGTATCTCTCCTCCGTCGTTTTCCTCCCTCTGACGCTGGTGTCTACCATTGGAATTCACTCATTCGCAGCTACGGCAAAGATGGGCGCGCCAATAAATGTCTCTCTTTGTTCTGCCTTATGCATTCTCTGTCATGGACGCCGGACAATTACACATTCCCCTTCGTCTTCAAGGCTTGCGGCGAGATCTCCTCCGCTCGTTGTGGAGACTCTGCTCACGCGCTTTCTCTGGTGACTGGATTTATCTCCAATGTCTTTGTTGGGAATGCGCTTGTTGCTATGTATTCCCGCTGTGGTTCATTGAGTGATGCACGGAAGGTGTTCGACGAAATGCCTGTTTGGGATGTTGTAACGTGGAACTCTATAATAGAAAGTTATGCAAAGTTAGGCAAACCTAAGATGGCGCTTGAAATGTTTAGCAAGATGACCAATGAGTTTGGATTCAGACCTGATGATATTACCCTTGTGAATGTTCTTCCTCCTTGTGCGTCCGTTGGAACTCGTTCACTAGGGAAGCAATTTCATGGTTTTGCAGTCACAAGTGAGATGATACAGAATATGTTTGTAGGGAATTGCTTGGTGGATATGTATGCAAAGTTTGGGATGATGGATGAGGCAAACACAGTGTTTTCGAATATGTCAGTGAAGGATGTAGTATCTTGGAATGCTATGGTTGCTGGGTATTCTCAGATTGGAAGGTTTGAAGATGCTGTCAGGTTATTCGAGAAGATGCAGGAAGAAAAAATAAAAATGGATGTTGTTACTTGGAGTGCTGCTATTTCAGGGTATGCTCAACGGGGCCTTGGATATGAAGCATTGGGTGTGTGTAGGCAGATGTTGTCTTTTGGGATAAAACCAAATGAAGTAACGCTTATTTCGGTTCTTTCAGGTTGTGCTTCTGTTGGAGCATTGATGCATGGTAAAGAGATTCATTGTTATTCCATCAAATATCCCATAGACTTTCATAGGAACGGTCATGGCGATGATAATATGGTCATCAATCAACTGATTGACATGTACGCTAAGTGCAAAAAGGTTGATATAGCACGTGCAATGTTTGATTCACTTTCCCCCAAGGAAAGGGATGTTGTGACTTGGACTGTGATGATTGGTGGATACTCCCAGCATGGGGATGCAAATAAAGCTCTCGAACTTTTAGCTGAGATGTTTGAGGAAGATTGCCAAACAAGACCAAATGCTTTTACCATATCATGTGCCCTTGTGGCATGTGCCAGTTTGGCTGCACTAAGAATTGGCAAGCAGATTCATGCTTATGCATTGCGCAACCAGCAGAATGCAGTACCGCTGTTCGTATCAAACTGCCTAATAGACATGTATGCAAAATGTGGAGACATCGGTGATGCCCGGCTTGTATTTGACAACATGATGGAGAAAAATGAAGTTACTTGGACATCTCTAATGACGGGTTATGGTATGCATGGTTATGGAGAAGAAGCTCTTGGAATCTTTGAGGAGATGAGGAGAATAGGTTTTAAGCTTGATGGTGTTACATTACTTGTTGTACTGTATGCTTGCAGTCATTCAGGAATGATCGATCAGGGCATGGAGTATTTCAATAGAATGAAAACTGATTGTGGGGTTAGTCCTGGCCCGGAGCATTATGCATGCTTGGTTGACTTGTTAGGTCGTGCTGGCCGGTTAAATGAAGCTTTGCGTCTCATTGAAGAAATGCCAATGGAGCCTCCTCCTGTGGTATGGGTTGCTTTGCTCAGTTGCTGTAGAATCCACGGAAAAGTTGAACTGGGGGAGTATGCTGCTAAAAAAATAACAGAATTAGCATCTAATAACGATGGATCATATACATTGCTCTCAAATTTGTATGCAAATGCAGGGCGTTGGAAAGATGTGACTAGGATCAGATCACTGATGAGACATAAAGGAATTAAAAAAAGACCTGGTTGTAGTTGGGTCGAAGGAATTAAAGGAACCACTACGTTCTTCGTGGGTGATAAAACTCATCCACACGCTAAGGAAATATACCAGGTCCTCTCAGATCATATGCAACGCATCAAGGACATCGGTTATGTTCCTGAAACAGGCTTTGCTCTTCATGATGTAGACGATGAAGAGAAAGATGATCTTCTTTTTGAGCACAGTGAGAAGTTAGCTCTTGCATATGGTATTCTAACAACTCCGCAAGGTGCTGCTATCAGGATTACTAAGAATTTACGGGTATGTGGTGATTGCCACACGGCATTCACATACATGTCCAGAATCATTGATCATGAGATTATATTGAGGGACTCAAGTCGCTTCCATCATTTCAAAAAAGGATCGTGTTCCTGCAAAGGTTACTGGTGATGATGCTTTCTCTATGCACTCTACCAAATAGTAGGATCTTAAGAGGTCTGTTCATTTTTAACTGAAACAGAGAACAATATTTTCGATCCACACATTCTATTCTGGGGATATCAAGTTAGTAACTTTTAAAGGATCCCATTCAAACAGCAGCACAACAGTATATCTGCATCCGCTTCAACCACAGATCAATAGCAGCGCTATAACACTAAGCTTGACAGGTAGGTACAAAGCCAGAAAACAATCACCAAACAAGTTCTCATTTACTCCCTCTAGTTACCTCCCTATATCTGTTTGACGTTTGTTTTCGCATTGCAATTTCATATTACCTGAACGGGTTTCCAACATCATGCAGGTTATAAAAGCAACCTGAGCGGATCCGTATATTCAGGGTTTTCACGTGGTTACTGCAGATTTGAAGAACGATCTAAAGGGACAGAAAAGGATAATAAGCACTGTGTTATACACATCATGTAGATTGTATAATATAAGAAAATTTTGTAGATGAATAGCTTTTTTCTTTATTTTTGGTAGATAATCAAACTCTATACCATGGGTTTATCTTAAATAAACAAGATCTGTTGTTACATATGAAATGTTCATATAGCCAACACTCCCATGAATTGGCACTAGAACAAGCCATTTTCTCAATGTGCTAAGAAGGCTCGAGCTTTTGATACCTCTAATACAAAGCCAGCAAAAAAAATGATATCAACATTGGTCAAATCAATCTGATCCTGGAGAGGAAAATTCTACATGTCCATGAAAAATGGGGAAAATGTTTTGAAATGGATATTTCGTCATCATCAAGAATGAGTAAACGTAACAACTATAGATTTCTCACAGGTAACCCCGGTGGAAGAGAAAAGGTGGAGTTCATGTCTCTCCTTTCTGCTTGGTCCATCTGAGAGATCAGGTTGAAGTGATGTCATATGAAAATTCGAAGCTGCTAAAGAAGCTTTAGTCCACCTGTTACTTCATCAACAACTTCGACTGGTCCTGCAGAAGTAAATGTTGCGCTAAGAAATGCTGATAATATCCGATAAACAAATTCTGGTAGAGGAATCTCTAACTCCCCGTCATAGAACGGTGCATATGAATTTGGATACCACGCAAAAGTATACACTCTCTTCTGACCGAGTCAACTTTTTAGCTTACAGTTTCCTATTTTGGATTCTTATGATCTATATTCTATAGATTCCATTCAGGGTCAAGGACAAGCACCAAGCAGTCTAGAGAAGTCTTGAACTAATAAACTAGTACATTTATCTAGGGTAAGTGTGATTTGGAACTCTCAAACTCATCTCTTGTCCACCAGAGTCTTAACTTTTAAACACATGACTTGGATGAAAAATAACAACTTACCAAGAATAGCCATAACCGTCCTTGAATCTGGAAAAGAACATGGAAGTATATTAGATTCACATTTTCACAGAAAATGGTCCTAAATACTTATGAAAGAAGATTGAATCAAGAGAGATTTCTCCCTGGTAATTAACTAGCAAACATAAAATTAAAAGCACCAAGGGATTTGAAATTCGAGGGGCAGGATCTTATGAAACTCACTTGGGGCAATCTGTGTTCTTCCAGCATCTATGGTGATATGGGTAGGCAGTTTAAGGGATTTAGCTCTTTCCTAACAATTTTGTGAACAGTCAATACAAGCTCTAAGAAATAGGAAAAATCAAGAAAGCTCAATGATATCTCAAATTCCCCTTAAATATTCATGTATATTGGTCAGAACTCAGAATTATCAAGAAACTAACATCTGGCAACTCCTGCAAAGCCCGTGAGGATCAATCAGTTTGGCAACAGCACTAAAGCTGTGAATCCAAAATATATTTCAATCACACAATCCACTTTACAGTAACTAGTACAATTCGTTTTAGTAAACTCACTTGCAATTCTAGCATCTCGTCCTCGTCCTCGATTTTCACAACAACTTTTGGCTGTGCACATTCCTCCCAGCTGCAATAGCAACATATACTGTTAATTCAATACATCTCTAAGTAACAAATGGATTTGATTAGGACTTAAGAGGCATACCAATCCAATGCTTTTGGCGCTCGCCGAACAAGCTTTTTGTATAATCCTAAAGTTGCATGACTGCAAAAAACTGACTCAAATGTAAGAACGCAAAAGATGAATTAAACACTTGAAAGAGTAAAAGCGAGCATGATTAGTTTAAATCACCTGCATTGAGCTGCGATCTTTCCTTTACCCATTTTAAGATCATTCCTCACAACCAAAACCTGAGTAAACAAGAACAGATTAAAAAAACTCAATTCAACATTTTGTGATTCCATTAAAGTAGAAGAACAAATGTAGTTAAGTACCATCTTGAAATCATCGAGAATATCAGCGAGTTTCTCGATTTCGAGAGGACCCTTGGAGGATTGATTTTTGGTATCCCCATCAACAGCAGCAATAACAGGTTTGGAACGGCGAGTGCCAATGCAGAATCCAAGTGCAGCTCCAACAATTAGGGCACTTATCCACGTCAAATCCATTGGCAAGACTCAAATACTTAAATCCTACATACACAAAAGTGATTGAATTTGAGAACCTAAAATTGAATTACCTCGACGTAATCTAGCTCAAGTTTCTACAGGTAGAAAGAGAACAATTAGGATTATCAATGGTCTAAAGATCAAGAGAATCGAAGAAAGCTTACGAGTTCGAGAGAGAGAAACGGCTCTGATGATGAATTTTTTTTTTTCTCAAGCCGGCGTGAAAATTTTACTGGCAAGAAAAAAAAATACAAACCATTAAGTTAAATCAAGATCAAAATAAATTGATAACAAAAAGAAAAGAAATATTTACAATTTACCTGACGTGAGTGGTTGAGATAATTTTTTAAATAATATAGGTATGAAAAATAAATATTAGGAAACGAAAAATAAAAAAAACATATATTTTTGGCAATAATGATAGCGTAAAGGAAGGGAGACATATATTCGGGATAAAGTTATTCCCGCGGCCAAACACTTAAAAAAGAAACGCAGTTTTCTTCTTCTTCAGAATTTGTACGGCGTCAACGGGCCATTGACCTTGTCGCAGGTTTTCGTCTCTAGTCTCCTTCATTTCACCAGATCGAGCTTTGTTCTTCGAGCTTCTCATCTCTTTGTTCAATCTCAAAGGTAGAAATTCGCGTTAATCTACTTGCGATTTCCCTGTTTTTGGTTACTATTTCGTGTTGATCGATCTAGTTCTGGGTTTTCCCATGATATGAAATGATTTTTCCTCAGGGGTTTTGTTGACCAAAATGAATTTTTCTATGTACTTTCCAATTTCTATCTTGGAATATCGAATTCGTTTTTTCTCAGCAAACCCTAATTAGATTCATCTGTAAAAAACCTGTTTAATTTCTGGTTTAACCAGTTTCCTTGACTAATTTTGATGGATCGAGAGAATTTTTTGTATGATCTAGGAGATCAGGTGTATGTGAAACCCTGATTGATCATATAGGTAGTTTTTTAGGACACTCCATGAATCCCAAATATGAACCTTTTTGTGTATTTGATTTTGGGGTTAATCTCTTGCATAAAGGTGTTTTTTTACTGTTAGTTGTGCTTCCATACATTAAAATAAGCAATTCCTTTTGTGCTCGTTATTGTTTAGTATTATTGAAGCATATTTGAATAGATTGATGTTTCAGCTTTTGTGTTTCATTTACAGGTTTGAGTATCAGCAAAGATGGGTGACAATCTGATGGACAAAGTTACCGCATTTGGTGAGCGCTTGAAGATTGGTGGTTCGGAAGTGAGCAACAAGATCAGTGCTGGTGTGACCTCAATGAGCTTCAAAGTGAAGGAACTTTTTCAAGGTCCTAACCCAACTGATAAAATAGTCGAGGATGCTACTACGGAGAATTTAGAGGAACCTGACTGGGATATGAATTTGGAAATATGTGATATGATAAATCAAGAGACAATTAATAGCGTTGAGTTGATCCGTGGGATAAAGAAGAGGATAATGATGAAGCAGCCGAGAATTCAGTACCTTGCTTTGGTTTTGCTTGAGACGTGTGTTAAGAACTGTGAGAAGGCATTTTCAGAGGTGGCAGCAGAAAGAGTCCTTGATGAAATGGTAAAGCTGATTGATGATCCACAAACAGTTGTGAATAATCGAAACAAAGCTTTGATGCTGATTGAAGCTTGGGGAGAATCCACCAGTGAACTCCGCTACCTACCAGTTTTCGAAGAAACTTATAAGGTAACTATGACCTGGTACCAACTAATGCTACGCTGCTGAAATATACCATACAGGTTTCATTTGCACTACTTTATTGAAGATGTCACTATCTGAATATATATATCCATCTCTTGTGTTGAGTTGAAGTGTTTTGGCCTTACTTTTTGAGATTTCTTGCCCTGGGAAATTCAAGGTCAAGCATCTGGGTTTTGAACAAAACAGATAAATGACTATGATTTCAATGAATTGGCTCAATCCACTAGCTTGTTGTAGGAATTGATTGAAACATGAAAAGCTGTGAGATCTAATGTCAGAATTCATTATGATCAGGTCTTTAATGTTTTTGTCTTGTATTTTTGTTCATATACTATAGAGCTTAAAAGCCAGAGGTATTCGCTTCCCTGGACGAGACAACGAGAGCTTGGCACCTATTTTCACTCCTGCTCGATCAACTCCAGCACCAGAAGTAAATGCTGATATTCCTCAGCATGTGCATGAGCCTGCACATATTCAGTATGATGCTCCTGTAAGAAGCTTTACCGCTGAGCAGACAAAGGAAGCTTTTGATATAGCAAGAAACAGCATTGAACTTCTATCCACTGTTCTGTCCTCCTCGCCTCAACATGATGCTTTACAGGTAAATCGAGTCGGAATTATCAGGCATCATTTCCTATAATTCTAAAATACTAATGGATAACACGGGATCATTATCTCTCTGATTTGCAGGATGACTTAACAACGACACTTGTACAACAATGTCGTCAATCTCAAACCACTGTCCAAAGAATCATCGAAACAGCAGGTGAAAATGAAGCACTTCTATTTGAAGCCTTGAATGTGAACGACGAGCTAGTGAAAACGCTATCCAAGTATGAAGATATGAACAAACCCTCCGCACCGCTAACTGCACATGAACCAGCCATGATTCCTGTTGCTGAAGAGCCCGATGACTCTCCGGTTCATGGAAAAGAAGAATCTCTGGTTAGAAAATCTTCTGGTGTTCGTGGTGGATTCCATGGAGGAGGTAGTGGTGATGACATGATGGATGATCTTGATGAGATGATATTCGGTAAGAAAAGCGGTGGTGATTCTTCGACTAATGCTGATCATGACCCGAAAAAGGATCAGTCTTCATCCAAAAACGACGATCTTATTCGATTCTGAGACGTTTTTTTTCAAGCAAAATAATAACTCTTTTATAATGGGTTTGGTGTTTATTTGGTAGTATGAATGAACAGATTCAATGTAAGTAATCTGTGTTTGGAGATTCTCTTCGACTTGTGTGATGGGTTTATAAAGGAGTATCCAATTACTATCGTGCACATTTGAACACAAACTTTGTTTCAATTTAGCGTTTACAGTCGCAGACGCAATCGCGGTTAAGTGAAGCGCATCGTCACTTTCCACGCTTTACTCTCATCACAAGAAGCAACAAAACCCAATAACAGAAATTTGTAATCGAAATCGAACTCAGATTCGAATAATCAGATCTCGCAATGTCTGGGAAACAGCAAAATCATCGTTCTACTTCTTTCAGACCCAGATCCAAAACCCTAATCATCATTTCCCTCTTCTCCGTCTCTCTATTCGTCATCCTCTACACCTTCTCTTCCTCCTCCCGACCCTCCATCTCCAAGCTGAACCCGTCGGACCAACCAGTGACGTCCTTCGTTACCTCACTTGAGCATTTCTTAATCCAAAAAGCTCCGAAGCTCTCGTTACCGGTTAGAGACGACACGGTGCGTGGCGAGAGTGATGATGATGTGAGGAAGCTCGATGAGAAGGTGTTCGAGAGAGAGAATCGTTGGTTGAACGAAGATCCGGGATATCCTGTTGAGTTTCCGATTAAGGTTTATGTGTACGAGATGCCGAAGAAGTTTACTTTCGATCTTCTCTGGTTATTCCACAAAACTTACAAAGAGACTTCAAATGCTACCTCTAATGGTAGCCCTGTGCATCGTCTAATCGAACAGGTACTATAAGAAGCTTTATTGATCATTTGGTTGATTGTTAGATTTCTTGTTGTATTCATCTGTGCCATTGGTTATTTTGGTGTTATGATTGAATTGAATTGAAGCCAACTTAAGCGAGAATAGCGATCAGGCTTTGTGGTTTTGTTCAACTGGTTTTTCTTCACTTGTGTAGTTGAATAACTTGTTTAAATTTTTTCTATATTTGCAGCATTCTATTGACTATTGGCTCTGGGCTGATCTGATCTCTCCTGAATCTGAAAGGCGTTTGAAAAGTGTCGTGAGGGTTCATAAGCAGCAAGACGCGGACTTTTTCTATGTTCCGTTCTTCACTACAATAAGCTTTTTCTTGTTGGAGAAGCAGCAATGCAAAGCACTCTATAGGGTGTGAGTGAGCTTTGATTATATATTTCTAGCATTAGATCTAATTTTCAAATTTAGATAGTTTTTTGTAGTTTGTCACCCTGTGCTTTATTTGAAAAAATATCAAGCTGTTTTAACACTTTAAACGTGTGTTGCAAATGAACTAAACTCTTACCCTGAGTGTTTAACAAATGAAATGCCGAAGAATGTTTGAATTTATATCCTGTTAGATGGAAAATTGTCCCACTCGGGAACTCAGGGCATTTGAATAGTCTATTGCATGTAAATTTTGAAAAACTGCTCTTTATTTGCTTTTAGTTGATTTATGTTAAGCTTGCCTCAAAGGGAGATATGTTAGCTGAAAAGTGGGATACCGTATTTTACTGGTAACATCTTGTTAACTCCTTTCCAACTGTAGGAAGCTTTGAATTGGGTCACTGATCAGCCTGCTTGGAAGAGGTCCGAGGGAAGGGATCACATATTTCCTATTCATCATCCTTGGTCCTTCAAGTCTGTCCGTAAATTTGTGAAAAATGCAATCTGGCTTTTACCAGATATGGATTCCACTGGGAATTGGTGAGTCTAGATTTCCTTCTGTAACTGATTCTGAGCCATGTAATCTGCTATCTTAGCTATACGTTTTTTTATTCTGTTTGAACTTGACCTCGTAGGTATAAGCCTGGGCAAGTTTCACTGGAGAAAGACCTAATTCTTCCTTATGTTCCCAATGTTGATATCTGTGATGCCAAATGCTTGTCAGAAAGTGCACCAATGAGAACCACATTACTTTTTTTTCGAGGGCGCCTTAAGAGGAATGCTGTGAGAATCAGGCCTTTTCTATCCCTTTATAAGCTACATCAAATGCTCTTTTACCCTTTCTGTCTCGGTGACTTTTTAGATATCCCTAATAGTTGGAATACTTTGTTGTTATATAAAGAACAATTGAAATACCTCATTATACTGGGAAAGCTCTCAGTCTTTCTTTGCCTTATCTTATAAGTTATGTGTCTCATGAATTGGTTGTTGAATTTTTTTTGTTTAGGGAGGTAAAATACGTGCCAAACTCGGTGCAGAACTAAGTGGTGTCAAGGGTGTAATAATTTCTGAGGGTACTGCCGGAGAGGGAGGAAAATTGGCAGCTCAAGGTGGCATGCGTAGGTATATCCTGGGTTGCTTCCTCACCCATTTGGCTGCGGCACAATTTTTCTTTTTCTTTTAAGTTTTAACCTTTTTCTAACTATGGCTGCCTTCCATCAGATCTTTATTCTGTTTGTGTCCTGCTGGTGACACACCATCTTCGGCGAGGTTGTTTGATGCCATTGTCAGTGGCTGTATACCTGTTATAGTCAGTGACGAGTTGGAATTTCCTTTTGAAGGAATACTTGATTACAAGAAGGTATGTTCAGGAAACCTAATACATTGGTGCTCTGAATTTTAACCCTTTGTTTTTACTGAATTAGTTTATATGAAGTAAACTTTGTATGAGCCTTCACTCTCTTTTCTTTTTGCTCTTGTTTTATCTCTCAGGTTGCTGTGCTTGTTTCTTCCAGTGATGCTGTACAACCAGGGTGGCTTGTAAATCACCTAAGAAGCCTTACGCCCTTCCAAATCAAGGAGTTGCAGAAAAACCTTGCTCAAGTAAGTTCTTAGTTTTTCTCATCTTCACAAACTTTGATTTTACAAAACGATATTAACCTAGCAAACAACCTCACTTATGCAAGTGGATCTTTATACATTAAGTAATATGGTTGTTTTCAACTTTTCCAGTACTCGCGGCATTTCCTATATTCAAGCCCTGCTCAGCCATTAGGTCCAGAGGACTTGACATGGAGAATGGTATGTACCTACCAAAAACTTACATACCTTGATATTACCAAGATGGAAAAAAAATTGAAAGCAATAACGATATCTGACAGCATGTTGTAACTAAAATCAGTATTTGATATTGTGCAAGAAGAGAGTAATAGAAAAAAAAAATCACTGTCTGTTTTCGATGACTAATTCAAGTTCTCTTCCTTAATTTAATTCATCCGGCCTGATTGCTCAGCACAATGTGGGTTCGGCTTACCCGATTAATCCTCTGATTTAATATTTTTTCCTTTGATCACACTCATTCGTTCTCTGTCGGTGGAAATGGTGTAGAACTTACATGTGTAAATCTAAGATTCAGAAAATATTGATGTTCTTGTTGCAATGGCAGATGGCCGGAAAGCTAGTGAATATCAAGCTTCACACGAGGAGGTCACAGCGGGTCGTGAAAGGATCTAGGAGCCTTTGTAGATGTGATTGCTGGAAACCCAACTCCACAGCCATCAATCCTTTGAATCCTCTCTTGTCTTAAGACCTATACCTCTGACCCAGATATATATTGTTGAATGTTTATCCTATTAACTTTTCCCTATCGCTTACCATTTTATATACTTGCTCACGTTTATCTTCGCAAGTTGTGGTTAAAAGAATGCATGAACTCTGATAAATGAAGGGCAGTATTGAGACAAGTCCTTGGACGAAGACAAGAGTTTTGGTTCAGAAACAACCCCAAATGCACGGTAATGATCTGATATGTGACCAAAGAAAGGGATTGTAGTTATAATCATGCAAACAAAATATAACAAGTTTTTCAAAAACTATCCGCCTCTAGAGAAATTTTTGGTCTGAGATGGTGTGTGTTGTTGGTTCGTTTTGTATCTATAGCATGGATGTTCATGAAATAAATTGTCTAAAATAAAAACAAATTAAATACTCCACAATATGCCAGATATTTAATATTAAGTCCCTTCGGGGACATCTGATAAAACAGATATTTAATATTAATGTTGACAGGGACATTATTACGTGTATAATGAGAACTATTCGTGGTTAGTAGTAGTAGTTACTCCCTAATTAGATATGAAATATTGACATTTTTGACCAACGCTACGTACACACGTCACACGTTATCTCATTATTCCAAAAAATAAAAACATATACAGAAATACTCCTGCGACCGCGTATTTGGTATTTCCCATTCCTTTTTGGAAATTCCCCAAAGTACCCTCATCGTCTCTTTCAGTGTGCTTACACGTTTTTTGAGTCCCGAAATTAACGCCTCCCTACGACATTCTTTTTATTTTTCCATATTTTATTGTGAAAAATACCAAATTTATTTATTTTTTTCTTATTGTGTTTTATAGCTTGGAATTGGAACTAGAAAATATCTGAACTCTCTTCGGTAGATAATTTGTATCTTCCTACAACAACAAAGAGAAAATATAACTAAAACGAAAAAAATAATTAGTAAACATACATTTTAAACTATGTCAAAAAGATAAAATCCTGAAAACAGAGAGATTTTGGATTGGAATTTTTTAAAAATTGTTATATCAAAATGAGAACATGGTATATTAATTAATCACAACAATTTCCAACATTTTTTAAAGCCACTATATTTTTAACTTACGACTTAATATCCCGATAAAATTCAAATAACTTGAGTTATTTTCAAAACTTGGATTTGACAGTATTTGTTTGCTTTAAACACTCTAAATCATTGAACTGAGATCAAAGAAATTAGAGATTTTCTAATCTTTTATGGTAAGTAAATTTTTGGTATCCTTATTCAATATGGAAATAATGAAAACGTTCAACGCGTTAAAAGATAAATAAGACCACAAGAGTTAAAAGGAGTCGTTCTTACTTTCTCTACCTTGTCCGAAAAACCTCAGTCCCCTCAAAATAAATAAAAAAAAAACGCAAAACGTTTCAAACAAAAATAAAGTGTGCTCCGTCAACTTGTTTTCCCGGCGGCGTTCCATCTTCGTCCTCGCTGTCTCACCGCGTCATAAAATTTTCTACTAAAGTAAAAAATACGAAATCGAGCAGAGAGATCTTCCTTCTTCATTTCTCGTCTCTATTCTTTACTCTTTCTTTGTTTTATATATATTTTAAGATCTTTGAATATATTGGGGATAAATCGGCTAACGTGTATTAGTTAGCAGGAGTGCTTAAGTATTTGCTCACGACTAAGTCCTTTTCTCCTCTTCTTCTTCCTTTCACTATCTCTTCTCAATTTATCAAATGCCTCATAATATCCAGTTGGGTGGCACGACACGACCGCGTTGAATACTTCAGACAGATTTGTTAAACAAGAAAGTCTCTTCTTCTTCTTCTGTCAATTACTATAAACTCAAAGATCTGAGTTTCTTCTCTCTTCTTAGCGTTCCTTTCCCCTGAAGGTATTTGTAAGCAATCTTGGTTTTTAAATCTTGTTTAATTGTTTTCTTATAAGTTCGTGGTGGGATCGTCTCTTTTTGTCTGAAAATGTCAATGGGCTCATCTTTCTCTCTCTCTCTTTTCACTTCTGGTTTTGAATTGTTTAGAGAAAGATGTGTGCGCTTTTCGAGATATTCTCGGATTTGAAAGTTTGAATCTTTGAATTAGAGTATTCGTCTTGGTAGCTTTAAAGGTGGTGCCTTTTTGTTGTAGTAAGAAATGACTGTTACCTTTTCTTTTTCATTTGTGTGAAGGTTGATGATGAGTTTGTTTTTGATTGAAGCCATTAGATCCATATATTGATCTGTTTCTTTGTTGATGTTTTGAATGGAATTTAAGAGCAATTAGAGATGTCTTTGTTTCCTCTTTTGCTAACTTTGTTGCTTCTGCTTTGACTTCTTTCTACAGGGATCTGCCAAGTTAGATCCTAACTATGGCATCTAATAAGCATTTCGATAAAAGTCCATCAAATCTATCAAACAACTCTGATATTCAGGAGCCTGGAAGGCCATCTGTTCCTCAGTCAGTTAAATTTGGTCGAAGAACTTCCTCGGGTCGCTATATTAGTTACTCCAGGGACGATCTTGATAGCGAGTTGGGCAGTCAAGATTTCATGAGCTATACAGTTCAGATTCCTCCAACTCCAGATAACCAGCCGATGGACCCTTCTATTTCTCAGAAAGTTGAGGAGCAATATGTCTCTAACTCGATGTTCACTGGCGGGTTTAACAGCACCACCAGGGCTCACCTTATGGACAAAGTGATTGAGACAAAGACTAACCATCCACAAATGGCTGGCGCTAAAGGATCTTCTTGCGCCATCCCTGGCTGCGATGCTAAGGTTATGAGCGATGAGAGAGGTCAAGATCTTCTTCCCTGTGAATGTGACTTTAAAATTTGTAGGGATTGCTTCATAGATGCTGTCAAAACCGGCGGTGGGATTTGCCCCGGGTGTAAAGAACCGTACAAGAACACGCATTTGACCGATCAGGTTGATGATAACGGTCAGCAAAGGCCTATGCTGCCTGGCGGTGGCGGGTCGAAGATGGAGAGAAGATTGTCGTTGATGAAGTCAACTAATAAATCAGCTTTGATGAGGAGTCAGACTGGAGATTTTGATCACAATAGGTGGTTATTTGAGACGACTGGAACTTATGGTTATGGGAATGCTTTTTGGACAAAAGACGGGAATTTCGGGAGCGGTAAGGATGGAGATGGAGATGGTGACGGTATGGAGGCGCAAGATTTGATGAGCAAACCGTGGAGACCGCTTACTCGGAAGCTGAAAATTCCTGCTGGTGTTATTAGTCCATACAGGTATAAAAGAGAAGTGTATTGTTTCATTGTTTAACTTTACTAAATCCAATTCTCTAAGATGTTAAAAGAAGACTGTTTTCTTTTTTCTTTTTTCTTTTTTCTTTTTTGCAGGCTTTTGATATTTATCCGTATAGTTGTTCTTGCATTGTTCTTGACTTGGAGGATTAAACATCAAAACCCAGACGCTATATGGTTATGGGGAATGTCTGTGGTTTGTGAGCTTTGGTTTGCCTTGTCTTGGCTTCTTGATCAGCTCCCTAAGCTATGCCCGATTAACCGTGCGACCGATCTTCAAGTCTTGAAGGAAAAGTTTGAAACACCGACAGCCAGCAATCCAACCGGGAAATCCGACCTTCCTGGATTCGATGTGTTTGTCTCTACTGCGGATCCCGAGAAAGAACCTCCTCTGGTCACTGCTAATACCATTTTATCGATTCTAGCTGCGGAATATCCGGTTGAGAAGCTTTCTTGCTATGTGTCTGATGATGGAGGGGCGCTTCTTACGTTTGAAGCAATGGCTGAAGCTGCGAGCTTTGCAAACATTTGGGTTCCTTTTTGTCGTAAACATGCGATAGAGCCGAGGAATCCAGACTCCTACTTTAGCTTAAAGAGAGATCCTTACAAGAACAAAGTGAAGTCTGATTTCGTGAAGGACCGAAGACGGGTTAAGCGTGAGTTTGACGAGTTCAAAGTCAGGGTTAACAGCTTGCCTGATTCGATCAGGCGACGTTCTGATGCTTATCATGCCAGAGAAGAAATTAAAGCCATGAAGATGCAGAGGCAGAACAGGGACGATGAGATTTTAGAGCCTGTGAAGATTCCGAAAGCTACATGGATGGCTGATGGTACTCACTGGCCTGGAACTTGGTTGACCTCTGCCAGTGATCATGCCAAAGGCGACCACGCCGGTATCATTCAGGTATAAAGTCGATATCGAAAGCCTTTTTCACTTTCTTTGAAGTTTTCATAGTCCATGGAATGGCCATAGATTCAAGATGTTATTATATTATTCAATATCTCATTTTGTTTTCGCATATTATCTATCAATGCAGGTGATGTTGAAGCCACCGAGTGATGAGCCGTTACACGGAGTGTCCGAAGGGTTTCTTGATCTAACTGATGTGGATATTCGACTACCACTCCTTGTCTATGTTTCTCGTGAGAAGCGACCTGGTTATGATCACAACAAGAAGGCTGGAGCCATGAACGCCCTAGTCAGAGCTTCTGCGATTATGTCAAATGGACCATTCATACTCAATCTTGACTGTGATCATTACATATACAACTCTGAGGCACTGAGAGAAGGGATGTGCTTCATGATGGATAGAGGCGGGGATCGGCTTTGCTACGTTCAGTTTCCGCAGCGGTTTGAAGGTATTGACCCTTCCGATAGATATGCTAATCACAACACTGTCTTCTTTGACGTCAACATGAGAGCTCTTGATGGGCTTATGGGTCCGGTTTATGTCGGAACCGGTTGTCTCTTCCGAAGAATCGCGCTTTATGGATTCAATCCACCTCGATCTAAGGACTTTTCCCCAAGTTGCTGGAGTTGTTGTTTCCCTCGTAGCAAAAAGAAGAATATTCCTGAAGAAAACCGAGCTCTGCGTATGAGTGATTACGATGACGAAGAGATGAATCTCTCTCTAGTCCCGAAGAAATTCGGTAACTCGACATTCCTCATTGATTCAATTCCCGTTGCTGAGTTCCAAGGCCGGCCTCTCGCGGACCACCCTGCGGTTAAAAACGGTCGCCCACCCGGTGCACTCACCATTCCGCGAGAACTTCTTGATGCATCGACAGTAGCAGAAGCCATTGCTGTTATCTCTTGCTGGTACGAGGATAAAACCGAGTGGGGATCACGTATCGGATGGATTTACGGGTCAGTCACTGAAGATGTTGTCACAGGTTATAGAATGCATAACCGAGGCTGGAAATCGGTTTACTGTGTGACGAAACGGGATGCTTTCCGTGGCACAGCTCCAATTAACTTGACGGATAGGCTTCACCAGGTTCTCCGTTGGGCTACTGGCTCGGTCGAGATCTTCTTCTCCCGTAACAACGCTCTTCTCGCGAGCTCGAAAATGAAAATACTCCAGAGAATTGCCTACTTAAACGTCGGTATCTACCCGTTCACATCGATCTTCCTCATCGTCTACTGTTTCCTCCCGGCGCTCTCCCTCTTCTCTGGTCAGTTCATCGTCCAGACGCTCAACGTCACTTTCCTAGTATACCTTCTCATCATCTCCATCACTCTCTGCTTACTCGCCCTCCTCGAGATCAAATGGTCAGGAATCTCACTCGAGGAATGGTGGAGAAACGAACAGTTTTGGCTAATTGGAGGAACAAGCGCTCATCTTGCAGCTGTGCTTCAAGGTTTGCTCAAAGTTGTAGCAGGAGTCGAAATCTCCTTCACGCTCACTAGTAAATCCGGAGGAGATGATATAGACGACGAGTTTGCGGATTTGTACATGGTGAAATGGACTTCACTTATGATCCCTCCGATTACGATCATTATGGTGAATTTGATCGCGATTGCGGTTGGATTCAGCAGGACAATTTACAGTGTGGTTCCTCAGTGGAGTAAATTGATTGGAGGAGTGTTCTTCAGTTTTTGGGTTTTGGCACATCTTTATCCATTTGCTAAAGGTCTAATGGGAAGAAGAGGAAGAACACCGACGATTGTGTATGTTTGGTCTGGTCTTGTGGCCATTACCATTTCTCTTCTTTGGGTCGCCATTAATCCTCCGGCTGGTAATACTGAGATTGGAGGAAACTTCAGTTTTCCATGATAGGTTGATTTCTTGTCAAGAATCACAAAACAAAACAAAAAATTTCTCGTTGTCTTTTTATTATATGAAATCACATTCCTTTATTAGATTATTTTTGTTTTTCTTTTCTGTCTGAAGATGATGATGGATCATGTTAGGACAAAGATCGACTAAATATAGTTTGAACGAGTGCAGGAACTTAGTTTCTCTCGTTGTCTTTTTTTTGGTTCTCTGTTGTATCATTTGTTTATGACATGGATGTTTTTTTGCTCATGACATTTGTTCTTCTTTTTATGTAACCTTTGATTAATGGTGGAACTAGACAGTCTGCTACTACTAAAATTGTATAGTTAAAACCAAAATCCATGTCTTACTAAAGTAATTAAATTTGATCATGTTTATCTTCATCAAAACTGCATGTATAAGTAAAATTTGCAAATACATGTACAGTATTCTCAATAATTAGTTTTTGATTGATAACTTTAGAACTTTAATACGACTGTTTTATACTAAAAGAAAAAAAACTAATCTTATAACAGAGTTCTATGGAGATGGTGATGAAATATGTCACATATATAAGAAACATTAAAGTCCTGATTTGATTACAGGATTGAATTTTGATTTGGATCAATTGGTTTTCTTCTTCTTTCCAAATCTGAAATAACTAGAAATGAAACCAAACTTGACTAAACTAAAAGAATTGGAAGAAAAAAAGGAAGTAGAACATGAGAGTGATTCATCTACCGGGAATATACCGAGTGATTCATCTACAAAATGTCGTACCGGAAATGTCATATCTAACTTCAAAGCAAACGAAACTGAAATTATAGAAACAAAAAAAAAGTAAGTACATGAAAAGAATTCACATGCGGAAAAAGTCGTACACGCAAGCCATATCTAATTGAGAAATTCCTAAAAATGGCCCTAAAACAAGTTTTATTGACAATAATAGCACACACTCCATAAACTTCCAAAAATAGCACTAGTTAACTTACTATTAGTGTTTTTGTTCTAAAAATTTTATCACTATCTTTTTTTTTTCAATAATACCACAACTTTTATATAAAAGCTATTCAACAAAATAAATTAGAAATAAATTTAAAATATTATATTTGGGTTCTCTATTTCCAATTTAGGGTATATATTTCTACCATTTAAAAGAGATTTTGATTCATTTTAATATTAGTTTATGGTATTATATTTGGGTTCCCTATTTCCAATTTAGGGTATATATTTTCACCATTTAAAAGAGATTTTTATTTTAATATTAGTTTGTGGTATTATATTTGGGTTCTCTATTTCCAAATTAGGGTATATATTTCCACTATTTAAAACAATTTTGATTCAATTTAATATTAGATTAGTGTTTGCTCTCTTTTTTATTTTCTATCTTATATTTTCATTAAGTTTAATTGAAGTTTATGGTGCTATTTGTGGAACTTTTCAAATGAGATGCTATTTTTGGAAAAAAACAACTTTTTTGGGGCTATTTGTGTCAATCTCCCTATCTAATTTATGGAACTTGATAGGATCTAAGTATTCAGTATTCTACAATAGTTTTATATAAATTACATGATTGACAAATTTAATAATTAGGACAATTTTTAGACGTGTCTTCAATCTCCATGACTCAACGTGACAACCATGTGGGAATGCCAAGCATTATCGATTTTCGTACGTGAATCTTTATGTATTTGAGATTGGAAGCTTGTCGTTTGATAGATCTCACAAGAAAAACTTCACCAATATTAACCAAAATATTCTAAAATTGTTACTTGTTCTTGATTATTGATTTAACCAAATTCTTCTAATTATCATGGTCTTTTAACAGGCAAATCTATATAGTAGACTATTTATTAATATAGTGTTATTTTCAAATGGAACAAAAATATATTATAAATTAATAAATTCATTGGATTATTTTTTTTATTTTTAATACATCAATTTGATTAATAAGTTATGTTCTGGCGATTAATTATAGCATTATCCACAGTAAATATCACAAATTATACTAGATGAACAAACTATCTACAAACTCGCTCACCATGCGTATACCATGACCTTATGACCACTCAATTTGGTGGAAAACAACACACGCATGTCCAAAGCTAAACCTTATCTATCACCTACCAATATTCTCTACCTAACTATGAGAGATTATATCTAAGTATCCCACCAATCTAATCTCCAAAAAAAGACCCCAAAAAAGAACAAGAAGGTTTCTTTTTTAAAAATGAGAGCTATTCAAACTCAAGTGATAACCTTCTGCATGTTAGTCATCATCGTAACATCATCAACAAGAGCCCAAAAGAGTGATCATGTGCCAAACAACCACGAACTTTCTATCGCCATCGAAGAAATGGAGAAAGCAAACTACTTCTCTTTTGTGATGCTCATCAACATGTTACCATCCGTAAATCCTCGATTCTTGGCCAATGTCACATTCTTGATGCCAAAGGACAAAACCCTTTCTAGATCTAACATTATTAATCAACAAGATTCGGTTTCCGAGTTCTTGCTTCGCCACTCAATCCCTTCCTCTCTTCTTTTCGAGCACCTCAATCTCATCCCCAATGGCTCCATTGTTCCTTCCTCTTTACCACATTACACCCTCGAGATCTCCAATGGTGGAAGATCAAACTACTTTCTCAATAATGTCAAGATTATAAGCCGCAACATTTGTAGCTTAGGCTCTATCAAATGTCATGGAATCGACGGTATACTACAATCTCCAAGTACTATCGACGATGATTCTCCTCGTAATAATCACACTTTACCCTTCATTTCTTGCCCTAGCAGTCACAACAATAGTGACCAAAGTAGTCATAACAATAGTTCTCGTCCTGCTCATACTCTTACCGCTCCTCCTCCAGCAAGCAGTCCCCTGCCAAAATCAGATTCTCCAAGCATCCATGAGGTGAAAATGTTAAATTCGATCGTTATTCCTTTGCTTGGATTATTAGCGGGTTTGATCTGCATGTGAAGTATAGTACTGCACGTCTGCACATACGGCATACTACAGATACCACCACTTAATTAGTTGTGTGTAATAGTACTCTCTTGTTATAGTTTATATACACATGTAAAAGAAAAAACGATGAACGTTATAAATGTAACAATCAATTCAATTATGAGTTTTAATTTTAAAATTTCCTTTATAATATCTATTTAGAGACTTTCTTCCAAATTTGTTTTTTCTGGCAACAATCTCAAATGTATTCTTCCTATTTTCGATATAAACTTATGCTTACAAGTTTTACATACATTAATAATCTATGATACTATCTTTTATGGTATCAATTAAAAACAATATTATGTTTTGAGTAAATATATTTTAAAAGAAATCACACGAATTATACACTAAAAATTTATGAATTTTATTTATCAATATAAAATGATAAATTTATTATATATATATATATATATATATTATTTAAAATGTTTTTCAATCGAATTCCGTCAAATGGGCCAAATGAATTGGGTTTTCGGGTCAAATATCCAGATATCGGGTAAAACCGACCCAAGATCTTAAGTCTTTTTTTTCCTTACGCAGAGAAACCCTACTAAAACCCTTTGGCAACTTTCTCTGCCTCCATTTCTATGGCTTCGAATTTCTTGTTCATCAAGCCAATTTCTTCCTCTTAAATCCTCTTTACACCAATTTTTAAATCCCCTTAAAATCAGTGAGACCCCTAGTCTGATTTCTCTTTAATTTCTCATTTCCTTCCGGGAAAAAAAAATGGCTCAGAAAATTGCGATTGGTGTGATCTCAGCCCTAGCTGCCTCCGCTTCTCTCGCGCCGTCGAAATTCGCTGCTGCAGATGGACCTTTCACTTTCTCTGGCTTCTCCACTTCTCCGGCTGCTTCGATTCCTCAGCAGCAAGGTTCTTCTCCGCCGACGCCGGAATCTGGAAAAGAACCGTCTGTTGCTGGCGAAGAATCTGATGCTCCTCCTCGGATTCGGAACAATAATCCGAGAACAACTTCAGCTGGGTTTGATCCGGAAGCGCTTGAGCGAGGAGCAAAGGCCTTGAAGGGGATCAACAACTCAGCTCATGCCAAAAAGGTCTTAAGAACTAACCCAATTCTGTCATTTGTAGATAGAATCGGATAAGAGATTAGAGATTCTCAAGTAGATAAGAGTTGTGTATGATGTAGCTAATGGAAGATAAGTTCGAGCTACTAAGTTTTCTCTAGTAGAATTATGGATGGATTTCAAAAATTGTTTTTTTTTCCTATGGTTATCAGTAATGCTTGGCCTCACAATTGATGGATGTTTGGTTTCTGATAGGTATTTGAAAGTATTAAAACTCAAGAAGAGACGAGGCAGGCTGAGTTTACAGCTAAGGCGCAGGAGTTTAAAGCTATGCAATCCCAAGCTGAAGCTGTGAGTTTAACTTACTCTTAAGTTCATTGTCAGAATATTTTGACTACATGGTTTGTTTAGGTTGTACCTACTTATCAGGCTTTCTAGAGATGAATGTATCAATCCTTGTGTTTTAGTATACTTATATAGTATATATGTTCTTACAACTCTATGGTTACCTACCAGAATCGACTGTGCGGTGACGTTGACGTTGTAAAGTTATGTTCCTGACATTTTCCATTTCACAGGAGAGGCAAAGGGTAATATATGAGGAACAGAAGAAACTTGCTCAGCACCAAGCACAAACAAAATCACAGATGGCCCGCTATGAAGATGAGTTAGCAAGAAAAAGGATGCAGGCATGCGATTCTACAGATACTTTTTTTTGTTTATTTAACTTTGGGAACTTTTATTCTCTCTAACAACTTATGCTGTGTATCTTGTTACAGGCTGAGAATGAGGCCCAGAGAACAAGAAACCAAGAACTTGTGAAAATGCAAGAAGAATCAGCAATTAGGCGGGAAGTAGCTCGACGAGCTACTGAAGAAGAGATTCAAGCACAGAGACGACAAACAGAGAGGGAGAAAGCTGAGATTGAACGTGAGACAATCAGGGTCAAAGCTATGGCAGAAGCTGAAGGGAGAGCTCGTGAATCAAAGCTTTCTGAGGATGTCAACAGGAGAATGCTTGTTGATCGTGCAAATGCAGAAAGAGAGAAATGGGTTTCTGCCATCAATACTACATTCGATCATATTGGAGGTCAGACATTAGTGATAAACAGTATCTCTCTATCGTTTTGTTTCATTCATTGTGGAAGCTTTCCTGTAGCAGTTTACCTTAGCAGTAATTAGCGTCTAATAGGTAACTTGTAAGTATAATAGGCATGTGACTCTTTTAAATACTTCTATGATTACTCTTTTAAAGTAAATGATTGACTCTTTACCCGTTTTCCTAGGGGGCTTGCGTACCATTCTAACGGATCAAAATAAGCTAATTGTTGCTGTTGGAGGTCTAACCGCTCTTGCAGCTGGGATCTACACAACGAGGTAAAGACTAAAAATGGTTGAGAAAAAAGTGCCACTCATGAGTTATTGTTGTTAAAGGTTGAGAAACTCAGTTATCTTATAGATTACTTGTTGCAGAGAAGGTGCCAAGGTTATCTGGAGCTACGTGGATAGAATATTAGGACAACCTTCTCTAATTAGAGAATCATCGAGAGGAAAGTACCCTTGGTCTGGTTCCGCTTCTCGTGTCTTGTCCACATTGCGGGGTGGTGGTAAGGAGTCTACTTCCAAAAATGGAAAAGGGTTTGGTGATGTTATTTTGCGTCCTGCTCTTGAAAAGAGAATCGAACAGCTAGCTAATGCAACTGCCAACACAAAAGCCCACCAAGCACCTTTCCGAAATATACTTTTCTATGGTCCACCAGGAACAGGGAAGACAATGGCTGCCCGAGAGCTGGCTCGTAGATCTGTATGTATTCTCTACATTTCTAATACTTACAGTTATTATATCATGTATGAAGAGTAGATGCATTCTTCAAATCGAGATCTTAGTTCTAGGTTACTCATGGGCATTAAAATCTCAGGCTTGTCACTTCGATAATCACTTACGTCCTTTGATCTGTTACCATTCAGGGTCTAGATTATGCATTGATGACGGGTGGAGATGTTGCTCCACTTGGAGCTCAGGCTGTAACAAAGATACACCAACTGTTTGACTGGTCCAAGAAATCAAAGAGAGGCTTGTTGCTCTTCATCGATGAAGCCGATGCATTTCTGTGCGAGTAAGTCGCAAATCATATGCTGATGATAATTAAACTTAACTCAGGGGTTTGAGTTATTAATGTGTTCTTTTGATTGCAAATTTGACAGGCGGAACAAAACATACATGAGCGAAGCCCAAAGGAGTGCACTAAATGCACTCCTCTTCCGCACGGGTGACCAGTCCAAAGACATAGTCCTAGCGCTTGCCACAAACAGACCTGGTGATCTAGACTCAGCAGTGTCTGACCGTATCGATGAGACGCTTGAGTTCCCCTTGCCTGGAGAAGAAGAGCGCTTCAAGCTTCTAAACCTCTACCTAGAGAAGTACATATCTAAGCCTAATCTAAAAAAGCCGGGTTTGCTCCAAAGCCTTTTCAAAAAAGAGCAGCAGAAAATTGAGATAAAAGGCATTACTGAGGATCTCCTGAAAGAAGCTGCCGCCAAAACAAAAGGGTTTTCGGGTAGAGAGATCGCGAAATTGATGGCAAGCGTTCAAGCTGCTGTATATGGAAGCGCAAACTGCTTATTGGACGCAAACCTTTTCAGAGAGGTCATTGATTACAAAGTCGCAGAGCATCAACAGAGAAAAAAACTAGCTGGAACCGATGCAGGTAACAAGAAATGAATTCATATAAATCATCAACACAGATATCTGCAGGTGTAGATTTGAACAACACTCAAAAACTCAAAACCCTGAGCATTATTCTCAAAAGGGTTTAGGCAGAATTGTTTCCAAATTGTTTCTCCATGACTGTTTTAGATTCTTTCTCTTTTTTTCTTAGCCATTACAATCTTGAGTTGATCTTATCATATCACTCCTTAGAAAACGAGGCAATACCGGTCTTTTTGTGCGACACTTCCCAGTTCTGACCATCATAGCTTTTGACCTCGACGTGATCCAGTGTCCCTGACTTGACACACTTAACTGTGACAGCGACTCCATCGGGGTTAGACCTCGGGATATAAAACGATGTGATCCCACAAACCTTGCAGAAGGTATGCTTGGCCGTATGAGTCCCAAAAGTGTAAGTAGTAATGAAGTCTTTGGAATCATCAAGAAGCTCAAAGTTGCTTGAAGGAACAATAAAGTGAATATTGCCTCTCATTGAACAATCTGAGCAATTGCATCTCCAAGCCACCACACTTGTTGCTGCTTTAACTCTCCATTTCACTTTCCCACAATGACATCCACCTTCATGAAGTATCAACTCCGATTCCATGCCTAATTATTGCTTGAATCTACAATCAAATCCTCGTAAGCGAGAAATATTAATAATTTACCCAGAAAAATTAATATGATCTGCAATAGTTGATCTAAAGAAAAGAAAAAATTAATAGAATCGAACCAGATTTTGTTGAACAGTGTGTATATTTAGCGATCGATGAAAATTCTCAAATTTTGTTCAACGAAATTGGATTAAGTCAAGGAAAGAGAATACAAATTTCTGCTGCAAGTGAGACTTTCTCCTTCCACACACTAAGGTGGTGTTAGTGTTTTTCGCTCCGCTAATTGGGTCTAAAATGGGCTTATATTGGGCCTAAAATAGGTTACAATTTTCATTTCTGAAGAGGCGGTGACACTGCCCTAATTCACATCTAAGATCACGACTTTGATCCTGCTGAACTGGAATTGAGATTTCTTAGGGGAATTCGTTGGGCGATTAAAAATGGCAAGTGAAGAAGCAAAGGATCCGTGGAAAGGAGAAGAGTGGGGGATTGAGAATGAGAAGACGAAGAAGCCAACAAGTGGTGTGAAAACGGTGACGAGAGCGAGAAAACAAATGCCGAGGGGACTTGAAGATAAATACGAAGCTTACTTCCTCCCGCGAAAGCCATGGCCGAGGGCTCTTGCCTACTATGGAAGTTTTATCCTTGGTGGGATTGGTGCTGGTATGGTTATTGAAGCTTGGATCAACAAGAAAGTCAAAGAAGATGGAGGAGTCATTTGGGAATTCGACAAGTGAAATGCTCCATATGGGTTTATCTGATGATAGATAAGAATCTAAGCAACAGCGAGTGTTTGTTTACTTACTCTCAACACAAATCCCTAGATTGGATCATTTTGTTTGTTCTAGAATTCAGAATTTGTAAGGGGTTTTGTTGAACTCAACGGTAAACTTTATACAATCTTGTTGAACCCATAATGCATTGAAGATGTTCGACGAAATGCTTTCTGTTACAGTTGGATATATTAAAGTTTACCCCTAATGCCTTTCGATCTTTGATTAAATCACTTCACGTCTGAATGATTTCGAAGAGAAAACTAATTAGCATTTGCTGTATTGAGAGGGAGAGGGAGAATGTTGCAAGAAACAGAGAGATTTTGCTGTAAGAAAATATTTAAGAACTTGAAGAAGAAAAAACACTACATCTCAAGTTCAATGAATTCAGCAACAAACGAGCAAGCCTAGAATATGAAGACACTGACTATAAGTGAAGGTCTACTACTACCTCCGAAACATACCGGAACTTTGAAGAGCCCTACTGTACTCTGCAATGATCGGAGAATTCTTCACCATCTCCCATATCTTTGCTGAGTTTTTCAGCCACTCCCGTTCGGAGACTGGTCTTGAAAAGGACGTAGATTTAGAAGACATAACCTGTGATAAACCCAACCACTAGTTCTTGAGCGTGTTCAGGTGGATGAATATGCACATGCATGGATAATCCACAAAGTCCGAGAGATGGAAATAGGAGGATGAAGAGGGAGAGAGACAGACCTGATCCCTTAGTTTCCACATTGCTAATTGATAACTCTCGTGCTGGTTTCTCGAGCTTTTAGATGGAATCACAAGAGAAACCGGCTCGACTAACTCCGACCCATTCCTTCCTTGTCTGAATGAACTTGATTCGAAATACTGCGCCAGTGCCTTTCTTAGTTGCAAGATATTCTTTGGAGAGAGATCTTGATCCTGAAGCCTGCAAAGATGAAGTAGGACGAGCAGTGAGCTGATAATGCATAGATTTGTTAGAATTACCCTACAATTTCTCATCTAACACACCGACTAGACTACATTTTATTTACTAATAGCTAAGTAGAATCACATTCAATTAACAGACTTTCAACAAACATTATTGTATAAAAAACAAGCAATAGAGGATAGTGCATTAGTTCACAAGCCTATAAGATTTGTATTTTATGGTGATAAAATCAAGACACCATCATAAGGAGACTCACTTTGAGTGCACAAATATGGGAGTAGCCATATATTCATTTCCCTCAGATAATTTGTCCTTAAATTCCATTTCAGGCCCAATCTCAGAGATCTGTAGACGGGAAAGTGCGGGAGAAGATGGATCAGGTATTGCATGCTTCAACAAATCCACCTGCAGAGAAAGAAAAAATATCAACAATGATTCATAAAATCCCTGTAAAGAGATCCTCTACCACACAGGCGTTTCTGCATCATTTGCTAAGAAAAGAATTTGCATGGTTCATGGTTTTATGCTAAAAGCCCCTATATATTAACGTTCATCTATAATTTAGACACACCAATTTTTCTAGCACTCCCAGTTTGAGTTGTTTTCAGAATTTTCCAGTTTAAAAGTCATGAATATGTATAAAGGACACGGCGCCCTAAATATGTTTTCAGTGTTTGTCAACGATTCATATATTCTTCTATTTAAGTATGGTGGAACATTACAAGCTGGAACAAAGTATTTGCTTCAAGTTATATTAGATTGGTGTCCGCTCTTAATGATATGTCGCATCTTTTTGTTACCTCTATCCATGATATGAACCATAATAGCATGAAAAATAGAGAACCAGCATCATCTAAGACTAAAAAATATACGACACAAGGTTAAGATAGAGATACCGTTGACATCAGATGCCACATGTTATCTTCATGAACTCCTTCAGATACCACCAGCAACACGTGACAAATGGATGCTAAGAGGACACCAAGCTAGAATAGTTCCTTGCACCAGCCCAAAATGAAAACGATTAGATTAGATCTCTACCCTTATTAAATACCCAACACCAGGCGCAACGCCATCTATAAGGAAACAAAAGTACATAAAAATCAAACAGTGGGAGAAAAACAACGATAAACAATACGTGAACTGCTAAAACATTGATCAAGTGAGATGTCTCTGCCAAGTCACCAAGTTACCTGGATGCACATGATTTCGTGAGCCAACTCAGCCGACAGAGAGTCATTGCCCAAGACTGGTACTGAGGATGAACTATCAGGTCTGATTATCTCAGCCAATATGGATGGACTGAAAACAGGCTGCAGAACAGAATTGGAGGATATTGATGAGAAACTAAAGCTAAGTCTGTGAAACAGCATCCACTTTACTAAAAGGCATTCAAACGAAATTGGTTTTAAACAAGATGGTTCTCCACTCAAGAACAAAAAAAAAAAAGCAAATACACTAAAAATAGCAACTGCACAAACCTGAACATCAAGAAGGATGAACCTCTCAGCGGAAACTCTTGGTTCGATGCCAATAGTACAATGTTTTGCCGCTGCTTTGATCTCGTCAGACTGTACAGAAAATGGCGGTAGCATTCCTACAAAGTAACAACCTTTTATAAAGTTTTGGTAAAACTTGGAAGAAGAGAACCTAGCCAATTCCAGAAGCATATCCCACGACTAAAATTCTTGACTACAACCAAACTGCTATTCTTATGAATATGATCCAAGAAAACACCAAAGATATGATATTTATTTCTGTGAATACTACTAACCAGGGGAGCTCCCATCAAAGGCGTAGATTGCATTCAAAATTGTCGATTTGCCAACACCCGGAGGTCCAATAACTCCAACCACCGTGAAGTCAGTATTCTCGGTAAGGAACTGTTCAAACCCAAACCCCCAAAAAAAAAAGAATCAATTGAGTCAATGATCTCTACTTAGATGAATGAGTCATCTTAGCTTCGAAGGATGATTAAACTAAGCATAAGATCTCTAGTATAGTATAAAATCAGACAGATCAAGCAAGGTAACTATATCAAATGAATTCAATATCTCAACTTCGTTCAATTCAATCACTACTAACGAAGAAGAATAAAACGAGAGAGGAAGAGTTACAGGGAGAAAGCGATCGATGTGAAAATCCCAAGAATCGGAGAGCATATTCAGAGAGCTAACAGGAGGGAGACGAGAGCGGTGCGAAGCATTATCGTCGTCGGAGTTGCCGCGTCCGAATTTACCGGTAATCGGAGAAACGGAGGGTTTAGCCAGAAGTATTTTTGGAGCTGCCGGTGATGACATTTGGCTTCCGCCTGAAGAACCAGCCATCGTAGATTACGACAGAGGCTAAACCAGACACGACGATGGTTTCCGACGTCGCGATTAGGGTAGTTAACTGCGAAAACTGTTTGCCAATCTCGACGGACTTGTGTAATGAGAATTTCTCTAGGATTTTTTTTTTGTTTTCAAGTTTCCTCCGGACAAGTACTTTTTTTTTATATATAAAAGTTTTTCCGGACAAGTACCCAATTTGGACGGTTGAACCAATCCAAACCAAATCATACCAAAGATCGATATCATGGTCTCTTGTATTTATTTCATAATTTAGACAAATTATTACATATTTGACAAGTCGAATCCTGATAACTTTGTAATGTTGCAGAAGAAACTTCACCAAATACATATGCTTCAACAATTTCATATCTTGTACGGACATATATATCCAACTTCCGAAACATCACTTACCGAACATACAAGTACTCTCATTTATCACTTAAGATGGTGAAACCACGACAAGTTGTTTCCCGACGTTTTTACCGTGAAAGAGTCCAACGAGAGCAGCAGGGGCACTCTCGAGCCCATCAGCAACATCTTCCACATACGTTATCTTACCTTCTCTTATATACGGAACCACAAACTCCAAGAATTCCGAGTATTTGTCGAAGTAATCGAAACAGTTAAACCCTTCGATACGGATTCGTTTGTATGTAATGAGCGAGAGCCCGTATATGCCTTCCGGATTCTTCAGATTGTACTGTGAGATCATCCCACATGCCGCGATACGGCCGTGTGGTCTCATGTTTAAGATCACTGCATCCAGCATCTTGCCTCCCACGTTCTCAAAGTATATGTCAATGCCTTCAGGGAAACACCTAGAAAATAGAGAATTGATCTTTTCATATTAGTTGTTCTTCATTTGTGGATAGAAGAAACCTTAATTTGCGTTACCTTTTTAGGGCAGCAACAAGATTGTGTTCTTCCTTGTAATTGAAGGCATCATCGAATCCAAACTTGTTCTTGAGGAGATCAACCTAAAGAAGCTCAACAAATCAAGATCCAAATAAGAAAGCTAGATCGTTTCTAGTAAAACGTCCTACCTTTTCTTTACTTCCAGCACTTCCAACAACATAACAACCCATCATCTTAGCAAATTGTCCTACAAGCTGACCAACCGCGCCAGAGGCAGCTGACACAAACACAGTATCACCTTTCTTTGGAGAACAGATCTCGTAAAACCCAACATATGCGGTCATACCAGGCATACCTGTCAAGGAACAGAGGAGAATGAAAGTAATTACAATGAAGTTAACAACAGATCATAAGACGTAGAGGAAGGGGAATTAACAATACCAAGAAGTCCAGTGTAGTAAGATAAGGGAAACTCGGTATGATGAATTTTGAAGTGAAGATTAGGAATTGGTGTAATAACACTGTACTCTTCCCATCCTACTGCTCCCCAAAGTAAGTCACCTTCTTCGTAGTCTGAGTGTCCAGAATCTATCACTTTAGACACTCCAAACCCTGAGATAGGCTGCACAACACAACATAAATTTCTCCCAAATTTAATCATGACGAAACAGAGCTTTATAGATACATGATCCCTTATATACTAGTGTTGGTCCCTTCAAATTTCTGATGTTGGATCCTAACAGAACTCAAACGGAATTTAAAAAACGGTTTTCCAAATTGTAAATGCTTGAGCTCGAAATTTAGTCGTGACGAAGCAGAGTTTTACCTTGCCGGGAGTGAAGGACTGAGCAGTAGCAGGGCTCAAAGGATCAGGTTTTCTCATACGATTGCGCATGTAAGGATCGCAAGACAAGTAGAGATTCTTCACCAACGCCGTCATAGATCCCTTCGGCACCCTAAGATCGACGGTGGTGGAGGTGATTACAAGGTCGGATTCGTTGGCAAAACCGGTTACGTAATCACGTAATACGACTTGCTTGTTGATCGTTGTCGCCATTTTTTAGAATATGTTTGTTTTTGGCTCTTCAACGTCTTTATTTCTTCTCTCTACTTATATAAGCTCTTCTACGGTTAGTGCGGTTATTAAAGCCACAAGTTGAGGAGATAATCTTTTTATTTGCTAATCTACTATACTAACCATGCAAAACTAATGAAGCCAAACTTAGTTGTATTAAGCATAATTTCTTGCGCTATTATGTGTGATGCACACAATGTGGGGAATTAACTGTATCTTGATTTATTTTTAAAGAGCAAATCCAAACGCAAAGATGAACCAAAACCGAATTTTATATCTATTTGATTCGAAACCATAACAAACATTATTTTTATCCATAAAACATAAACCACCCACACAAACTCCTGTTGGATAAGTACAAGTATCAAACATTGTTTCACTCACGAGCAACAACAACAACTTGTTTCCCAACATTCTTACCATGGAAGAGTCCAACGAGAGCTTCAGGAGCTTTCTCGAGCCCATCAGCTACATCTTCCACGTACGTTATCTTCCCTTCTCTAATGTGCGGAAGCACAAACTCCAAGAACTTTGAGTATTTGTCATAGAAATCAGAAACTACAAAGCCTTGAATGCGGATTCGTTTGTAGATTATGTTGGATAGGTTGTGTACACCTTCCTGGTTCTCAAGATTGTACTGTGAGATCATTCCACACACTGGGATACGCCCGTGTGGGTTCATGTTTACAAGCACTGCGTCTAGCATTTTGCCTCCTACATTCTCAAAGTATATGTCAATGCCATTAGGGAAACACCTGGAAAAGAAAAGGAGGATGTCTCTTAGATTAGTCAAAACGCAAATTGATAAGATCAATCAATGAAGATAAAGTCGTTTTTTTACTCGAATAGAAGTGCCGCTTTTGTTATGCAAACCGATCCTAACAGATATAGGCATAAAACGCTTAGAAATAAGTAGTTTACTGAACCTTTTGAGGGCAGCAGTAAGGTCAGTTTCTTCCTTGTAGTTAAATGCATCATCAAACCCAAACTTGGTCTTGAGGAGATCAACCTAACAAATCCCCCAAAAAGAAGTAAAAAGGCTAATTAATCATTCTCTTGAAAGAGAAGAACCAAGAAACATAAGGAAACAAAATATGGAAATGATGATCAAATTCTGACCTTTTCTTTGCTACCAGCGCTTCCAACAACATAGCAGCCCAACATCTTAGCAAATTGCCCCACAAGCTGACCAACCGCACCAGATGCAGCTGACACATAAACTGTCTCTCCTTTCTTTGGAGAACAAACTTCATAAAACCCAGCATAGGCGGTCATACCGGGCATACCTGTCAGGACCAGAAAAACCCATCAAAGTGAATATATGAAACAGAATAACAAACCAAACTGTTGAAACTTTTAGTCATTTATAGATTGAAGCTATAACTAATTCCATTCCTATGTTTCTAAGATTTGTTAGACATCCATAAAGGTTATGACGTTCAACTATATGATCACTGTCTCAAGCCAAAACTATGAAAAATTATATGAAGAAGCAGATTTCCAAAGTTTACAGAGTGATTCCACTTACAAAACTATGAAAAATTAAAGGCAGAGATTAACATACCGAGAAGTCCAGTGTAGTAAGATAATGGAACATCGGTATGCTGGATCTTGAAATGCACGTGAGGTGTTGGAGTGATAACAGAGTACTCCTCCCATGCAACCATACCCCAGAGTAAGTCTCCTTTTTTGTAATCTGGATGTCCAGATTCTATCACTCTGGACACTACATACCCTTGGATTGGCTGCACCAAAACACACAATGGAATTAAAAACAGTCAACACGATAGAGATAGCAAAAAGCAAAGCCCAAAGAGACACAATTTATTCTCAGAGTCATCTTCAAGAACACCAAACTGTCATCACCAAAATTGAACAGTTGATCCGTCAAGTATACTATTATTATAATAAGATATCGTTCTGTTCAAAAAGTATAAATATTTCTATGCCAAAAGAGAATTCAAATAATAATCATGCAAACCAAACCAAACATTATCATCATATATCGTCGATGGTACCTGGCCGGGAGTGTAAGCTTGAGCAAGAGCAGCAGTGGAAGGATCAGGTTTCCCCATGCGAATCCTCATGTAAGGATCGCATGACAAGTAGAGATTCTTCACTAGAACCGAGTTAGAACCTTCCGGAACCCTTAGTTCGACGGTGGTGGTGGTGAAATCGAAATCGGATTCCTTAGGGAAACCACTAACGTAGTCTTTCAATGTCACCTGCTTGTTCGTCGCCGTCGCCGTCATCGTTAATTCTTCTTCGATTCAACTTCTGACTTCACCAATTTGTTACTTCTTCTTCGGTTTCTCGAGGACGTGGCTGTTTTTATAGTGACATCTCCTGTGTGCCACTAATCTCATGATATCAACTTATCAAGTATGACGTCACTGCTTATGTTTCTTATTTATCAGATTCTTTCTCTTTTCGAGCGTTTTTTTTAATTACTTTCACATTTTTGATATATATCATCTCATCTCCTTTCACGTTTTCATTTTCGTCTTTTTACACTACAGATGTAAAACTTGAGCGATTTATAACCTTTTAAACTGTAGGGAAAATGCCCTTAAACCAATAACAAACAAATTCATATTTACTGTATATTAAAATTTACTATATTTACTATTTATTATTCATAAGCAAAACCTCACGGTTTGGTTCAACAGCCATACAAACTATTGTTGGATAAATATAACATTACTCCCAAATAAGTATTCTTCAATCACGAGCAATACAACATTACTCCCAAATAACTATTCTTCACTCACGAGCAACAACGACAACTTGTTTCCCAACGTTCTTACCATGGAAGAGTCCCACCAGAGCTTCAGGACCTTTCTCAAGCCCATCAGCTACATCTTCCACATACGTTATCTTCCCTTCTTTGATGCACGGAAGCACAAACTCCAAGAACTTTGAGTATTTGTCGTAGTAATCAAACACTGCAAAGCCTTGAATACGGATTCGTTTGTAGATTATGTTGGATAGGTTGTGTACACCTTCTTGGTTTTCAAGATTGTACTGTGAGATCATTCCACACACAGCGATACGTCCGTGTGGGTTCATGTTTAAGAGCACTGCGTCTAGCATTTTGCCTCCTACGTTCTCAAAGTATATGTCTATGCCTTTGGGAAAACACCTAGAAAAAGAAGAAGCAGAGAATCTCTCTTAGATTAGTAAAAGAGCAGTCGATAAGATATCAATCAAGATAAAACCGTTTTTATTTTAATTCAAAAAAGTTCTAACTACGGAGTTTCATTCTCCATTCTTAAGTGGTTTTCCACTTAGAATCATGCTTTTATATATTTTTCTCGTTTCTACTTTAGTTGTGAATTGCAGCGTTATTCTGCAAACCGATCCTAACAGTTATAAACATCAAACACTTTGAAATAAGTGGTAACCAAACCTTTTGAGGGCAGCACTAAGGTCTGGTTCTTCCTTGTAGTTAAATGCATCATCAAACCCAAACTTGGTCTTGAGGAGATCAACCTAACAAATCCCCCAAAAAGAAGTAAAAAGGCTAATCATTCTCTTGAAGAAAAACTATGGAAACAGAAGGAAACAAAATATGGAAATGATGATCAAATTCTCACTTTTTCTTTGCTTCCGGCGCTTCCAACAACATAACAGCCCATCATCTTAGCAAGTTGTCCCACAAGCTGACCAACGGCACCAGATGCAGCGGACACATAAACTGTCTCTCCTTTCTTTGGAGAACAAACTTCATAAAACCCAGCATAGGCAGTCATACCAGGCATACCTGTCAGGAACAGAGAAAAATCATGAGGAGAGAATAAATTAAACAGACTTGACTCATTCTAAATTGAAGTTTAGAACTCAACATAAGTGTTTCAAACAGTTTCTAATCAACAAAACTACTATACATGGTTATGACATTCAACTTCATGATCTCTGCATCAAGAAGCAGTTTTCTGAAGTTTTACCAAGTGATTCCAGTTACAAAACCAGAGGAGCAAGGCCGAGATTAACATACCGAGAAGTCCAGTATAGTAGGATAATGGAACATCGGTATGCTGGATCTTGAAATGAACTTGAGGTGTTGGAGTGATAACACTGTACTCCTCCCATCCAACTATCCCCCAGAGTAAATCGCCTTTTTGGTAATCTGGATGTCCAGATTCTATCACTCTAGACACTCCATACCCAGAGATCGGCTGCACCAAAAACAAAATGGAACAACAGTCACCACCAGAGAGAGCAAAACCCAAAGAGACACATTTTCCTCTCAGCGTCTTCAAGAACACTAATCTATAGTTCTCATATCATTGTCATCTAGTTTATATAAATAAGAAACATCCAGATTAAGTTTTAGGGTATAAAACACTATCAATTACAGAAATGATCCATCAACCATATATTATTATAATAAGACATCATTCTCGTCACAAGATATAATTTATCATATCCAAAAGAATAATCACATAATAATCTCAACAAGAAAACGAGCTCGAATCAAACATGCACACCAACCAAAACAAAATAAACATTATCATCGGATTCGAATTTCACCGGAGATTTTCCAAATCGGAGAATATCGTCGTTCGTACCTGGCCGGGATTGTAAGCTTGAGCAAGAGCAGTGGATGGTTTAGGTTTGCTCATGCGAGTCCGCATGTAAGGATCGCATGACAGGTAGAGATTTTTCACCAGAACCGAGTTAGAACCTTCCGGAACTTTAAGTTCGACGGTGGTGGTAGTGAAATCGAAATCGGATTCCTTAGGGAAACCACTCACGTAGTCTTTCAATGTCACCTGCTTGTTCGTCGCCGTCGTCGTCATTGCTAATTCTTCTCCGATTCAATTTCTGATTTCACGAATTTTTGTTACTTGGGATTCTAGTGGACGCCTGCATTTTATAGTGGCCTATTTCTCTCTCTCGTAATATCAAGTATGACGTCACTGCTTATGATTCATCCCAATGTTCACAATTTTGATACTTTCTCTTTCGACCGTGTTTTTTTTTTGTCGACACTTTCACATTTTGATATTATTGCATTTCCTTTCACATTTCTTTTTCTTTCCAATTCTGTATTGTTGTCACATTTTCAGTGAGAGTTAAGTGTTTATACATTACAAATGTTCGAAACCTTTTTTTATTAGTTGAGTTAAATTTTGAGGATCAAAATTAAAAAGTATAGCTGACAAAAGAAGCAAAACACTGGTGAATTACTACATTGATTGAGAACCTTCGAAGCATCGTTGATTTGGGACATGCAGCTAGAACAGACGAGAACCTTCGGAGAATCATTATACAAAATTATACTCTTTCTATTTTTTTGGTAAACTTCAAAATTATACTTCGGAGTATTTCTTTATGTTTTTCCTTTTTTCCTAACTTCAACAGTGTGTACATTATTACAAATGATTTTTTAAGACATGAATTTTGGTACATGTGTGTTTTTGCTCGAGCATTAGAGCCTCTTATGTGACATTGCTTCAAATAACCTGCTGGTGTGTGAAGATTCATTTCCCATTTTGTGCGGCACATTTGTGATTCACTAACATTTGTAAGACACACGACTTTGTGGTTTTAAGCAAAGAACAAACATAAATTTTAGAGACATTTGGCTTCAATTTCCTCTAGAGTGAGACACTGAGACCCTTTTGTCTCTGTAACAATGAAGAATATGAAGACCTCGACAAAACACATATCAAACTAAACCCACAAAACAGTATCCCAGCTCACAATAGTTCCCGCAAAACAGAGCCATGAGATTGTGATTGTGATGTCCCCTAATAAAGAAGAGAGGGGGTTGCACAAATAGCACCAGTAACAATATTCACTGATGTTTAAACACGCATACTTGGTATTTGGTAACATAACCTAATTACATTTTTGAATTTGTGAGATGGGTTTGGGATTGTTTGTTACTACTTCGATACATTTCAATTTGATGAACAAGTTACACAGAATATGATTCGAAACCATAACTAACATATATATATATTAAAAATTTACTTGAATTACTATTATTTAATAAACCAAAAACTCAAGCTTGGTTGGGTTCGAACACCCATACAAAATCTGTTGGATAAATATAACATTACTCCCATAACAAAAATATATTCACTCACGAGCAATAACAACAACTTGTTTCCCAACATTCTTACCATGGAAGAGTCCCACAAGAGCTTCAGGAGCTTTCTCAAGCCCATCAACTACATCTTCCACATACGTTATCTTCCCTTCTTTGATGCACGGAAGCACAAACTCCAAGAACTTTGAGTATTTGTCATAGAAATCAAGGACTATAAACCCTTGAATGCGGATTCGTTTGTAGATTATGTTGGATAGGTTGTGTACACCTTCTTGGTTTTCAAGATTGTACTGTGAGATCATTCCACAGACAGCTATACGCCCGAGTGGGTTCATGTTTAAGAGCACTGCGTCTAGCATTTTGCCTCCAACGTTCTCAAAGTATATGTCGATGCCTTTGGGAAAACACCTGGAAAAAAAGAGAGAATGTCTCTTAGATTAGTATAAGAGCAACTGATTAGATATCAATCAACGAAGCTAAAACCGTTTTTTTTTCCTTTCAAAAAGAGTTCTAATTACGGAGTTGTGATCAAATGCCGCTTTATTCTTCAAACCGATCCTAACAGTTATAGACATCAAGCGCTTAGAAATAAGTAGTTCACTGAACCTTTTCAGGGCAGCACTAAGGTCTTGTTCTTCCTTGTAGTTAAATGCATCATCAAATCCAAACTTGGTCTTGAGGATATCAACCTAACATATCCCCCAAAAAGAAGTAAAGGGCTAATCAGTAATCATTCTCTTGAAGGAGAACCAAGAAGCGTAAGGTTACAAAATATATATGGAAATGATGATCAAATTCTCACCTTTTCTTTGGTACCGGCACTTCCAACAACATAACAGCCCATCATCTTAGCAAATTGTCCCACAAGCTGACCAACCGCGCCAGATGCAGCTGACACGTAAACTGTCTCTCCTTTCTTTGGAGAACAAACTTCATAAAACCCAGCATAGGCAGTCATACCAGGCATACCTGTCAGGACCAGATAAAACCCATCAAGAGTGAATATATGAAACAGATCAACAAACCAAACAGTTGAAACTCTAGTCTTCTAGATTGATGTTTAAAACTTGACAAAACTAATTCCATTCCTACATTTTAAAACAACGTTTTTGAGGTTTGTTAGACATCTACAAACTATTTATACATCTTCAAATTATGACATTCAACTTCATATTCCCTGTATCAAGAAGCACTTTTTCTAAAGTTGCCAAGTAATTCCGTACAAAACCAGGAGCAAGACTGAAAA